AAAAAAAAAAAAAAAAAAAAAAAAAAAAAAAAAAAAGCCTGGATTGCGGGGTGCGGTGGGTTTTTCTTTTTCTGGTTTTCCTCAGCTGCCCGGCGTCGTGAAATCGCAACGGTAAGAATATTAATACCCTCTGTATAAATCTGAGTACACAGGTATATGGACCGTCGAATGTTTCGCGCAACTACACGGCAAGCTGATGCTCGTCTATAAAATGCCTCGTCCTCAACGTACCGTTTCTCTCAGCCTGGACGAAGGAACAAACCCATTGCACGCCTTTGTGGCAGCACAGCCGTGAACGCCAACGACCAGCAATGCAACAGGCAGACGCACTGCAGACCCGTCCTTACAAGGAGACAATGCCCCATTATCTTGGACTTTGTTGTCCGCGACGCCTTGTCTGCTGTCCTGCCTTCAGCACGATGCCCGCATCCTTCGGCCTGGTGAATCGCGGAGACAGAACCATCTTGCAACAGCGGACTGCTCCGTAGAGCTGCTCAGTTGCCGTTGTCTCTGTTTCTCTAGGACGCACAGCCGGCTGTATCTCCGATCTTTTCGATACGTACGCAAGCGTGGTGACATACCCCACTTGGGAGAACTTCCTCACCACTCTCTCTCTTGCGAACCGACTATGCCACGAAGCTCACATCGAACGGGCCGTCGCCGAATCGCTCTCCGAAGTTATTGATCTTCATATCATCCACGTCGTAATCGCCCGTTGAATCTTCAAGACTGAATCTTGTGTGCGGCTGCCACTGCTGCGAATCCCCTCCGTATTCACGGTGCGGTGTGAATCGCCCGGAAATTTATTGAAACTGGCATGACGCCAGTACAGATACGCGTTGCTAGCAGGCGTGAGAAGCCGTCCATCGTGATTGTCGCGAGAGCACCTGTCTAGATTTTGCACCGCGCTGTAGACGCGGAGTGTTCTCTTTCATCAGTGCTAAAACCCGAGATTGTTGTAGGTAAGCATTACGGAAAATAAGGCAAGACGCTCGACTCGAGTTTTTCTCATTATCCTGGCTGATGACTGTTGGAAATCAGTGAGGCCTTTCCAGTGCCATTGCGCGGATCGTTCTCGTGGGAAGGTTTCCTCTGGTCATCAACTGCCTTTCTTTGAGGCTGTCATTACCTATCTAAGCCGCCGAGCCATGTCACCTTGAACTCGCTCGCAATGCCACTGTTGCTCGTGTCTGTTGCTCAGCGCATCCGTTCCTGAAGGCGTCAGGATTTAAATGATAGTCAATATCATTATTTGAATTGTTCCGGCCGCAAAACAAGGGCAAGTCCGCGTCACGATACACCCGGGCAAGAGTCGAGTCAGAAACGATCCACAGCGAGCCTATTACTGTAGCGCCTTAGGATGCTCTTCGTGCAGCAGCAGCTGTTGCATTAGATACCAACACCTCACCCATAGAGTTCTCCGTGCAATGGAATTTTCATCAAGTGCCGTGAGCTTGCATTTCGTGGACCAAGAGCGCTGTAGGCAATCTTGCTCCGACCAAATGTTCGAAAGCGTCCATAAAGCTTTCTGATCACCAGGGGCTTTGGCCTGGATATGACTTTGCACACTCATTCATGATAGCGTGGATGATGTACCAGATGTGGCGAACTCTCATTATGACTGGTCTTTACCGGATTCTTGTACATTGCATTGTTTCACTCCCTTGGCCTTTTTTTTAAGTGATTAGCTCCACGAATCAAATATCTGTACGAGGCTTGCTACCGCTGAGATCTGGATTGCCAGATGTACTGCCAACGTTGTTGCTGCATGTGTCTTGAATGTGAGCTGTGTAAGCTTTCACAAGCCGACAATTGGATGAGTTCTCACAGTTTTATAGGTGATTGATGATCTGAATGTCAGCACTAGCAACAACCAGCCTCTTTACCTATGCGAAGAATGCAAGCATGTCATTGAATATACTCTGCACTTTAGACAGGATTTAGCTCGTCAAAACAATCTTTGATTCAGTCAAAAGAGGTCTCGTTGTTGCAGCCGCTTGGCATGCACCGTGTTGAATACATCATCATGGATGCAGATTTCTCTTGTTGCTATAAAACACGAGGGGTTTTATTCATTATAGCGAAGCCGCACAGCCTCAAGAAGTTCATCAGTTTTTGGAGGAGCATCCCATCTTGAAGACACCAGGTAAGCCAAAGGCTTCCAGGCTCGTTTCGTAGCTTCCATATCATACACAGTTTGTACATAGGAGTCAAGACCTCTTGTAGAATGCACAATATTACACGTCGAAATTGCGAACTGGTGGCATGAAACCCATCCCGCCGCCGGAGCTCCGCCTTACACTGTGGTTCAGTGCTCGACCTTCAACAGCAGGTGCAACATCGACTTCCTGTACTCCGCCAGCGCTTTTTTCTTTGACGTGTCTTCTCAGCATTAATAAGATCTCTGAATCTTTCCATCTCGCAGGCACAGGCCTATACGCAGGCTTAAAAGTGCCCACTGTTTGAGCCCATTCTCCAGATGGCCGCGGCCTTTGCTCGTCCTTCTCGGGGTATGCAAGGCCTTGGGGCGCAGGCTCCGCAGGTGTTTCGGGAGGTTCTTGAGTTGCCCAGTAATAAATGTCCCAATCATTCTCATCCAGAAATAGATCGTACTGTTGTAGTTGGGCCGGCGTCATCGTGGCGAGATTGGCGTCTGCGAAGGTGGAAAGAAGGAGATCGCTCTCGAGAGTTCCTCTCTTTCGGCTCTGGTCTGTCAAATCTGTGTTAACAATGTGGCTCAACGTAGCGCTGACGGGCAAAAATGAAAACCGGGAGGTCGTGACGGACATAATAACCTTGCTCTCATCGTATTCATATCTTCTCCCGTTCGTCTCAATGGCTCAATTTTGAACTTGCCACCCTCAATCTCTCCAACTTCAAGCTCAGCTTTAACTGCGTTTTCCCGCCTTAATGCTGGCTCGTGGTTCTCATTCGCGGTAGCATTAGCTCTTTCGTTGGAGACAAATCGCACCGCGCAGGCGTGGAAATTCCTGTTCACGGCAACAAATGTCCGCATAGGGCGAAGGGCCGCTCTGTGTGTCGCCATTTTGATTAAGCTTGGGTTGTGGTTTTCGTATCGCTATATAATCGCCTCTTGTGTATGTTGACGAGCTTCGAAATCTGTTTCGGAGATTTCCACATCTGAAAGCGTAGCGTACCTCGGCGACATTGCAACTTGGCCTACGACGACAAACCACCATGCTTCATTCCACTTTTCTCTCATCGTAAACACGGAGCCCTCAGAGCCCCTCGAAAATTCTGACGTGGAAGATAACTCCAACTCCCGGTTGCTCTTTGGAACGATGCGTAAAGTAGTTCTCTGTTTATGCAGCATTAGGAAACTCGAATTACGTTTCAACGATCGTCGATTTCGGATTAGGCAGCCTCGAAGCCAGTACTTCGGATACTATAGGATGTTAGCAGCAGCGATACATCCATATGTCAAAGGATTTGGCTCATGCTTGGCTTTTTAAACGATTCCTTGCGTCGGACGGACAATCTCAAATCTAGGGCTTTATGCTACCTTCTCTCTGTTCCGCTATCTCGATCTGACATTGTCCTTTCTGTCTTAAGCCCGATTTACCATACTTTCAACTGAATGTCTCCTAAAACCGACGGATCTTTTCCCTTGATAGAACGTCGCAGTCGCTTTCATGGGCTATAGGATTCTCAAGTAAACCTGGCACTTAGTACAGAGCTGTTTCATGCTGGACCACCGAGCTTCATCCATACAGCTTGTGAAAACTTGTGTGCTTCTGGTTCGAGACAAGTACGGACACTTAGACTTGAGAGAAGATGTACACGCTTTGTTTGATCCATCCTTAGCAAGGCCACTGCGACATGTTGCGCTTTTAGCGTTGTAACGAACGAGGCACACGGATTCACTCCTCCTGTACCATGTAGCGCGACGGCGCGGTAATTATTATGGCATGACATTCTTTGAGTGATTGGGACCGTAACATAAGGTTGCGCGGGATCTTGCAAATACTACATCCGTTTCAGGTGAAGTCTGGAAAACCGATGAAGGATCAAGCTCTCAGTTTGAAGACACGTGAAGTCAGGACATTCTATAGCGTCATGTGTATAAGATGCAAATCGATTAAAAAATATACATGCCGAAGTTCTACGGTGCCTAGCTAGCGTTCATTTGATCATACTAGATTGAGTATATATTCATCATTCGTGGTGCATGGAATCGACTCAGAGTTTAATTAACAGTTATATTACCTAACACCAAACAGGACATTCATTAAATCTCTTCTTATTTTAAATGGCAGCTTTCCGACCAGGAATCGAACCAAGGCAGGAAACCGAGAGCGAAGATATACTTCGGGTAGATTTGACGGGCGAGCTCTTTGAGAGTGTTATCGATTCAGACTCCTTCCACTTGCCCAGCGAAGAGGATCAACGCTGCGAGGGCAACGAAGATGTTGGTTTCTTTAAGTGCTATGCCTCGTCTAGGAGCTCTGTCAGCCTTGAAGATTCCATCGTTCCAGAATTAGCTTCTAAAGGTAGGCAGTGTGTAGCCTCACCATTTCAAATGTACCATATTTGGTCGCCTGATGGGCCCGATCGCCACACATGTATACTCTCTGCTCCCGAGCGAAACCCAGCCTTCTTAAAAACACAACTGATAACACTACCGGTCGATAACTTCGGCCTTGAGGGTGAATGCTGACTTCGAACAGTGTCTACGCTTCCTGCTCCACGTTGGAAAAAAAGGGATTGGAAATCATCCGGCGCATCCTTCTCCCCTAGAGAAAGACAGTCGAGTGCCAGCCCAACTGAAAGTGAAAAAGCGCAGCAACAAGACTTGGATTCACAACGAAACCCATTATTGTATGAGACCTCAAACGGAGCACCCATGCTGATCAAGGGATCCAACGACACAACATTAGTCAACCAAGTCGACGTGCAATCTACGACTGATCATGTCGTATCAACGCCTCCGCCTTCTGAACCGTCACGGCAGTGCAGTCTCGAGTTGGACTTTACTGAAGAACCTAGAGTCCGCGACAGAGACGGCGAGCACATCAGCTGTGAACATCCCATGTCTCCGCAGCCGACCATATGCAGTCGGCTGCAGCCGAGTGCTACACCAGCTAGCACGCCCAATGCATTCGAAAGGAAAGTGGCAGATCCCTTGATAGATCAATTTCCAGCAGAGCCGCATGGCGAAATGTCTTCTTATCCGGCCTCACCCCTCGAGTCTCATTCAGAAAGCTTTTCATTAACCCCGCCCGCCACGCAGCCAATGAATGCAAACAAGTGGAGCTCCGAAGAAATCCCTCTCATGCAAGTTCTTACCTTGCCAGCGAACAAGGCTGACTGCTGGACCTTCACCGGACAGCCAAGCGAAGTCGCATGTTGTGGACCTTTACCTGCATCATCTTCAGGGCTAGGAATATACTTTCCCGATCACAACAATTCTGAACAGACCCAAGGAATGGACTATGAAATGTATAGCATTAGGAGTGAGATTCAAGGTTCCCAGCAGTACAGCCTGATCCATCAGCACCAGGCATCTCCCACACCAATTCGACCATTTTCCGCAGATTATTCTACCGCAGCCTTGTCACCAGCTCTGTCACAGACTATTTATCCCATGGGCCAGTTTTTAGAACAGGGGAATCTTGACATGGCTTATATGTTCCCTCCGAGGAGCCAGCAGGCTACTACCACATTCTCGCCTCAGATGCAGCCAAGACCCACATACCGACCTACTCACCAGAGATCATATTCTATTGGAGCGCCGATATCTTCGTCCACGCCCTCTATGCCCCTCCAGCCTGCGTATGGAGAAACAAGCTTCCCCGCCCACCTACAGTCGCCCTCACCGCCACCACGTCGCAGCAGAGCACCATCCTCGAAGCAGCGCTCTAAATCTGCCCATCTAAACAGCCGCAAGCCATCAATAAACATTGCGCAGCATAGCCGTCAGACTGGCAGCGCGAGTGTCGACTTTGTAAATTTCACACCCGACGATTCAAAGAGGATCCTAAACGGAGTTGCACCATCGGGAAGCTCGAAAACAAAGGCCAGGAGGGAGAGGGAAGCAGCAGAAAAGCGGCGGAGATTGAGCGAAGCAGCGAAGAGGGCAGTATTGAAGGCAGGTGGGGATCTTAGCGATTTAGATCGAGAAGTGCTTGGACTGGAAGAGTAACGACCTCCAAAATTGACGTAACACCCGTGTCGTATTCTCTCACGCAAAGTCTATGGTCATCATGTTTGGACAATTTGGGACAGCACTACGCTTGCCATCTAAAGTTTAATGCTTAGTTGCTATCGCGGGATTTAACAATCTGCAGAACGATGCAGAATTGATCTATTCGAACCCGTTGTTTAGGCCACCGAATGAATTGCCTAAAATACTCATCCTTCCTTTGCCGATGACGCTCTTCCTGATGCCCTCAGTCCTCCGTCGTTCGGCTTCGCGCATCTTTTTCATTCGTTCCGCTTCTCTAGCCTGGAAATGAATGTTGCTCCTCTTGCTACCGCCCATCCGCACAGTGGTCTCATTAGTGGGCGTCGCCGTATGGGACGAACCACTTGATGTGGTCGAAAGATTCGTTGTTGCCCGCCGCAATAGACTTGGAACCTTGAAGCCGGAGTGGCTGGAAGAGTTTGATGTGTGGAACGCCATCGAACCTGCAATCTGAAACTCTTCGTCCATATTCCCAGAATTCTGACGTGACAAAGTGAGTCGATTGATGACCGACGCGCGTACTGAAGTCAAAACTGCTGAGCCATTGCCATCATTGCGTCTTCGTCGTAAGTGACCAGATTGACCTTCTTCATCATCCTCGTCCTCAACTTCTTCATCTGAGTTGTCAGAATGCTGTGAATCGGGTACTAGAGGTTCGTCGATCAGGAATGACAGGGACTCTCGAATTTCAGCCATACCGGTAGGACGCTTCGTCAAGGGCGTCTCATCCGCTAATCGTCGACGCCGAATTCCGTCACGGTTAAGATTCTCCTTTCCGACACCTGAAATAAAGTCTGCTGGTAGCTTGCGTTTTGAATCCAAGGGCGCTGCTGTTTTCTCTGTGACGATCTGAGATGCCTGCTGTAGGTCTGTTGAGGCACTCAGCTGCACCTCAGAGGAAGATTGGTGCGCATCCATGTCATCCAAGTAATCAGTATCATCGAAATCTTCACGATCCTCAATCGCCTTGAGAAAGGCCAGCTTTTTAGGGTTGTCGGCTAATCCGGTCAGCTCAGGCTTTCTCCCAAGAGTGAGTTGCTTACCAATTTTGGAGATGTTCTCATCTTCCATCATCGCCTTCCTCATCTTCTGGAACTCCAGCTGCTTGCGTTTTCTTCGCTCCGCGGCTTCATCATCTGAGTCATCGGACAGTTCGTCAAATCCAACACCACGCTTTCGCCTAAGGGCACCTGTAGTTATATCTCTGTACAGCTTGTCAATTCTCTTCTCATCTTCGGCCTTGTCCTTGTCCGCAAAAAATCTCGCCAGCTCGGCTTCATTAACATCAACAGGTCCTTCGTCGATCATCTTCTGTACTTCTTCATCAACGTCATTATCGCTCTCGTCATCGCTTGCACCTCCTAGACCAGCATATTCGTCCTCAGATTCTTCGGCTTGTTCCTCAATCATGGCTTTAGCTTCGCTACGTTTCTTGTCAAACGCATCGGGTAATGCTGGCTTCCTGGATGGTTTAAAAAGAGCGTCAAAAGCATTAGTCGTGAGTTCAAAGCTGCTTTCCTTGTCCCTAGCTTCCTTATCGCTCCATGTTGTCTCATCGTCTGAAGAATGAGGGTTTTGTTCTGCTCTGCGTCGTAGCTTGCCTTGCTTCGGTACGACAGGTGATTCTGAAATTGGAATCATGACTGTGTCAGCAGTGGAAAATGGTATCTCTCCAATTGGTGGTTTAAATTTTTCAAACCCTGCATCTTGCGTCGGCTCTGGAATTTCTGACAGCTTGGAAGGTGATATCTGACTGCCAACAGCCATAGGCGTTATAACTTGTGTGTTGTTAAAACGAGGCGTTGGAGTTATAGGGTAATCTTGTTTTGCCGGATTGATTACATCTACTTGACTGCTTTCGACCAGTAGACCTGCAGATGCACTTGTCTGGGATCCGACGGGTGAAGATGAAGAAGGTCCGTTTTGAAGGAATTCTGAAGCTTTTCGGGTCTGTGCAGCTTGCGCGTCGTCTTGCTGCGTTGCCAAGTCTTCCATGGTGCCCTTAAACATCTGAGTTAGACTCAGGTTGGGGTTTGGAAGGGCGAAGCCAAACGCATTGAATGGGGATGACTGCATTTGAGTCGAAGTTCGTATTGTGGAGTGAACTGTGACTGCCGGTAGATCATCGTCCTCATCGTCTAGAATGACATTGCGATGTCGAGATTTCTGGGGCGCTATTGTTGGCGTAACATCCTCGTCATCTGTCAGTGTTTGAGCATTCTCGACCGTAGTATCACCGTGAGCGTCCTCGGGAGATTTGCCATCTTCATCCGCCTCCTCTGCTTCATCGTTAACAAGTCCAGTCGGGTCCATACCATGCCCATTTTTGTCTACAAAACCACTCTCCTCTTCCTCTTCCTCCTCCTCAACTGCATCTCCATCATCTTCCGATCCTGATATCTCAACCTCAGGATCATCATCCTCTTCATCTCCTTCAAACTCGCCGTCATCACTTTCATCATCGCTGAGCAGAGCATAATTCTCATCAATATCTCCACCATTCTTCTTCGCCGCTTCTCCTTCTTTTCTGGCCAGTTCCATCGCTTCCTTTCTAGCCTTCTCAAGCTGATTTTCAATGAACAGTTGGTCTTCTTCCATTTCTTCCTCCGTCTTGAAGACATAACCGCGTGCTTTCATAGTTTCTATGCGCTCATGCTTCTCCGCTGCCATTTGTCTCTGCATCTCTTGAGCGAGCTTAATTTGCAGTTGGGCCCGGGTCATAGAATGCTTGCTAGCTCTGTTATTGTTAGAAGGCGGACTGACATGGGAGAGAACACGAAGACTCAGGAGCGGCACAGGCTCCATGGAGTTCTTTCTTGGGACCCTATCGAAGACTGCAAGGGCCTTAGGCTGTTTGAAAATAATCTCGAGGTCATCATCAGAATCTTCGGGTCTCGAAATAGGACCTAGGTCGGCAGATCTGCGAGATCCCTTGCTGAAGAGCTGAGTGGGTTTTGATTTTGGTGACGAGGATGGCAACGTCTCTTTGCCCTTCCCTTTATCCATATGAACCAGCTGCCCAGATGAAGGCGGCTCAAGATATGGACGATGATCATGGTTGTCCTCGTCGGTAGGTACGGTTGTAATGACATACTCATCTTCCGAAGCTGATTGCACGATTGAGCGGCTCTCCTTTTGCGAATCCCCCAGGCTTGGTGGGCTACTCGGTGGTGTGTCCTTCGAGACTTGAGGTTCGCTGTCCGAGGAAACAAGAGCTCCATGATTTCTGGACTGATCATCTGAAACGGTAGATGACAGGCCCAAAGCGTTGACAAAATCCAGTGTGGTGAACTTTCTTTTCACACGCGCTTGATGTGCCAATTGCTGGTTTCGTGCTATGCGTTGTGTTTCGCGATTCATCTCTTCCAATGCTTTTTTGCTCGCCTTCCTCTGCGTCGGCCGTGAGCTCTCAGTGAGTGACTTTTGAGCGTCTTCAGTCATGCCGTCATCTATTTCTGAGGAATATATTTCCTTGTATTGCTTTGCCAACTCATTTTGCCTTTGTGCCTCCTTTCTTCGATCTGTTTGGATCCTTCGCTGTTCTTCTCTCTCCTTGGCCTCTCGTTCAGCCTTCTTTTTGGTAACTAGAGCTCTTAACCTAGCATTCCCTATTGTGCATGGCATTTCATCTGAGTCAGATGCATTGTTTTCATCTGCTCGTGGAGAAGATGAGGTGCGTCGCGATGGTGTAGGAGATACAAAAAGCCCAGCAGAAGGACTGCGTACTCTTTGCTGCTGCTTGGGCGACGAAAATTGCACAGCAGGGGACTCGGATGGGAGTTTCGGTTTCGAATTTACCATTGTGACCAGCATGTCGTCCTCACGACTTCTGACCTCTTCGCGTGGTGTTGTCCCACTCGGTTCCGACTCAAGCTTCGACTCAAGCACGGCGGTGTGCTTTGGTTTGGAAAATATGCTTTTCATCAGACGTGCATAAGCAGCACTGCCATCCTCATCGTCTTGAGTCGTGACGTGAGTAGTAGGCGAGCGATTGACCAGAGGTACTTGTGGAATAGCTTCATCCTCGAGGTCAATGTCGAAGTTAGAAGCTCTTGTATCCTTGGCAGACTCGTCTTGCGAACTTGAAGGAAGTGCCTTCAACAGCGGATCCAAACTCTCTGCGCCTTCATCTTCGCTATCGGACCCTTCCAGCAATGCCACTATGGTGTCTCGGGCAAAAAAGCGACTGCTTGAATGGTCGGACTGCGCCGACGCAGCTTGTTCCGTAAACAATTGAGTGCGTGAATCGAGAGAATCTGGGTCCATTTTTGTGGGCTAAGTATATGATCTAGAGTCAAGCACGGTTTAGACAAGCATTGTAGCAGTTGATGGGGAGCAAAGTTCGGTGCAAAGTTGGTGTTGGCGAGTGCACGATCGCGCCTCGACGCGAACACGAACAAACGCGCCGCAAGGCTGGGAAAAGCAAGGCGCGTTTGCTGGAGCTTGGCTCGTTTAACTTGACGTTGTTCAACACCACGCCAATCATCTTCTTTGCGCTCTCGCCATCGTTAGCAACGCGCTTCTAGGACAGTCTCTGGTCAACATAACGCAATTCGATTGCTGGTCTCACTGCTTAAATACCCGACATCTCTGCTGTCCACCGAGATGAGAGGCTGTCTGTCGGACCGAGCTACCGTTGCCAGCAGACTGTCTTGCCTACAGTATTACAATCCATCACCTTGGGACTTTTTTTTTTGGATGTGATCTGGATGCAATCCATCTCACCCTCTTCTTTGTATTGTTCAGGCGCTGGTCATCTGGTGCTGTCTTTAAAACTCCAATGCTCGTCTTTGGCCGGACTACAGCCCGTTGTCCTCACGCAATACATCGCAATCTTCACGTTCAGAAACTCGATCGAATAGATTCGTATGTCCTTTCATTTGTTTTGAGACTATGGAACCGCATTTGAGAAAGAAAGCTTGAATGAGTTGCACCTTTGAGATTTCAGAGGCTCTTAGATGGCGTCCTGCTTAGTTTATGTCACACCAATCCTTCATTAGACGTCCAATCCTGGTCTCTAAGCGAATGCACATGACAGGTCAATGATGGCACTAACACTGTTGCGCGCGGATCCGTGCATGGAGCACCTGGCCCACGTTGCTCTTCTGATAATAAGACTTCTTTTATACTTTGCACCGCGAAAGACCCGGAATACGCTACGCTCAGCCGATGCTCATTGTCAATCATGCCTCATGTTCAAGAGAACAAAACGGGACTTCTTATCTGCTTGTCTCATTTCGCAAAGATCTTTGTGATCCACCTTGTGAAACTCGAAGACACTCAGCCGAAATTGTGCACCTGCTTACTATCAGCTGGCTCTCTTTCCGGCTACCTGTTAACTGGGGCTGTACCACGCTCTTGCTGACTCTGGAATTTTGCTCAGATGAGCTGATGAGGCTGCTATTACCGGATGCTGGGCATGGAGCAATTTTTGCTCGGCAAAGGTGACAACGAGTGGATCCTGCTTTGATATCCCATACGTATGCTCATGACATTAGCACAAATCCGTCGGCAGTAGAACACAATTGCGCGTAGGGCACATTAAAATGTTCTTCTTCACCACTGCAATGCGAGCTCGTGTCCCATGTGCCCATAGCACGCGCAGTCTGCATTTGCTCTCCTGGACCCCCTTTTCGTCGCTAATTTCTCCAGCGCATGAATAGGGAGAGGTCAAAATGAAAATTCATCTGTTGCTGCCCACATTACTTTCTTCTAATCAGCAGAAGCGTTCTTCAGACCTCTTTGGATAGTTCTGTTCCAACTTTGGCATTATTCCAGACCTCGAAGATTTTTCTTTCTCAGATCCAGTATTGGCAGACACAAATGTATCCGGACGCGTCATTGCTGAACTGAATAAGAAGTACCAGAAATCTGGTATTAAGTCTTATGTAGCTCTTATTCAAAAGTGTGAGAACTAAGAAGTCGAACTGTTCATGTTCGAGCAACAACCATCTCACACTGAATCTCTATTATAGATAATATAAGTCCAAGCTTAGACTGTCCATATTTCCGTTTCAAGCCAAACAACTGGGCCGAGAAGCACCTCGCAATTGGTCGACTTCGCTATGGTGGTCTTGATGGCTTGTGAAACGCGGCCATGAGGATCACATTGAAAGCCCATTGAATGCGCCAGCCAAAGAGCACGATTTTCAATTTGTCACCAAAGCTCCAAGAAAATGTGCAAACACAACTTCAGCAGCCATCAAAACAGCAGGAAGTAAGCAGCACTGCTTACGTTGAACCAAGATAGTACTTTTCTGACAGCAGAAGCCACAGCAATCGTCGATGCTTCAGATATGAAGAATAATTCTATGTATCTCTGCCCTGTGACAATCGGTGGGCAGAAATTGATGCTTGACTTCGACACCTGCTCTAGAGACTTATGGGTTATATCAAGTCGTCCGGACCAGGCTACTCAGGCTTTGTTCAAGTCAGATGGCCACACAATCTATGATCCTTCTCGATCTCATACAGCTACAGCAGCTCCTGGTGAAACCTGGAAGATCGAGTATGGTGACGGAAGCAATGCCTCCGATGATGTTGCCAATGACACCGTCACAGTTGGCAATATAATCATTGAAGCACAGGCTGTCGAATGTCGAGCAGCTTTCCCAGGCTTTTCTAGAGAGCAAGGGTGACGGTCTACTTGGTTTTGTGATGGGCACTATCAGTAGAATATCCTTATTCCTTGCCTGTCCGTGCACGACTGATCAACTGTAGCAGACACAGTCAAGCCAAAGAAGTTACGTACTCCAGTTGAAAATATGGTCTCTCAAGGCGACATCCCTCCCGTTTACCGACTCTTTGCCGTCTGTCTTTCTAGCTGGAAAGACACTGACGAACCCGGCCAGGGAAAGAGCTTCTACACCTTTGGCATGATCGACCAGACAGTCATGAAGCGCTGCAACGCCACAGATTTCTTCTGGACACCACTTGTCGACCAGTTCCGGGGCTTCTGGGAGTTTCCTTCAAAGTTCTTCGTGGTAAATGGGACAACGATTCCTCGAAAAGCTGCCCAGAAGGGAGGAAATAGTGCTATCGCTGGCACTACTCTTGCCCTACTAGATGACGAAACCTGTGTTGCAATCTGTGAGAATTTAAGTCTCTTTTCCAACTCACGTGCCACATACTAACCAAAATATAGACAAATGCATCAAAGGCAGCCGATACGACTACCAAAATCAAGACTATGTCTTCCCAAGCAACACACCTGAGCGTGGACTTTCATCCGTTGGCTTCTACGTATGCAACAGGGCATCTTTTGGTCCGAAGGAGTCACTTTTGTTCGCCGAAACTGAACCTGGTTGGAGCTACGGCGGCATCCAGAGCCGTGGTGATCTACCATTCGACATTCTAGGCGACACTTCCCTGAAAGGCATATATGCGGTATGTTTTCACCATATTCCAGCCGTTCTTTGGATTGTAACATTTTTTTCAGTGCTTTGACTAGGGTAAAAAGCGCTTCGGTGCGGTGCAGCACAATTTGGAAAGCCAGGATCTGAAGCTGCAGTAGAGGCGTAGAACTTTGGAATGGTTTGAAGGTTGAGATAACCCGAATAGGACTGTCTAGGGAGAGCCATGTAAGACAGACTTAGCCAACCACGCTCTTTGACCTACGCTTAATTTGTTCATGACTATTTTCTGGCTCACAGAGTTCTCGTCCGTTATATTCATGTCTCACAGCTAATCGTTGAAGCTGGCTTGATATATCACTTGCGGAAGGACGATATCCACCTAAATTACTCAGATTGATTGATTGGTTGATTGCCAGCCTTCCGACGCCGTAACTAGCTACAGAATGCTATAGGCTTGACCTGTTGCTCGCAAGTCGCAAGCCTCTTTTGGGGGAAATCAGTATGCATTGTGTTCAGCCCATCCATCGCTCCTCTAGAAGTTTCCATTCATGAGTTCATCATGCTACATCATGCAAGTTAACCTCTCGACATGACACCCCAAGCACGGATCTTGTTATCGGTGTAACCAGAGAACAGAGTCTGACCATCCGCGCTCCAAGCCAAGCTCACACATTCAGGTTCCCTGCTCTTCTTGCCAACCTCGACGTATTCAGGTTTCAGCTCATCCACCTTGCTCTTCTTCTCCAAGTCGAAGATGATGATGCTGCTCGAGGTAGCCGCACACAGCCAGTAGCGGTTTGGAGAGAAAACAAGAGCGTGAATCTCGTCACCGGCAGACAGTGAGTACAAGTGCTTAGACTCGTTGAGGTCCCACAGCATTGTGGTGCCGTCCTTGCCGCCAGAAGCGCAAAGCGAGCCATCGGGGGAGATAGTGACGGTATTGATATAACCGGTGTGACCAATGTGATCAGTCTGGATCTTGCAAGTAGCCAATTCCCAAACCTAATAAGATATGTCAGTAAGAACCAACATCCTCCATGAACCTTGGTATGCACGTCATTTAATTACAAATCAGGGCTTATGGTGATTGTTTGTCTCATGGCCCGAGGGCTCTGAAGTAGCAAATACTATTGTTCAAGCAAAAGCATCATATGAACGAATTGACATGGCGAAGAGCTCTAGATGTCCTAGGGGTTCCGCTTGCTTACCTTGACGAGCTTATCCCAACCGGCGGACACGATGACCGGATTCTGAGGGTTAGGACTGAACCTCACACATGAAACCCACTCAGTGTGGCCCTTCTCTGTGATGGTGTATTTGCAGTCGCCGAGTGTGTTCCACAGTTTGATTGTCCGATCGCGCGAGCCAGAGACAATTTGTCGGTTGTCTGCGGAGAATGAAACGGAGAGGACATCATTGGTGTGGCCAACGAAACGTCGGGTAGTAGTGCCGGTGGCCAGCTCCCACAGACGAAGAGTCTTGTCCCACGACGAAGAAAGGGCGTAAGCACCATCGGATGAGATAACCTGTTCTCCTTTGATCAGCGCCCATTACACAGACTTCGAAAAATTGGTCAAGAGACATACGCAGTCCGAAACGATGTGTGAGTGGCCATGCAGACTTCGCTTCGGGTAGCCATAGCTGGTCTCGTCGCGGGTCAGGTCCCAGATGATGAGAGTCTTGTCACGAGAGGCCGAGAGGAGCATGTTTGGGCTGGCAATTCAGTAAGCATCCACCAAGGAAGAGGCTCATTGCAGTCATCGCAGCATACTTCTCCAGAGACGTTGCAAGCGCCGTAACCCATCCTGAGTGACCCTCTAGGGTTCCTCGCAGTACTAGTTGCTCACCCATCTTGCGTCAAGGAAAATGTGAGGCAGGGATTGGCAATTGTTGTATGGACTCGCAAGCGTGTTGTCGCAAAAGTTCGTCAGGTTGAAAATGTGAAATGTGTGATACGCTAGACTGCATTAAGGTTTTAGGGCGCCAAGATTTAAATCACGTGAATCCTCAGCTTCCAGCCACAGGTGGTCTAACGTCTAATTACCTGAAGTTAGACATCTTCAGCATCATGGCTGAGTCATTTAAAATATCATTGTTCAAGAGATCCATGGGTATCTGTCTATTATCTATTACGCCTAATATCACTAGCGTTACTCGCATGCGCCAGCAAGAATTTGCAACATATAAGTGTTAATTTGCACGCTTTCGTCCATTCTGCTTCCTGGTTACCCAGTCCACTCAGTCGAATGCTGTGGTCTCCAATTTTGTCCTTCTCAATCCTGTATGCAATACGCGGGCATTCTACCACACCTCCATCAGACAGCTCTATCGGCGTGCGATGCGCATGATCAATAAGCTGACGAAGGCACTCCAGGAACGCTATCATAGCAGAGTCAAACTCGCTGTGGAAGAGTCCTCCAAGCGTCGATATAGCGTCACCTTGATGGTAAAGTTTGTAAATATCCGCTCGAGGTTTTGTGAGATGTGATGGGTCATTGCTAGCGCTACGTGGAGTTTTGTACTGCTTGATTCTGGATGTAGAGCCCATTGGCAAGAGCTCGTAGCCTTTGAAGGTGTAGTTAAGCTTCTCAGCCACCGTGACAAGCAGTAAACAAGTATGACCCCAGGCTGCATTTATCTCGCTCCAATCCACAGGTCGTTCAGGTAGACGGCCTAAGCGTAAACCGTTAATTGTTCCAAAGAAGCCATCATGACCGATGGAAAAGGTGTCGTTGTACACATTTGCGCGACGTAAACGTTCAAGCTGTTTCGAATCGTGGTCATATTGGTTATTTAAACGGTCACGCTCATTTTGCAGAGCGGTCAACTTCTGGGAAAACTCATTTCTCTCCGCCCAAAATTTCTCCTCTTGAATGTCAAGTTCACGTGCTTGTGCCTCAAGATCGAGGATTTCAGCTTCCATGGCGGCTTTCTCTTTCTCAAGCTCTTCAAGCTCAGCAAAGGCTGCTCTTTCCTGGGCCTGGATCCTTTTAAGCTCTTGTCTCGCTTGCTGTAGTTCTTCATCTGTCGGCACATCTGCATTGGCCTGGCGTAAGAACTCTACATACGCGTCTCTTTCTCGTGTTACGTTGCCCAGCCTTTTCTGTAGCTGATCAACAAGACGTTCAGTGCATTCAACGCAGATAGGATGATCAATATCCGCTCGCGCAGATAAAATCTCAAAAAGCCTATTTGCAGTTTCCATACGACTTGAAATCGAGTCCTCGTCGCCTTGCTGATTCACCGCTGGGTGGGAACCTCGCCTTCTGGCCGAAACCGATTTTTGGTGAGCAGATGTTTCATTGCTAGGAAACATTTGAGAGTCCGTTAGCATGATGAATGACATATCTGGTGTGTCCTTGGACATTGAGTTGCTTGATCTAGCTGAGGCCTGTCGGCTGGAACCAACAGTTCGCCTGAAGACAGGTTGCTTTGCTTTCTTTGAAACTCGATCGTACTCCTCACGCCTTTCGGCTGAGAATGGAGGTCTGCCATGCTGAGTACTGTTCTTATCTTTCGCAATAGTGCTACCTGTGGATTCTATTAAGATTGTTAGGAACCGAAGTCGAAACTCCCAGAAAGACTTGCCTGCTAGCAGCTTGAATGCTGCTGGGTTCAGTTCATTCAAGGAGCTGTCAAGTCTGAGTGGCGTTCTGCACTCCTGACAATACATGATGGTAGAATCACATCAAGGGATTGAGATGCCCACAAAGAAACTCCGAATCTCTCCCGCGGAGAGTATAGGCGCTTGGAAAGTAAACGTTTCCGTCAGAATGTTCCCAAGAGAGGTGCTTGCTAAAAGCAACAGGATCGGGTAGTTCTAAAACTAAGCGTCCGCGGGAATAGGAGCGGCTTCTACCAGAGGACTATTCAAAGCTCATGTCAGGGCATAAGTGTTGCAACTATTGGACTTTACTTCTTCCAACCTGTCATTGTCGCCAGGTGACTACATCAGACGCGTTTTGCCTTGCCGCCTGGTGTGGCGCTCGCCGTGCTTGTGAGTCGTTCTGTGCGAGCATTGCCACTTGCGGGGTGTGGCGAGTGCTTTTTAGGGAGCTCGAGCCTGTGCAAGTCGCGTCGCTTGTTCGCGTCTGGACTTCTCCCCACGTCAATAGCTGAAGCAAGTCATCATGGACACCCTGCGCCTAACTCACGCCTCTTAACTTAAAATCATGCAGTCTTACTTGCAACGCTTTGCTGGATCGAAGCGATCCTGGCTGCCCGAACCTGACCCGGATGACATCGAGCTCTCTGCGAAACGACGCCGTAATGATGAACGACATAGGTCGAGATGGACTTCAATCATTGATAGATATTCAAAAGACTTTTCAAATGTTGGAGATGAGATTGACCTGCGCACTGGAGAAATCGTTGTCGACAATGGTCATGTTGCTCGCATGCGCGACGAGTTCGATAATGGAGACGCATCTGCAACGTCGCCGAGATCTATGCCAGATGTTCTTGGGCACATTGTAGCAGACTATGATGGGGGCTTGGGGGAATATGAAAATGACGTTGAGAACTCAGAAGACGACTCAATTCCGGAAAGTAAACGCGAAAGTAGTGGAGACGACGAGGAGGACCTTGAAGAGGATGAGTTGAATTTGGACTGGCCAGCACCTAGTTCTCCATGGCAAAGACACAAATCATCAAAGGTCGGCGTTAAAGATCAATCTTCTACTACGGAAAATAATTCTGTGGCTGCAGGCGAATTCATTGAAAATGAATCTCCAACACAAACAAGAGAGCTCGCTCACTCCATTGAGCGCAAGGAAACTGGAACTTTCCAGCAAACGCCTCTTCCCTTGCCTCAGTTCGAGGTACCACAACTTGGATTGGGTGAAAAGTTGGAAACAGCAATGCAAGCAATGACCACGGCGATGGGTGCTGCAATTCAGACACAGTTGATGGCTTTCATGAACATCATGCTAGCTACGCGACAAAATTCGACCGATTCGCCGAGTATCTCTACACCAGAATCTCCTGTGCTCTCGTCTACTGTTCGATCAACTCCAACATGCCTACCACAACAGCACAAAGAGATTCAAAGTAGAACACCATTACATATGTTACAAAGCACCTCCGCAACGAGAACTATGAATTCGCAAGATAGGCCTGTTGTTTCTCCACAAATATCATCTGGTCGTGTGAGAGAAGTAACATCCAGAGGCGACGTTATCAGAGAACAAACGCCAGGCTTTGGATCCCTATGGTCGGTGCCAGTAAAGAGGAAACCTGGTCGGCCGAAACAGCAATCCTCTTCAAAATCATGTCCAAGAACTAGCGGAATAGCAGTGGCACCAAAACGACTGGAAAAGCAAGAATGTGTTTCTCCTCGGCTGGCGGTCAGTGAAAAGAAAAGATATCCTAGAGACGAACGTCCTTCAGCAGAATTTGATTCGCAAGGCTTCACATCCTCTCCAACCCTTGGTCGCCATGAGCGCGAAATCACGATTTCTACTCCACGTGACAACACATGCGAACCTAACTACAGTCATAAATCGTTCAACAAGACTACATCAGGAGTACCAAGGATGACGTATGAAGCTGTGAAAACTCACAAAGTGAAAGACAAAACTAGTCAGAATTATCACCAAAAAAGCATGTCCTTCGTTGTCGACTCTGATGAAGACGAGATCGGTATGACCACTGGATCGAGTTCCGCGAGGCAAAGGGGAGATTCCAGCTCATCTCAAACCCCTAAAGTTACAGATCAGGATGCAACGACTATTGCGTATGAACAACATTCGCAAGAATATTCATCACTCTCAAGAGCCGGATTGCGCAACCGTGATAATAATATTAACTATAACGAAAAGGCCGTCTTCTCCGATATTTTTGGTAATGTGGGGTTAGATGACAACAACTATTCCACAACCTCAAATCAGCTGAGACATTATGGCAAGCAGCCTAAGCTGAGCCAGGCAAGCGATCCTGAAAATGAATTCCAAGGCAACGACATCAATCAGGATATGACATCTGGCCTTTGGCAAATGGATCCCAACGCACTCAAAGGCCCTTTGGTGATTTACGATGTTCCTACTTCACACGAACCAAGTAAGCAAGCAGCGAACGTTGCTGTTTCAAGAAGCCATCCTAAGCATCATGCCGGCGATGCGGTCTCAAACACTGCCCGCACTAGTGCGACGGTCACGAATTATGAAGAACTAGAAGCTAGATACGCAGCGTTTACCACTCGCAATAAGAGGGAAGAGATCAAGTACGAAGAGCGACCCCCACCCCACCCTTGTGCTCACTGCAAAACCACTGCGGCCACAAGTTGGTTACACAATCCGGATGGTGGGCTCCGTCGCATCTGCAATGCATGTTTCTCTTATTGGAAGAAGCATGGCGGTCAGAAACGCCCCGTTTCACTTGAGGAACCCCGAAGTTTAAAGGGCAAGCTACCATGTGCCAATTGTGGTCAAATCGCAGCTTCAGATTGGAAGTTTGAGATTGATGGTAAACGAATCTGCAAGCCTTGTGGTCGATACGCAAAGCTGCATAATGGAGCCAGGAGGCCGGTTCCCCATCCGAAGATGTACGAGTGCGAGCGCTGTCACAACCAGGTCATCAAGGTGTGGATGCTCTCTAATCGGGCTAAAATCTGCATCGACTGCCACAATGAGATCTTTGCAGACTACGAACCGGACTAGGACAAGTCAGATTCTAGTGTGCTGCTTGACTCCAGCGAGGGCTTTTTCTATCAAGGTATGTTGATATATGCGTACAAGTTTCTCCCCACAGCTGCGATCTGTAAAAGATCTTCTAAGAGTTTGCATAATGCATCCGGTATGCCATATAAGGTATGCCATTGCATGACAGCGCCGGCCTGGCGGCTGGGTCTCGATGGGGCACTGATTTGCGAGTTCTGCTATGTCCATGTCAAGAAGATGATCAAGGAGCATGATTTGCAAGATCAATTCGCGGCGGCCCAGGTTCTTTCCATACGTGTTGCAAAAACGTCTGGTTTCGGTTGCAACAAATGCCAGAGTGTAATCGTGGGTACAAAATGGCGCGGTGATGTTGAGCGTGGTGTCATCTTGTGCACTCCATACTCGGCCAGACTAACGGGGTGCGTCGCCGATGTCATCTCTAGGAATCTGAAATGGAAATGCCAGAGCCATTTGCATCTGAAGTGCTTGAATTTAATGACGGAGACAATGTCAAAAGTTGAAAAGGCACCAGTGTGTAATCGAAATCCTGCTATGATTGCTCTCAACAAGGGGGAGTGGTCAATCATGGGAAACGGCGAAGTAATCGATAACGAGGCGATGGTTCAGAAAAGACGAGATATAGGGATAGAAAAAGTACATGTCGATGCAAAGTGATAGACAATCATTGGCCGGCATTGAGAACCTCCGCAAGGGACGTATCTGTACAGCCTCCAACAACCCCGGTTTTTGCCCAAAATTTGCTGAGGTGACGGGTTCCTGAATCGCAAAGTATGGTAACTATCCTGTGGCCTTTGCCTATTTGTAAAGCATACTTTGTCGCGGCAACGCCTAAGAATGAAGTGGTTAGCTCTTGAATAGCAAGTTGCGGAGTCAAAAGCAAATCAATCATACTCACAATTAACAGCGCTCGAGCTCCCTACAAATATTCCATCTTTTTCAACTAGCCAACGCGCCATTGCCATTGCCTGATCATCTGTGACTCTGATTGCGTCGTCGATGAGTTCTCGTCCTGCTTCAAAATTAGCCGTCACGCGATTGATGCCAATGCCCTCTACAATAGTGTCCACTTGATGCCTGCGTCTTGTACCTTCCCGCTCTCTCACATCGAACATGACACCGTATTTGACCCTATTGTACAAACCGCTGCCCTGCGGGTCGGCAAGACACACTTTCAACCTGGGCAGTTTGGGCTTTAAATACAAGGCCACCCCAGATATGGTTCCACCAGTTCCTGCACCAGTCACAAATGCATCAATTTTACCACCACATTGCGCATATATCTCGGGCCCTGTTCCCTCAAAGTGTGCGCGCCAATTTGCTTCATTCTCGAACTGATCCGCAAAGACACCTCGACCTTTTTTATTTGGATCATCAGAATGCTCCTTCGCCCTACGCTTTGCAACGTTGACGAATTGTCCTTGATCTACGATAGGTGCTGGCCGGACACGCTCGACTTCGGCGCCAAGCTTGAGTAGTAGATCCGATTTTTCCTGGGCTTGGTCGTCAGGCATGCAAATGTGTGCTAGATAGCCACGTGCTCGACATATGGCAGCGAGTGAGATTCCGGTGGAACCAACAGTTCCTTCATAGATCATGTCCCCGGAATGAGGTGTCAAGAGTCCTTCCTCTTCGGCATATTTGATGATGGACAGTGCAACTCGATCCTTGGGACTATTACCAGCGCCATTTAGAAACTTCATAGTATGTTAGCTTTGCGCAAATGTATAGACGCACGGAAGAAGAGAACATACTTCGGCTTTGGCTAATATTTCGCATCCCGTTTCGTCAGAAAGGGACTTGATCTTAAATAATGGTGTGTTTCCAATGCATCCTTCTATCCCGACTGGTATGGCCATTTGAGGTTGCATGGTGATTTCATCTTCGGTATGATCCTCGAGCTTGACTGTTTGAGATATCCAAGGTATGCTATTTCTGCTTCTTAGAATTGACAGTCGCCGTCTTCGCTGTTTGTATCGTCGTTCTAAATCGGGATACACATCTTTGAATCCAAGGGTTAGAAGTACGCCCGCCAGGACCCCCAGACCAAGATATAGACACGCCCTTTGCTCAATCATCTTGTCATAGTTCCAAGCTCTTTTATGTAAAATTTATATCTAATTCCTTAAGCAGTATGTCACTGATGCATTTTGTCTTGTGAGCCGTCGCGATTCCCTACAGCTCTTCAAATTGAACCTTATACCGTACTCGAAGAAGATTTTCTGGACTCAATAGCTCAATGTCCAATTGAGCTCTCTCCACCGGCCAACCTCACACGTTTGCTATCGCAGTCCGTATCATGGACTCCCCTTTAGTCAATCGCATTTTCAGGCGTCTGTTTGCGCATGAAACATGTTCTCGATATCGTATTTATCGGCCCCGAAATATCAATGGCTCTCAAGCTTCCCTCACGCAAGCGCGATACTTCTTGTGGGATGCACAGGAACGTGAGCAACAGAAGAGATATGGAGGGAATGAGAAAGCGCGGAAGGACAACTTCTGGAGGGCAAGGAATGATCTCTTACTCACCGATCACATCGATGACTACAAGAGATTCCCTCTAGTTACTGCAGATCATTTGCGTCCGCGAAAAGAGAGGCCCAAACGTGTGAAGATGACTGTAAGGGACTTCATAGAAGGTACAGTCCATTCTGAGTGCACTCAGGTGCAGTAACTAATCCTCCAGTAGACAGTCTCTACAACCCCAACTATGGCTACTTCTCCAAACAAGCCGTCATCTTTTCTCCGGGCGAACCATTTGACTTTCAGAATATGAAAGACGAGCCAGAATTCTACAAAATCCTCGGAAATCGCTATAGTGAATTCGAGGACGAGCTAGATGCGCAGGAAGTGAACGAGACGAGGCAGCTATGGCACACACCTACAGAATTGTTTAGACCCTATTATGGAGAGACCATGGCCCGCTACATGGTAGCCAATTATCAGCTGTTATTATATCCTTACTACGATCTCATTATATACGAGATGGGCGCGGGAAATGGCACTATGATGTTGAACATACTTGACTACATACGCGCAAACCATCCAGACGTTTACCAAAGGACGCAGTACAAGATCATTGAGATCTCGTCCTCGCTGGCAACATTGCAGAACAAACATCTGCGGGAATCCGCAACGTCGCAAGGACATATCGATAAGGTCGAGATCATCAACCGCTCCATCTTCGATTGGGACACCTACGTTTCATCGCCTTGTTTCTTTCTTGCACTTGAAGTTTTCGACAATTTTGCCCATGACGCGATACGTTATGACCCTAAGACGGCAGAGGCGCTACAGGGACACGTCTTAATCGATGGCAACGGCGACTTTTATGAGATCTACGAGCGTGAGATCGATGCCGTGGCGCTTCGCTACCTCAAGGTCCGGGACCTCGCGGCGACGATGCCTTTTCAGACCCCACTACGACGTCCAGGACTGATACGGCGACTGCTAAATCAGAAGACGTATACTCAGCCTCAGCTATACCGCCGAGTAAGGAGGCAAGGCAACCTCACGATACCAGAGTATATCCCAACCCGCCTCATGCAGTTCTTTGACATCCTTCACAATTACTTCCCCGCACATCGTCTGCTCGCCAGCGACTTCCACACACTGCCTGATGCCGTAGTTGGCATCAATGGGCCAGTCGTTCAGACTAGATATCAAAGGCGAATGATTCCCGTATCAACCCCCCTAGTACGTAGCTCTTTCACCACCAAAGAACTCACTGAAACATCGATGGCTGACAGAACCCGAACAGGTCCAACAGGGCTACTTCGACATCCTCTTCCCTACAGATTTCAAAGTGATGGAGGACATGTATCGTGCCATCACGGGAAAGTTTACACAGGTAATGTCCCACGAAGCTTTCATGAACCGCTGGGCATACGTGGAGGATACGCAAACGAAGTCTGGGGAGAACCCATTGCTCAGCTGGTATAAGAATGCCAGTTTTATGATTACTGTGTAGATAATTGTGTCGTTTCTGAAGAGAACGCTGCCTACGGTTAGAGACTTCACAACAATCCATTCAAAATCACGCAAATAAGACCCAATTACTTCTGCCTGGGGCTACAAAATCCATATACTTTTATTGCTACCTATTCCTAAGCGCCTGCCAACGTGGTATCATCATATTGTGTACATAAAACCGTCATAGCTATATACTATATCCGGGCACCTTACACAAGGAGATGAGCCACTAGCCCGGTCTACGCAAGAAATACAAAAGATGAGACGAGATAAACAGACCCAATTAGAGCAAAAAAAAAAAAAAAGAAGAGACGATACGATCGACACTGGACGAGCCTAGTCAAAAGTCTTCTTGCTGCCCGAGAATCCACTGATGCCAGCGTTGTTCTTGGACACAAATCCACCACCGCGGGAGTTGAAACCACCACGTCCGCCGCCTCTTCCGCCGCGTCCGCCACCCCGGCCACCAAAGCCGCCACGATTTCCGCCGCGACCACCTTGGCCGTTGTCAGGGCGAGCAGAAGCGTAATCAAGGCGTATAGCGCGACCTGCAATAGATTCGCCGTTCATTGCTTCATAGGCTGCAGTAGCTTCTTCAACTGTAGCAAAATCGATGTAGCCAAAGCCTTTGGGGGCACCGGTCTCGCGGTCAGTTGGCAGAGAAACACGGCTGATGGTGCCAAACTTCTGGAAAGCCTCCTGCACCATATTGTTGTCAACGTCAAAAGACAAATTACCAATGAACAGTGTATTGCTTGGCGTGCTCTTGGTGTCGCCAAACCTATTGGCACGTTGCTGGGCAGCTTGCTTGCGCTCCGTGCCGTTCTTGTTGTTGTCCCGACTCGTGGTGTAGTCGACGTTCATTGGGCGGCCATCGAGCATGGCACCGTTCTTTGCATTGTACGCCGCGATGGCAGAGTCGAGCTCGGCAAACTCAACAAAACCGAATCCTTTTGACTTGCCGTCATCTCTCATCATGATGGTACAGCGAACGATCTCGCCAAATTCTGAGAACTCCTGACTAAGCATGTTCTCGTCCACATTCCAGGACAAGCTGCCGATAAATAAGTTCTTACTGGCACGCTCATCAACGCCGGTCTCGGCCTGTTTAGTCTTCTTCGCCGGAGGCTCAGTGGTAACATCCGCCTTGCGCTTCTTTGATGGTGGCGCCTCCTTCTCTTCTTCCTCTTCGGACTCGTCGGAATCGTCGGAGTCATCAGAGTCTTCGTCTGAATCAGATTCAGACCCAGACTATAGCTTTTAAGCAAATGCAAGTTTAGATGAACGATCGAAGTACTTACGTCAGCATTTGTTTTTTTCGGCTTATCAGAAATCGCAGACACCTCATTTTCAGAGTCAGAGTCAGAATCGGATTCTGAATCGGATTCTGAGTCATCACTGTCATCTGAGTCGTCGCTGTCTGCAGCCGCAGGTGCAGTTTTTCCATCGACGCTCTCGTCATCGCTGTCACTATCAGAATCTGACTCCGAATCTTCCTCGACCTTCTTCGTGGTGCCGTTGGCCTTGATAGCATTATTCGTTATGCCGTTGATCTTCACCGTTTTCTTTTTTGTCTTCTCATCATCAGAGCTTGCATCATCAGAAGAGTCACTATCTTCGGAGGAATCACTAGCAGAAGCGTCGCTAGCAGAGTCATCGGAGTCGTCAGAATCATCGGAATCATCGGAGTCAGACGCGTCACTGTCGCTTTCGCTGTCATCTGAAGACTCAGAATCCACGGCCTTTTTGTCGCCTTTTCCGTTTGCCTTAATACCATTCATCTTAATATCAGGCATCTCAACGTCAGAGTCGTCCTCAGAATCGTCGTCGCTAGAAGAGTCAGGTGTTGGTTCCTTGACCTTCCTGGCTTCTGCCTTGGACTTCTTAATGTTCTCAGCTGGCTTAACGCCGTTTGCCTTTGCGACCTTGTTCTTGGCCATTGCAAAGTCTCGCTAGTATCTGCTACTAATCAGCTCTCTGGCCCACGAACGCGAGTTTTACGAAATGTGAGGCAAACAAGATTTGCCATGCCCCCGAGCCCTCAAGCAGGTACACTCTAGAAAAACCTGCCGACGTAGTTCTGGTCTCTGAAGAGACTTAAGCCACAGAGTGGTTTCATCAGACAACCCAAAAAAGTATTGCCCTCGCCCCAACAATGCTCAAGGTGCAGCAGTTAGCCCTCGAGTCTTGACGCCCCGAAGAAGGCGTACAAGCCGACAAGCCCACATGATTGACCAGTAACGAGTCTGCAAGGCAGTGTGTTCCCACAAGGCGCCGAGACATCATCACGGACGGTCAACAGCCCTCAGAACCCACAAGCCCACATGATCAAAGTTTGTGTGTTTCAATCTTTTTGCGCCTTTTGCAAGCGCAATTGTGCAACCAGGAATAGAAAGAGCCGACAGAATTACCTGGTATGTGAATTGGTATGGCTGCGAAACCCACAGTGTAGCCCTCAGTGAAGTGTGTTGATAGATCAACAAGTGTCTGTTGTTTGCCCTCGCCCACGACTAAGAATGTAGAAGATGTAGAAGATGAGCACAAGCGTTTTGTGTGCTAAACAAAGCCTAGGAGTGAAAGAAGACCGTAGAGACAGTACGAGATGGTGAGAGAAAAGGAGGGTTGCGAGTGAGTAGAGGGAAGAGAATCTTTACTTCCAGTTCCCGCCTTCGAACTTTTTTTTTTCTGCTAAAATTTCAGGTCTCATGCCGTCGGCACGCTAAACCAAAAATGGACCTTTCTTGACCGCATCTCCGCCACGAAGCTGCCGCGCTTTGCAGATGCCTTTTTTGCTGCCTTGAAGCCTTGCGATTGTTTCGTCGGGCTATGTTCTTTCCAATTGGCTGTCTCGTCGCCTCTCCTTCTGAACACGGTTCAGAGGTCAACATGAGTTCCACGCCGTCGCACAAGCCGCGCGGAAAGAGAAGGAGAAATGAATTGTCTTCATTGGGTGTCGGTCCAGGCATCGTACGGATCAGAAATGGCGTCCAGCAGCCTGGATTCCCTCTCGTCGCCTTCCTATGGCCCGCGAAGGGCGCCTCGCAATGGATAGTATTACCCTGTGTGCTCATGGTCGCGGCCCTGTTTAGATGGGCGACAGGATTCTGGGGCTATTCAGGTCTGCAAATCAAGCCGTAGAGGCATTCTTTGGTCATCCTGAATTGCTAATTTTACTTCAGGATTTCGGTCTCCTCCAATGCATGGGGACTTCGAAGCACAAAGACATTGGATGGAAATCACCACGCATCTACCCATCTCGCAATGGTATTTTTACGAGCTGCTCTGGTGGGGCCTGGATTACCCTCCAATGACAGCGTACCACAGCTGGATTCTAGGAAAGATGTATGATGCAGTTTTTATTGTCTGACCAGATGTGCCTCTGCTGACGTGCTTTCAGCGGTTCGCAGTTCGATCCGACCTGGTTCGCGCTCGATGCATCTCGTGGCCTTGATGACCCGGGTTTAAAAGTGTACATGAGAGCGACGGTCCTCATATCCGAATACCTGACCTACATCCTTTTCATCATAGGCTTCGTCCGCCGCTATCTTCGGAGACAACACGTCGACTTGTGGGATTCGAATATTGCTCTGACTGCTGTGCTGATGCAGCCCGCAACGCTTCTCATAGATCATGGACATTTCCAGTACAATACCGTCATGCTCGGTTTTGCCGTTGCGTGTATGTCGAATTTGGTGCAGGAGAAATACGCTCTTTCCTGTGTGGACTTCGTCATCTGTTTATCCTTCAAGCAGATGGGGTTGTTCTATGCTCCTGCCGTGTTCGCCTATCTTCTAGGAAGCTGCATTTTCCCTCGAATCAATATTTCGAGATTCCTACGCATTGCCATCACTACTGTAGTGGCGTTCGCCGGTGTTTTTGCACCTCTCATCCTTGGCTCGCTTTTCGACGCAAAAAGGGGGATCCAGGTGCCTCAAGTGCCGACTCCGCCTCTTCTCAAGGCGTTGCCTGTCGTCATTGATGAAAGGGCTTGGTATTATCCACCAATGCTCCAGATTGCGCAGGCCATCCACCGCATCTTCCCGTTCGCTCGAGGTCTTTTTGAGGACAAGGTTGCAAATATATGGTGCACCATTCACACATTCCACAAGTTACATGTCTATCCGTCATCTACTGTTCAGCGTCTCGCTCTGGCAGCGACAACAACGGCGATTATTCCACCTTGTACTATTCTTCTCCTCCGGCCACGCAAAGATTTGATCTTGTTAGGCTTCTCCACCGTTGCGTGGGCCTTCTTCCTCTGCTCGTACCAAGTACACGAAAAAAATGTTCTTTTACCGCTATTACCTATGACATTACTACTCACTGGCAAGAACGGTCTCAGTTCGTCCGTCCGTAGTTGGGTCGGTTTTGCAAACATGCTTGGCTCGTGGACAATGTTTCCACTTTTGAAGCGTGACGAGCTGCGTGTGCCATATTTTATACTGACACTTCTTTGGGCATATCTACTAGGTTTGCCGCCCGTATCACTCTCAGCATACAAAAATGATGAACGTGGTGGTGTTGGCCTCTTTTCGAAGTTGGTCCATCTTACTTGTTACACAGCCATGATAGCGTGGCACATCGCGGAGGCCTTTGTCAAGCCACCTCAGGGGAAACCTGATCTTTGGGTTGTTGGAAACGTATTGTTAGGAGCCGCCGGTTTTGGCCTATGCTATCTGTGGTGTCTCTGGAATCTCGTACTGAGGAGCGGCTTATTACGGTTAGGAATGCGTTCGAAAGACGCGTGAAACAGTGTAGATAAGTTTCATTAAAGATACCCAATTGCATGATTTAAGAGTTGAGTTATGCGCGCCGTATACTTTCTCTTTTGTGTATAGTACAAATCCACTCGGGACTATACTCTTGTTGATTCCGTCTATGTCTTCTAGGAACGCCGGTGATGCCAAACACCATTCCTAGCTTTTCAACGCCATGACATATAATACAGTCCTTTTTCGACCTCGCAGCTTTCCCACGCATTGATGGCTTAGTTGATTGTGAAGCCATAGCCTGCCATGCATTGTTTATATCTGCTCACGAGATCCATGCATTCTTGCTGTGGATTGTCACTCTTCGCAAAAAGCATGCATTCATCGCGCTTTGACTTCTCCTCTGTACATACGCAGCATGGCTATACGGTGCAGTCGCTCATTAGCAGTGTTTCATGCACAGCTAATGGAGGTCAGGTTGCCGTACTTTTACCTTTTGCGATGCTTGACTTTGTGGCTTCAGCTCGCAGGCAAGATCGGCTGTCGACAGGGCTGGCTGAGATGCTGCTACACTTTAGCGTCATCCAGTCAATCTGAAATACAACCTACATTGAAGGGCGCTCATTATGAAATTGACGAGAGCAGGTATTCCTCTAAAGGCGAGCAAGAAGTTCAGTGATCTAAGAACATTCGTCATTTGTCATGATGCCCAAGGCTGTTTGTTGCCTTGTTGCCTATTCTGGTGTTCCCACCGTTCCGGTGTTCCCTATGTTCCAGTGTTCACAGGTTCAACACTGCCACGGCTCGTGCCGTGACCGTGAACACCACAAAAGGGATCAAGAACCAAGGAAGGCTGTCATTCCACCCAGCACAGCTCTAGTTTGGGGATGGCATGAACTCCTTATTGTTGAAACTGCGAATCGCATTTTGAAATCACTGCGACCTTCTGGGTATCAGCCTCTGCTGAACGCTGGTCACCCAAGGACCACTTATGCGACCTTTTTCTCTAGATGCAAAAGCCCGCTCATATTAGTCACACTGCGTCGTCAGCGCGAACCAGCCCTACAATAATCTTGATACAGCTCCCTGTTTACCTTCCCGGTTGATCTTGATGAGGTTCTCCGGATGCGCGACAATACGCTCAGTCTCGTGGAAAAGCGCGAAGGATTCCGCTCAGCGTTTCAAGTCGGGTATCATTCCCAGCGCCAAACACTTAACCAAGATTTGATTCGTTTGCTTCTGACGATTTCAAGCTGAGCGGCTCGGATCTCAGGGTAGGAAACACGCACAGATAGCCAAGAGCGTTTACACGTTGTTTAGCATTTCGACCACGATTTCTGAACGCACCTGCCAAAACATGCGTCTATAATCACATTCGAGGGAAGGATTCAGGAAGAATCACCGAAGAGATTTCCACATGTGGCTTATTGGCTTTATTTCGATACGCTACATTCTCAAACTCGAACCTTGTTAGGAGGCAATCCTTCGCTTCATAGTTCCAGCCCCGTTTTTCAAGTGATGAGTATATAATGTACAATAGGAACGGCACAAGTTGATATTGACAGCTCTCCTTTCCATTGGCTTCATCAAATTTTTAGTCTGCAAGAAATCATGTCGTTTCCCTTCAACCCCCATAAAGCAGCTGGAGCACTTCGCTCCTTGACTTCTCAATCGTTTTCTGAACAAGATACACTCGAAGGTCTGTTAGGGGCTGACACGAACGAACTGCTTAATCTTGTCGATCAACTTCGGCGGAAAGGCATCCATGAAGAAGTCCCACTTCCGCAGATCATAGTGGTTGGAGACCAGTCGAGTGGCAAAAGTTCAGTCCTGGAGGCTCTATCACACCTTCAATTCCCCCGTGGTGCAACTCTATGTACCACGTTCGCCACCAAGCTAGCTCTACGGAAAAAGCAGACCACAAGCGTGCACGTTCATATCGTACCTGATAAGTTTCGACCTGAGGCTGAGAGACAGCAACTCAAATCCTGGGAGCCTGATTCCACCGAATTGAGCGAATTTCAAAGTATCGTTACGTCGGCAGGTAAACACATCAGAAACTTCGGCCACGCCCAGAAAGACTCGTACTCAAACGATGTTCTTCATATTGAAGTTTCTGGGCCTCGGTATCCCCAGCTGACGCTAGTCGACCTACCAGGACTTACAAGACGCCCTAATGAAAATCAGAGTCCCGATGACCCAGGAAAATGCCGCGAGATAGTTGAAAGCTACATAGCCGACCCAAGCACAATAATCCTAGCTATTGTCGACGCATCTATAGAGTTGGTTCGTCAGGACCCGTTCAACCTCATCAAGAAGTATGACGAAAACGGCAATCGTACAATCGGCGTTATCACCAAACCCGACCGCGCATCTCCAAGCATCGTTGAAGACTATATGGACTATGCGAGAAACACGAAGCTTCCTCTTAAGTACGGGTGGCATGTACTTAGAAATCGTGATGAGGAGTCTGAGGACTGGTCATCAGAGCAACGTGATATTGCCGAAGCCTCCTTTTTTAGGACCAGCAGGTGGGGTGCGTTGGAAGCTACACAGTTGGGTGCCAATTCCTTGAGAACAGCATTGAGTCAACACCTGGAACAAAAAATTCGGGATATTCTGCCTACGATGATCCCGAAAATCCAGAGCACTTTAAAAAGCCTGAAGACGCAGCGGGATGTACTTGGTCCTCCTAGGACCTCAGTTGATGAACAAAGACGTCATCTCAACAGAATTGCTGACGATTTCACAAGCTATATTAGGCGAGGAATGGAAGGCAGGGCCGATCCGGAGCTCAAGCTCATAGAATACACTGGCTTCTCCACGCTTCGTTCCAACATCAATTCTCTGAACAATTATTTTATAAACGAACTCCGAAGTCAACCATTCAGTAGCATGGTTCTAGGCCCTCCAGAAAATGTTTCAGATCCACTTTCCGCAGTTAGGGACTTTACAATTTCTGATGAAACATTTCAAGAAGTGAAGCTGATTCACCAAATCAATCAGCCTATCGGTTCTCAACGTGGAGTTGTAGACAGGAATATCTTGTCATCTGTGCTTCTTCAACGCGTGATTAATTCAGGTGAAGGTTCGTGGAAGGACATTGCCGAAAAGCATATCCAAAATGTTTGTGAAGCTGTGGCGAAACATGTGCGGGCGATCGTGGATTATACCGCAGGAAACGAAACAGCAACGAACTTACAGCTTTACCACATAGACGATGAACTTGCCAAGAAGAATGAGCTTCTTCAGGAAAAGCTCTCGGAGCTGTTGAAGCCAATACAACAGAACTGGGGGTCTTCTACTTTAAACCTCTTGTGGGACGCCCCACATCGAAGCTTGAAGTCTAGTGTAGCAAGGGCGAACGTGGGAAAGTCTTCAGGTGACGTGGAAAGTGACTATGAACTAGCAATAAGGGAGACAGCATTACACTACGTGGTAAGTGGCCTCATTATTCGTTTTTTTGTTACGGTGTTGCGGCCAATTGCTGCTTGTGACACACCTCCGATAATAATTCTTTTGATGAGAGTAGAGATCCTAGGTCCGTACATCCTTTGCTGCTCTGTTTTCTGACATTTTCATCTAGATTATGCTCGGCAGCTTTTTGGACAATGTTAGCCTCCTCGTTGTCGAAATGAACATGATTCAAGATCTTCCAAATCTCTTCAATGCTAGTGGAGTTGCCAAAATGAGCAAGGAAAAGCTACACATCCTTGCTGCGGAACCGGGCGTCCAACAGCATCGACGCAATCAACTGGACAGTAAGATTGACGACCTTGAGCAGTCCATCAAGCTATGCCGCGAATATGCGCTCGGTGCTTACAAGACAGCCTCGAAAAGGTCGGCAGATGCTAAACTGGGAGGATACGTTCACGATTATCGCTTCCGTGCAAGTCCCCTTCCACTGGACTCTGATGAAGTGACCCTCTCACCGCAACCTATTCAGTCAAATTTAACTTCTTCGGAGGCCAAATTAGCAGTGGAGCATGGAACCAAAGACTCCGTCAAAACATCTCTGAGAGGCATTGTGTCGACAGACAACAAGGATGACTGTCATTCCTCATCATCTGACACCTCAAATTTATCGTCAAGTAACATAGTTTAGTCCACAACTCAAGGCGTTCATTGTCAGAACAACAAAGAAATTTGATGTGAATTAGTTGTCGAGCAAGAACAAAGGTTTTTCTTATCGAACCTCAGTGATGCATCAGGACGTGCTGTGATTTCAATGCATCTATTCTTCTCAATATTCCACGTCTTCTTCTCTTTCCTAGCCAGACCCGCCGGAGGAAAACTACTCACTTGAAGTGAACAATAAACCTGAAAGATGTCGTAAACGCAGGGTCAGTGACAATGATTTCTTCCTTGTTCGTCACTAATTCCGACAACTTCTTCTTCAAATTTGGTCGCGTCGACTCCTCCAAACCGGGTGGAAACTGCATGTATAGAGTCTTAGCTTCTGATCGCACGGATGGTCTCTTCAATTGAGCCTCTGGACGCTCTGCAAAACTATCAACTAAATCACCAAGTGTCATGTTCGCATCCACCTCTAGTGGTTTCGCCAAGTTCCCGCACACAGGGCAGTCATCCTTCTTGAGATGCTCAAACGTATAGGTATACACAGAGTCGTCACCCGTGTACATCATGTAGTTGTTTGTTCCCGGTGTTCCAAGGAACGGATTTGTTGCAGTCGCCAGCTTAAAAGCCTCATTACAACAACTAGCCGCAATAATAGCGTTTGTTGAGGCAATTGCAGGGATAATGTTTTTGACAACCCCTTGAGTCATGGAATACGTAACTCCTTGAATGTTGTATTCCTCAGCTCGCTTCAGTGCCTTCTGATAAAGCCACGTGATATGTTCCGGATCATCGGTGTCTAGAGTCATGTCTTTGCGCTCTTCGTCCCAGGCAATGATGTGTGCCCATTCAATACAGTGCTGTGGTTGACGTGGAATCGTAGCGAGCGTACAGAGAGGAACCGCTGCACGTGGAGCATGCATATCAAGCTGGCATTCTATACACGACGTCATTGTCGGCAGAATTACTCGAGCTTGGCCTTTAAAACCTGGATAATATTGGTTGAACATCTGTTGTCGAGAGATGATGTTAAGGACTTACCTTCGGTACCTCCATCGATCAACGGCTTGAGAGACTCTGGATTTTCCATGTCTACCATACCGACGAGAGTAGCGTTGATCCACCGACGCGCTTCTATGCTATCTAGACCACATATGACCATGTTGAATTGCATATAATAGTCCTCGTCCTTATCCTGGATTTTGCCGCAGTAGGGCGTGATTGTGACGCCCTTGACACGCTTCTGCACGAATTCAGCGGCGACTTCAGCTTTTGGTCGTCCGACATCTGCCTGACGAAAGAGAAACTGTCGATTCAGATTAGAAACATCAATAGTATCTGTAAGTTATGTCAGAATAAGAACTTTATCGATGTATCATAGTAGCAAAGCTACCCATATCAATCACGTGAATATCCTTAAATCCAGACAAAGCCAAATTTTTGAGTATCTCACAGCCTAAGCCGCCAGCTCCGCTTTCGAATGTCAGTCTAGTCACTTTGCTTCCAATCAGCCGAACACACATTACGCTGTACCTCATTAGATCAGTAATTTCACATTCGAGCAAACCACGCACAGAACTTTTTGGGTGGACAACATATCAACACTCCCTTGGCCTAGTGTTGCTTCTTCATCAACAAACGGGCCGCGTCTTAGAAGAATGTTGTCTAGATACTTCCTACATTCTGGTCAAAAATCACATATTGAGCTTGAGCAGACGGGTGTACCATCGCTTGCGGGCTCCATCGACACCGCTAATCAGTGCAGACTCGCCAGCAACTGCTGCCGCAGCCATCTTGCTTGAGATGTGAGTTGGTTAAAGGGTGCTGGCACGTACGTAGGAGGTGGCAGCCAGGCTACAGACTGACCCAGCTTGTGTGGCTGTGTAACTTTTACTAAACACGGTTAGCTGTATTCAAAATCACGACTCTTTAATCTTTGCACCAGTTGACGTGATCAACCTTGTGGAATCCAATACTCAGCCTCGAAGCGCCAAAAGTTCCTTAAGGCGACATACTTGAACAAACACAGGGCGTACCATGTGTACTACTTTTCGCACGTTATACTGCGGTGTGGCTAAACATGGATGAGTTGCTAAAGCCTGTCACAACCCGGAAGACAACAACGACGGTAAAAACACAACCAAGAATCAATATACATGAAGCCGAAAGTCAAGCTATTCCTGATAGCGATTCTGCTCTTCAAACCTTGAAGGGGTCGCCAAATTTAGCTCAGCTTCAAAGTGCCTTGGAATTTCTTGTCGAGAAAGGCCAGGATGCAACGTCAACGCAGGCAATCAATGTGCTTTTTAGCAAGACCATACCCGACTGGTGGAAACATATCAACAAAGACAACGAGATGTTACATTTGAAGTCCATGTTGCTGGACCATTTGCGTCAGAGTGCAGCTCTGAGCTTGATGCTCTCACACCTGAAGGTGCTGGTCAACGCATTCAAAGATTCGGTCGAAAATGTCACTACCAGATCAGCTGGGGTGCAGCTAGAGCTAATTCTCGAAGTAATTAGTGAGGTGTTAAGCCCATCTGATCTTGTGCTCATGGTCTATCGAAGATGTTCTTTAGTTGCATCACAACCTCGGCGAGCTGCTCTTTGGAGAGAGGCATCCTCATTTTTTACCTCAGGCCAAATTATATCAAACACTGCCGAAGCGGAGGATATCTTGAAAAGGCGAACTGGGTACAATAAGCGCTCTTGGGTAGGTCAAGGTAATGGATTTTGTGAATGGCTAGGTCGCAATGTTGCTGTCGCCCTTTCTGATTCGGCAGTTGCTGACAGGGAGGGTAACATTGCCATAAGCAGCATCATTGGAAAGGCTTTAGCACTAGGCTATCAAGGTATAAACTCGAAACTTCCACCTAGAGCTCGCCTTGCTAACTTAGAAAGATGCCTTTGTCAGCTCTTTACTCGAAGAACTGCCACTTTTCGAATTCTTACGGCTCGCACGGTTGACGCAGCTAAATACAATGCTTCCTGCGTATCAACAACGCCTGCTTCTCTCATCTACTCTGAAATATACAGATTCGCGGATTTTAGACGCTAGGAAACGTCACGAAGAAATCGAAGAGCTCTTGAAATCGTCGCCAAGTATAGACTGCTGTGCCGCACTTATTCAAGCATTTTTCACAAAAAATGAGCCTTTTAAGGACTTTCTGGTAGATTTATGTGTCAATATCGAGAGCAGCGTTGTGATTCGTTCATTTTCTTTGCGAAGATTGGTCGTTGCTTCGATATCTGATGATGAAGGTGAGTTCTGAGATCCGCCATGAGACACGCTTTTAATACTTTGTAGACCGCATGGCAATATTATTTGAGAAGCTTTTGTCAAAATTTGGTGACCAACTTTTCATTAAACATGCACCTGCAACTCAACAAGAAGGTAAGATCGAATAGCGATATCTGCTGTCAGGTCACGGACTAACCGCTTTAAGCTGTTGCTCAGGTCATCCTCATGGCAGCTGGATATATTCATAGATCACAACCAATGTTGCTTTTTACCCTAGTTAAGTCTTCCACGCAGATACATGGAACATCGAACCGCCTCAAAGCACCTTCCCAGCGCGCTCAGTGGCTGGGAATGCTAGTTGCAATGGCCCTTTCAGACCTAACTGATAAATCTGGCAGTAAACTGGTATTTGACGATGAGAGTATGCAAAGTCAGGAGGCAAAGTGGTACCAGGCTCTTGTCCATGTAAACGACAAGATAGGCAGCATCAATGGTCTGAAATCCTTAGTCAATAACAGTCGCGAAACAATCACCATCTCGGCGTCATCATCAAAAAACGATACATCCAAAGACAGATTTGAATCAAACATATCTACAGGTGTTGGATCATCGACTCATTCGGCTTCGAGGATTGTGGAAATTATCAATAGCGATGGAGACGACGAAGATGAGCTCATATCGTACTCCAAGCCCGACTCAGACCCTGAAGATGAAGATGATGACCCTACTCTGGTCGAAAGAAATAAACCTCGCCGTCCTGTGTATATCCGGGATCTTCTCACAGGCCTCCGTGAAATGAAAAACTACGATCGGCATCGGATAGCGTTGAAATCGTCTGCATCACTTATACGGCGGAAAGCTGCCTTCGGTAAAGAGCTACATGATCACGCTGAAGAGTTGCTTAATACCTTACTGAATCTAAATAATCAATTCGAAATGGAGGATTTCCTCGAGCTAAGACAAGAAGCTCTCATATCACTCCTTGTCTCCGAGCCGAAGATTGTCGGTCCGTCCCTCGCGCGGTGTTGCTTTGAGGATGAATTCTCCGTACAGCAGCGAACCGCTATGCTCACAAGTCTTGCTTTAGGAGCCCGCGAATTGGCTGGTCATGGGGACAAAGACAATACAGAGGCATTGAGTTTCCCGAGCAAGGAATTACCGAAACATTTGCAAACCATCTATGGAGAACAGCCAGACCTACGTCTTACGAATGCATCTCGTAAGTTAGAAGAATCGATGGTAGGGCCGTTGGCCTTAAGTGCTGCAGATCAATTGAGTGGACCAAATGCTTTAAAAGTACGAACCTTTTCGTCGAGAATGAAAGTACCAATAAAAGGATCAAAAGTCATTAAAAACGCTACAAAAGATATAACTGAATATTTAACTCTCCCTTTGATTGCAGGCTGGTGGACACAGATGCAGAGTTTGTAAGTATTATTCATGCTTAGGGATTGAAGATGTATTGACCAGTTTGTGCAGTGGGAGAGGTTCAATCACCTTCTCAAAGTATTTAGTCCCTTTATACCTGAGAACTTTGGCTGTGGTGCTCCACGCGTCCGGGCCATCCACACTTGAGCTGCTACAACTGACGACCGAAATATGGGATATCTTACTCTCTGTTCGAACAAACGCACTTCACGAAAACGATGTGCAGGCGCTTGACGCTTTATTATTCGCATTCTTGATTTTACTGGAGCTGAATGAAGATAAGGAGAGACTTGCTCATGACCATGCTCGAGAACTTGTTGAGACGCAAGAGTGGGCGAAGCTCGTGCTAGACCAGTATGGCTCGGTTGCGGCCAGTGAGAACACTGAAAGTGGGAAGGTTAAGATGCTCGCTGCTGCAACGATTGTTAAATGCCATGAGGTTGTTGAACGATGGCAGAGACTAATGCTGGGCGATCTGGTTGACGTGTAACTTTCACAACGGGCTGTCGATATCACCGCATCATGTTCCTGGATGCTTCGCCGCATAGTCTAAATCCCGACATTGAACAGCATGTATCTTTGCAGGTGAAGAAGACATAACGAAATAGGGAACCGTTATTTGCGTAAAACAACTTAGTGGCGAAAACCTTACAAGCAGACTTCAAAAGTCTTTATGTCTTGATTTTTGTAAAGTGCCGTTGGCTGGGATATTATATCGTAGGTTCAGACAAGGTGCAGAACCCCCAAGTGTGATGGACGACTTTCTTTGATCTCGAAAATGAATAATCTCGTCAGGGCTGATCCTGTTACTAAGATTGGAGTGTAGTGCTATTATATTAACAATGTACAAAGTCGAAAATTCGCTGGGACTAGAGGGCGTCAAATACATTCGCGTCTTGTAATACTTGTCAATTTCGTGCTCTGTAAGGTCTATACCTTATGTTATCTTGGATTCGTTTTCCGAAATTAGTTTTCAAAGTTCTGGACTGACGCTATAGACTAATCATAATGAGAAGGATCTACAGTGCCGAAAGAGCTACAATGCTCACAAGGCAATCACCTCCTTTCCAAATTCCATAGACGGCGAGCGAGAGTCCTGCAGATTTAGGAGCATGAGGAAGTTAAGGGAACACTCAATTTATGAGCACAAGATTCTAGTGGTATCTTTAGAAAGTTTAATTTAAGACGTATGGATTTTATAGTAGGTCTCTTCCGTGTTTCTAATTTTAGATGGAACTCGCTCCCACATAAACATACTTCAATTTTCATGTAATCTACCGACTTTTATCAATTTCATAAATCATTCCGTCAAATTCTGTATAAACTGCAGCCACCACTGCACAAATTTGGCTTGCAACACGTCGACTGAATGTGTGCTATTTCTAGAGTCCGGTCGTCACATGGAATACGGGGGTTGTCCTGTGCGTAGCGTCGTTGGGCTCTTTGCCTCTGATGTTTGCTTTCGGTATCCACTCGTCTTTGTTTGAGTCGAACCTTGAAGGCATATCTTTTGGGCCTGCTGTAGTCCTGGGACTGTATTTAAATCCCTTCAATGAGAGAAAAATGTAAAAAAGCATTTTCAGGAGATTCACTCATTCGCACATTCAATGTCTCTAAGAATCAGCCAAGATCATTTCCTTTCGACTGCACAAGCAGCCAGCCATCCTTAGAGCTTGCCAATTGCACCTGCCCCTTTTTGAATGTCTGCATTGCATCACGGCTGTACAAAGCCTCTGACGATTGCGGCAACTCAGATCGGTAGCCGATGGCGAGCGGTACCAAAATGTTTGATTTCCAAAGGTGTGCTTGCGTATTTCCGTCATGGTCCATCACTCCACCATGGAGGACGGCAGCCGCAAGGTAGATGCAAATGATGACAAGAACAAATAATGGAAGGATGATCCAGTACCATTGTACTGATATAACCGTCTCTGAGTGAAACAGAATGCCGAGAGCTGATGAACTCATCGAGGCCAATTGCTTTTCAAGGCCTGTGAAGTCGACGCTTCCGGAGTGTTCACTGTTATCTCTCATGTATGTTGTCATTGCCGAGGCCAAACGCTCAAAAGTTGCGTCAATTGATTCAAATGAGGCATTTCCATTGTTGAATAAGGGCTCGACACCAAACGCAGCCGTGTTGGGAAGGCTCTGAGTGATCGCATTTGAGTAAAAGCTAAAGAGGCCTCCCGCAACTCCTGTGTTCGAATCTGATACGCCATTTCCATCAAGGAAAAAAGGATTCGACGTCATGAACTGAAACATTGATTGATAAGTGACGCCTCTCATGCCAAATATACATTCGATGGGGACTTTTGTCGTAGAAAAGCTTTTCTTGGCCTGTACGGTTTGATTCAGTTCAACGTACGTCCACGACTGATTGCTTGAATCTTTATATTCTGCCACAGAATAGCGTATTCCACCAATGTAGCATTCGTCCGGTAGGATGACTTCGCTTGGGTGATCGGCTCCAGTTCTGTCAATAGCGGCAAAAGAGTACTGTGGACGACTGGTATTTCGTGCATTCGAAGATCCAATGATTTGTTCAGAAACGGATGATTCGGAAACAGAAGCTGTATAAGTGTTGACACACAAGAAAAGGTCGCAGTAAGCACCAATTGCGCCACCATCGAACAGCTTTGCCTGAGTAGCGTTGTCACGATTGTCCAAGACACAGTCTGGGTTAGTGCCATTTGAATGGCAAAGCGGCCCATTCGTGAGGCTGATAATGGATGCTCTTAAGATATCGTATTGATCAGTAATTTCATTGTAAGGAATCGCCATTTGCCGAGTAAGGTTGAAAGATGTGCTAACGTTGATGAAGGCGAAGTCTCCTGAATAGTTCCCACGGATAGGAGGGTTTATCAAGGTATGCCCATTGGATAAAGTGTAATTGCAATTGTCAAACTGGGTGCATTGTCTGGTAAGCTCTACTCTTTGACAAGAATGACAGATAGCAAGGCTAGAATAGGGTGTGCTATAGGTGCAATTGCCGGAGGGACAACCAAACTGTGGGGTCAGAACGCTTGAGTTTGCAGAGGAAAGACCATTTAGAATTACGCCCTTCATGCCTACATCTAGCTTAGGAAGCTCGGGGTTCGTGTCTGGAGCAAAATACTTCGAGACAGGGACTGTTGCATTGCGAATCGGACTAGGTCGCCACGCAGTGCGCAAGACAATCGTCTCTTGTAACATAGGGCCAATGATTACAGCCAACAATGTTGTGATTGCGCCAACGAATGGCATTGGACTGACCTTCGGTTAGGTGAAAAGAACAAGTTGTCACTCGTGTTTGGCAGGCTCACCCAAGTCGTGGTTTAAACACCACCTGCAAAGCCCCGCGAAGACCACGGCTAGCATTGTCAATGGTATTTAAATCATCTAAGCTCGACTTAGACTGCATATTTAGCCATTTTGATTGGCTGAGGACTGATAATTATGAGCTCGCAGTCAGAGTCTTGCCACGAGAGGTCTCACCTTCTGCAGCTACATACGCAATCATACCGGCCTCGATAGCCGAGAATATGTTGATGAGCGTATTTAGACTTGGTCTTCGAGGTGTGTTTTCTATAGGTTCTCCGTTGTAATGTACCAGCAGGATTATGATAACGAGCATGACAGCGAAGGCGAGAGCGACGCTCCCAACTTCGAGCCACCATCCTTCTATTGCCGCGAAAAAGCCACGCTTTTTACGTCCACAAGTTATGTTTAAGCCTAAGTCCTGGCCTTGCCACGCGGAAATAATATGCGCATCATCTTCAGAAGATAGGCTTGACAAAGGGATTTCCGTCGTTAGTTTGGTGACGCTGAGTCTTGAGTAAGGTTGAGCCACCATCCCCGCAATATGCAGCAGAGACATGAATTAACTGATCTTCAAAAGAGATACGATAAAGAAGCGCAAAACGGGCGTTGAGAAGACAAGCCATGCTAACTTCAACTTAAGACCTACATTATATAATCTTCAATTGTCGGTAACTCAAGTAGTCTGAGGTTAAAATAGTAGCATGTCTCATCCTTGCCCCTTCGGGAATGAGCTCATGTAAGCAGCTTTGTCTCATAATGTAACGGGCGAATAAAATGTCCATGAAACGCTACAGGGTGAGACGGGAGTATCTTGAACATATCCAATCAAGCTCGAAGTTGGATTGCTGCGCCTATTGTTATGAGCGTGGGGTAAGTCAAGGCATAACATGAGCGAATATTGTTGTTACTCTTTGAGCGAACAGTGACTCAATAGGCGAAAGTGAAATGCTAGGTCCTTTGAACAGACGCAAAAACAAAGATAATAGCTTTAAGACTTTAAGACGGATAGTGCATATAACAGAAACATTAACTGTAGGTCGAGTATTTGATTGTGTTCCGATGCCCACGCTTGCATTCAGCTGGTCTCTGACCAGCATCAGAACGTTTTCGTACCTGGAGTTGTCCTTTTTTTTTTTTTTTTTTTTTTTTTTTTTTTTTTTTTTTTTTTTTTTTTGCTTGAGTTGATGTGCCAAGCTTGTACAGTTTTTGATCGCAGATATCTGCCTTGATCACCAGAATGTCAATGATTTGATTACTTTTTGGAATGAGAATATCTCGCAAGTTCATCACCGGGCCCGAAATCTGCTGTCGAATATCAATTTGTCTTTGTCTTAAACGGCACACAGCTACCAGTAGAACTCGTCTTTATACGTGCTCAAGCCATTTCCATCTATCGACGATGACCGCCTTTAAAGGCCCTTATAGTTGTGCTCTTCGGTCACCTCAAGGACCTCGAAATCAGTACCAGCCTCTATGAACCCTTCGCCTCTGGGCACGCACAGCATACCGAAGCATGGCTTAAAATTAATACCTTTGTCAATGCGGCGATACTTCATGAGGGTGTCCCATGGTTGCTTTGGGTTCTTGATGCCCGTGTCCGGACTCACATTGGGCACCTGGCACCTAGCACATCTAACTGGAATGTCCATAGTGACATTTCCAGCTTTTGTGCCGCCCACGCGGATCGTCTTCCATACATCTTCGTACCACGGCTCCTCGCCTTCGACGACAATATTAGGCCGGAAGTGCTCGATCGTAATCTCCTTCTCACCTATGGCTCTGAGTCGTGAGTTGAGCTCCTCGATCGACCGCTGGTTCGCGACTTGCACAGGCATAAAGTCAGCGAATTTTATGCTTCCAACACGTCCGAGGACTTCGGGTCTGGCTTGCTTAGGAAGATCGCGCCTTGTTGGACCTTTAAAAACGAAGCGTACATCTTTACCCAAGAACTCAGAGAAGCCTGCCGTCATGGCCTCGGGATAAACCCATCCGTCTGTCTTGGTGCCCCAGATCTCGCACTCACTGAGCTTGGTGTTTGCTTCCAGCCAGGCTCGTGTCGGATGTGTTGCTATCGTGAACTTGATATCCGGCCTGGTACGCACGCTCACTTCGAGCTGGCCATCACTTGTCAACTTCGTATCGATCAGCGTCATTTCAGATATTTGACGGATGGTGAGAAAATTCATAGTTTTTGCATCAACAAACATCCAGTTTCGGTCCAGCTCGAGACCAGTCTCCAGAACCTTTACGCTAGGCACGATCATGCCCCGACACGACTTGATCGGATAGACACGTATCTCCTTGACCTTGATCGGTTTTGGGATAGGTAGTCTTTTGCTGGTAGCAGGAAGACGTGGTTTCTTTGAGTTGGATGCCCTAGCATTCCGTTTGAGCTCGAATAGAGCAAGCGGCAAGATCAGCATGCAGAAAGCGGTGCCACATATCAAGAGACCTTTGCCCGTGAATTCCTGCCTCGCATACCAATCGCGCATGCGGAATGATATGTCGTCCAGAACATCTTCAAGAGTGGAAGCAAATTTATCCATCCTGTGAGCGATTGGGCGTGTTCTTATCCAGGTGCGTGGCTTGTCGCGTGTCTCCACGAATACGATGACTCTCAACCACAGTGCGTGGCAGGGAAGAAACGGAATCCAGGTGAGTTGCAAGACTGACAAGTTGATTGCGAGAGTCTAGGGAAATTGGAAGGAAAGGGAAACGGATTACGAGATCAAATAGTGAGGAGATAAGATCACTCATCGGTCCCGCTCGGATGCAGCCTCGCGTCCAGCCTCGCCGCGCAGCATTCTCTGAGCAGACGGGGCAGAGACTAACACTCGTCAATGGTTGTAAACCTACTACGACGCGGGGCCAAAGCTAAATTTTTTGACTCGCTGCTGTGGCGCCCGCGGAAGTAAAGGATTTTTTTTTGGAGCGGAGTATCGTGTCGTCCTACGTCAGGTACTGCGAAAACCAACGGCACTGCCGTTGTCGGCGTTCGCTTAATGCGGAAGTCTCGCATCAGCAACTCCGAAGCCAAAAGCTTCACGGCAACTCTGCCGCCTGTGATACTGTTCTTCCTCTTTGATTTGTCTCCACCCCGCATCCGCCATGTCGATCGTCCAAACGTACGATGGGCTGGAAGGTCGATGACACATGGCTATGGCTCGGCCTCGGTGCGCTTTTTCACAGGTATGCTGGGCCTAATTCACAGCGCTGATTCGCATATCAGGTGCCTTCACATTCGTTGCAGTTCAAGGCGTCGCATATGCGCTCCGCGACGTCAGCAATCTGACGCGGATACGAGAAGTTCCCCAGCGGCAAACATGGGCTATATCGCAGGAGACGGAAGATGCGCTGGATAGCAGATCGCTTGCTGTGCTCGCCGAGAGCCACGACCGCGCCACGAGCGAAGCGTACGAACTCATCTTTCCCTCGCTAGCTGTCGAAGCCTGGCTCCATCCACACGCAGACACACGAGTATGCAAATCAGAGCTGACATCGACGGAACGAGCAGAGCAATTCGCATTCTCTCCGACCGATTCTGTCGCGACCAGTCCGCTATAACCTCTCTAACACGCGATCTATATTCCACGTTGCCAGAGACGCGCGCACGTGGCCGCGTGCTGCTCAAGATGATCGAGCGCTACGCATCCGACACAGGCTCCATCCAATTTCTCATCGATGCCCAGGCATCGGAGCAGATTGCGAGCCAGCTCCTATCCCACGATGACCTAGCGGGCCGACTGCGCGAGCATGAAGAAAGTTTTGAAGAGCAAGAGCTTCGACGCAGGAGAAGGGAGGCAGTTGTATTTCATGAGGGAGGTGGACCGGTCAGTCAGGACGACATTATACAGCGAAGTGCGGACGGTGTGACTGCTGGGGCGGTAACTAGGAGCTCTGTGTAAACAGTGTATATACAGTAGGACCTTTGTGAGGCCACGAGCGGTTCTTGATCCTTTAACAGACCATGTTCATTGTCATGTGTTAGGAGGAGACCCCATAAGGTTGAATGACATCTACAAATCAAGAACGTGAGTTACTCTGCATGTATCATTTACTTTCACTCTTTATTCACAATGAGGCTATATCATGGATGGATCTGAAGCCGTGGCTCCCACCGTGTTCATCTGTCGCGACTCGTTCTCAATGATGCTGATCGCCTACTCCTTCATTCTCTCCAAATGATTTTTCTGCCATAGCTAGGAACCCGTGAAGTTATCTGATCCAGTTTCCAAGACGGCTAGACCACGCATGCAGCGGCGTTCGATTCAATAACGACTAAGAATACACATCCCTCGGATACTCAGTAGTAATCTGGTACCTCGCGGAACACTTAAGCTGGAAATATCGGCCTAGTTGTTTGATGCGATCAAATAGTGGATTCAAATGGCAGGTAGAAATGTAACACAACAGCCACGCCGTACACGGTACGTGGTGACATTGAATGTTTTTCTAAACTAGTCGGTGATTTCGTCTCCACTAAAATCCACATGAATCCATGCACGGAAGCCGAACGGGAGAAGGCTCCACAAAGGCCTAGGGAACCACAAAATTTTGACGTCCTACCATAACACATATTTGATATACGTTGCGAGACTTTTCTGCGCGCGCGTGAAACACAATTGTCGAACACAAATCACAGAGCAAAAGAGACGAAATATGAAAAAAAGTCGCTTTTCCGGAGCATTTATTGTTCGCTACGGGAAACAAACACTAAACACTAGACAGCACGTATGTGATTGATCTCCACGGTGAGATGTGGCTCCGCGGCCTCGATCTTGACTCACGCCGTCAAAATACCAAACCAACTTCAATGCCTAAACTGCATAGACCCGAGAGGCTAACCCGCTTATGCGAAAGAGAGCATAGCTGCCACAGCACCAAGGATGAGCGCAATTGGGCTCTGGAGGCCGCTAGCACCGCTCGATGGGGCAGATGTTGCCGCAGTTGCAGACGTTTTGGCTGAAGATGTCGTAGATGTGGTCGAAGCAGCCGCAGACGAAAGCGTGGTGGAAGATGCAGAGGCAGAGGCAGAAGAAGATTCGGTTGTGGACGAGGTGCCGCTAGAAGACTCAGTGGTAGATGCAGCGGCCGAGGCCGAGGCTGATGCTGAAGCAGAGGCAGAAATAGTAGCAGTGCCTGTGGCGCTAGAAAGCGTGCCAGAGCCGCCTGTGACAGTGAATTGATTGGAGTAGTTTGTCTCGCTCCCTTGAACAATCTCGAAAGCGTACTGGTTTGAGTCGGCAATCGAGGGGTCAACAGTCCAAGTAAAGGAGCCGCCAGTAGCGGTGGCTGCGATTTCCACTTATCAGTACTGCTCTCGACCCTCACAGAAGGCTTGGTGGCGGGTGTCTTACTGGTCAGAGTTCCAATTGTTTGGAGGTCGGATGGATCACCGTTACGAAGGAGGATGGTGACGGGCTACGCGCGAAGGAATTAGCAAGAGCACGGAATTCAATGAGGAATTTGGACGATGTCCGTACCTGAGTGGAGTCACCACCGGTCCACGTCAGAGTATAGCTCTGGCCGGCTTGGACAGTTTGTGGTGTAGAAGTGAACTGGAGAGTGCTCTGCGCAATAGCATATGCGGTGAACAGCGCAATGCTGACAACAGACTTGAGCATATACATGATGATGAATAGTTCAGCGAGAAACTCGATTGCGGCTTGTGGACAGGTTCAAAGGCAATTACAAAAAGAGTACGGAATAAGCGGGTTAAGACCAAGCTGGCGGGCTGAGATAAGGAGGGACGAGAAGCAGAGAGAATAGACAGAGAGGGAGAGATACGGTTCTGTGGCCGGGATGGGGATGGACAAGTCGGAGCAGCAGTCGATGGATGGGGAGGAAGGAGCGGCTGCGAGAAATAATAATCAAGGTGGAAATAACGCTGGGATGGTGAAAAGGAGACCCAAGCCGTGGCAGGCGCGAACGTGAGCCGTTTAATTAAATGAGATCGGAAGCGCGCGTATTATTTGACCTTGGGGAAGCAGCGATGCCGAGTAGGGCATGGACCAGCCGGACGCCATCGGTCGGGCTTGGGGGGGCATTCACGACGAAGGGGGGAATTGGTGGCCTGTCGGGACCGATGCTGCGGTCGGTGGCTGTTCTTGAACGGCGTGCGATGCAAACTGCGAGCCGGCGGTAATAATAACAACTGGAACAACAAGAATAACTCGAGACAATGCGACGCGATGGGCAGCTGAAAAACTGCGATTCGCAAGGGAGCGATGCGAGAATGCATCGAGTGGTCAAGGCCCTGGCGATAGTTTCTGGAATCGGCAAGGCCGCGTTCGTATCGGACACGCTATCGCTCCTTCCGATCTAGCTCCGCATCCGTCAATCCGGGGCTTCGTGTCAAGGGGGGTGTGCAAGTATTACGCCCAACCAGTCAACGATGGCTTCTTCCGCTCCGACAATAATCATTCACATACACAGTAATCTGCAACCAGAACCCGCTGTGCGAGGCGGTTGGTTTAGTGAGCTAGCTACAGTCTCCGTACTCCGTAGCAGTTTTCTCTGCACTGCCTTGCTTTCTGCTTTTGCTTTTTGGCTTTCCTTCCTGCGACCTGGCAAAAACACGTTCCAAGGAAGTTCCTGACAATCTTGGCTACTGATGCTGATGTTCTACAAAGTCTGATTTCACTCTCCTTCAGCTATGCCTTTGTCTGTCCTCGATACATCTTTTGTCACGTCTTTTTCTTTCGTCCTTAGCAGCCGAACCGCGGCTCCCTGCCTGTGTAAAGCGGTGGTAATTCGACCGACGCGTTCACCCCATATTCATCCACTAGTCCAAGGGGCAAACTAAGCGAGCACCTGGTCCTGAGACTACTGACCTGCGTGCGTGTCGTTGGGTGAGGCTGTGCAGCCTTTCTGACGTGCGCGGAGGGAGCGAGAAATTCACTATTTTTGCATTGTTTTTATGCACTGTCAAGGCCACCCAGCAGCCCATTGCCAATGGTTCTGCATCCCTCGACTATCGTGCTCTTCTCCCTCTCTAATATTTTGCTTCGCTGTCATGTAACTTACTATACACTAGATGGGCTGGACGTATCGTATTTACGGCCTAGGCTCGCATTCGCATATCATCAGCTCGGCCACTATCGATATGACACCGCCTGGAGTTGTGCTTTGAAATTGTGACTGCGTCTTCCTTAGATGAGCTGAAACCTGGGGATGATGGAAGGGGCGCAGTGCCTGTATTTGCACAATCACTCAACGCCTTCTCTGCTTCTTCCATGGCGGCCTCCCTTGGCTTCCTCTCCACTTTCGTTTTTCACGCATACTGAACTCTGCTCGCCGTGCTTTTCTTACCCTCCAAGCCGCGTTACGAACTGAAGTCATCAATTACTTGATCCTAATGAGAGACAGGATAAGGGGGTTTTTCTTGGTTAAAAAACGTCTGTGGGCCAATTTGTTGGTTCCCAGACATAGGTGGTTGCTTGCATTGGATGCAGACGAAAACTTCTAATGCGAAGTAACGCCCAACTGTAGCCGAGTTACTGCGACTATCTGGATCTGTAAGGTTCTACTTCAACCATCGAAACTGGACTTTCACCAGGGACGACATTGCTTTACCGACACACGGCTTGTGCGCACTTCAAGCTCAAGGAAGTACTCGGAATTAGCTATGCTCGAGACAGTATCATGACGTCGACAGACAACACAAAGGCTGAGCAATACGCCAAGACCAGTATATTCAACGCCTCGGGCAGCGTGATCAAGGTACAAGGGCATTGTTTATGCGGCAGAATCAAGCACCATTAGACGGGCCATTTCTCTACAACGTGTTGTGTCACTGTGAAAATTGTCGACACGCAACGGACAGTGCCTTTCTATGTGCAACTCTCTTCCCAAAGTCGGTGAGCATTATTCATACACTAACTTTTCTCTGTCCTTCAACATTCTAACCCTTACTTCTTGTCCTTGAATTAATTCCATCTTCTGACTCGAGAGCTGTTCGCGTAGTCCGTCAGACTCCTTCAAGGAGAAGAGGAACTATAATCGTACTTCGACTGTCAGAGTCCAAACAACCGCTGACTCGACAATTCTGTTCGAATTGCGGGTCACAACTCTTCGCGCTTACGCCGTTGAATACCGACATCATATCGGTATTTGCAGGTAACTGGATCAAAAAAATAAAAAAAAATGACTGGGTGCCCATGAGAGAGCAGTTCTGCAGTCAGCATGTCGTCGGCGACTGGCTAGATCTTCGCGTGTTGGAGAAGGTTGTGCGAACAAAGACAAACCCCATGAGCGAAATTTTGGAAGACGATCGAAAATAGGCCTGGTAGTGATGCTCGATAGCAAGACATGGATTGTGGTTTTGCGAAGACAAAAGATGCCTACGTTTTCTTGCTTCAGTTGAAATGCTATGCTCATTGGCCTTCATTCATCGTCATCTTCCATCCCCAAGCCAGAAAGCTTGACCTGCAAGTCAGCCCGGAGCTTTTCAAGCTTCTCATTCGCCTTGTTCTTTAGCAGCTGGCTGGTATGCATCTTCTTCTTCATCTCCCACTCGGCAATTTCTTTTCTCGTTTCCGCAACCTCTGCTAGAGCCTGCTCCCTCTCCTGTCGTTGCGCCTTAGCTTCCTCATCTTCATCATCCGAAGCCACGTCGTCATCATCGTCGTCGTCTTCGTCGTCATCCTCCGTCGCTGACATGGTGTTGCCTGAGCCCGGCGTGACGGCCGTCTCCAGCGCTGCGAGCGTATCAGGACTTGCATGTAGCACGGATCCCTCAGCATTTAGAAGGCTTGATTGCTCGCCTTCTTGTTCACCCTCAGCATCCGCTAGACCGGCTTCAAGCATCGCCGCTAGCTCGTCGTCGTTCTCATCATCCTCTTCCATTCCCTCTGGCTCTTGGACGTAGCCATTTCCGTCAGCATCCTGATATTGGAAAGGGAATTCCTCGTCTTCGCCTTCTGCGTCCATCTCCTCATCTATCCCAGTATCCGGATCGACGTATTCGAGAGTGATTGTTGCGTCTTCGCCTTGCTGCTCCCACTGCCGATCGCGGGCGAGAAGCTCCTCCACGTCGGCCTCAACACGCTCGATGTGCCGTCGATTAACTCTTGGCCTAAATCTGCGCTTACGAACCCACTGCATGGGAGGAGTTAGCCCATGCGGGTATTGCCAGTTCTCCTTGTCGACTTCTGGTGGCAAAGGATAGTTTCTCGCCTGCTCTTCCCTGTCTATGCGACCCAGCACCAGTAGTATTTGACATATGTCCGTTGTCTTGTACCAGCCTTTCTTGTCCCAGCTCTTCATCGCCTCTATTATACAAGGCAGGTCCAGCAAGGTGGCAGCATACATGTGACCCCGAACGCAGACCAGACCTCGGCGTCCTTCTTTGTCAAAAAACTTCATCCACACATCCGGACCTAAGGCTCGCGATCCGTCTGGTTTGTGCTTCATCGAGGATTCGGCGATTGCAGCTCGTAGATAGTCGCAGTCGTCACCTGGTTGCATGCGAAGCACAAAATGATTCTCGATGACAGGATCGACCTCAGCATCTTCATCCTCGCTGTCATAGCCCACTCCAGGTTCTCGTTTAGGTACTTTGCCACGGGCTCTGATCTTTATCAGGGGAGTTGTCACTGGTTGTGGTGTAGTGGAGGTGGAGCCAAACTTGAGCTTCACACCGGACGATTGGGACTGGACCTTTGTGTTCAATTTGAGAGTAGGAACCTTCACAGGCTTCTCTGGGACTCTGAAAGAGATACTGCTGGCACGCTCGGTCGGCTTCACAGGCCGTTTCGCCGGCAGCTCGCCGTCGGGCAGATCCGTCGTCTTGCGCTTGCCCAACTTGAGAATCGTGCTGGCAGGACTGGCAGCAACATCGCCATTTTTTGGCTTCTTCGGTACAGCCGGCTTCTTGGGCTTTACTTCAATAGTGGAGTTCTCAAGAGAAGGCGGCTGCTCGGTGACTGGCGTCTGCGATTTGAAGCTGATCTTCATGCTCGGTTTGCGCTCCAGATCTGGCTTCTCATTTGGCGTCGGTGGCTCCCCATCTTTCTTCTTTCCAAAAGTGAGCTTCACCATGGCTGATTCTAAACTTTAAAGTTGAGAGGAGAATAGTATGCGGTGGAGGTTGAACTTCAGCTGTCGCGAGAATAGGCTCAATGGAATCACTGAATTTGAAGCCTAAGGCAAACCTAGATGCGGAGATTACCTCTTTCGGCCTTGACATCACGAGGCTAGCAATCTCTTTGATCTCGTAAGCTTGAGCTGTTACTGTCTAATTGAATTCACTGGGGCTGAACTATGCTCGAAGACAAGGATTTTGATTCAGTATATCACGAAGATTGACCGTCTACCCGCTAGAGTTCCTATGCCATTGGCTACAGTGGGTAGTGCGGCAAGTCGGCTATATCCCGATGGTCTGTAGAACCACATAGTGTGCCCTCACGAGCATAGAACACCACCGCGCGGACCGAGAAATCACACTATTATCAATATTGAACCCTGGCAATGGCTGCCACGGCAATCGTTAGACGTGCTTTGCTTTATGGTACGCTCTGATCCACTGCTTTTCTCACTGTTAACAACAAGAACACTGAAGCACAATTTAGTCCCGGGCTCGTCCAGGAAGTTCCTGGACAAATCAAGAAACCTTAAAGTCGACAACGTGACGTATGATCTGGAAGATTCGGTCACTCCAGGGAAGAAAGCAGAAGCTCGAAAGACGCTGCGAGACTTCTTACACCAAGACCGAGCGGAAGGCATCACGGAACAAGCTGTCCGCATCAATGCCGTTGAGACAGGCATGGCCCTTGATGACTTGTCGGAAGTGGTAGGACCAACTTAGAAGACCCTGATAAGTCACCTTACTGAGTAGTCACAGCTTAAAGCTCCGAATCTGGATGCCATTGTTGTCCCGAAGGTGGATCGACCATCAGATTTGCACTTCGTAACGGATGTTATTCGGCATGTGCTGCCGGAGAGACATCCCTCAACCTTGGACGCGTCCTCAAACCCAATCAAGCTCATTGCGCTAATCGAATCTGCTAAATCACTTTCGAATCTAAACGACATTTGCAAAGCCTCGCCGTACCTTTCTGGCCTAGTCTTTGCCGCTGAAGATTTCGCCAAGGACATGTCGCTCACACGGACTCCTTCGCTGACAGAGTTTTTGTACGCCCGTAGTGCCATTGCCACAGCTGCGAGAGCGCACGATCTGCCATCCACCATTGACTTGGTGTGCACGGCGTTCAGAGGCGAAGAGGGCCTTAGGACGTTGCAGGAAGAATGCGAGGGGGGTAAGAGGCTGGGTTTTAATGGCAAACAATGTATTCATCCAACCCAAGTCGAGATAGCTCAGAGGATATTTAGTCCAAGTGAAAAGGAAGTCGAATGGGCCGTGAGAGTGGTGATAGCAGATGAGAAAGCTGACGCCCAGGGACGGGGTGCCTGGACTTTAGACGGCGCAATGATTGATGTTCCAGTGGTGAGGAAAGCTAAGAATATCGTGAAGAAAGCTGAGCTCTGTGGGATAAACGTGGAAGAAGTTCGCGCGAAATGGAAGGACCAGGAGCCAGAGTGAAGAAGAAAATGGCACACTTGAAAGAAACTATCTGTAGACTGTACAAAGATTTCACATTGAGCGTGAAATGCTCGCTGATCTGTTCTACATACAAAGGAAAAAGTTCTTTTCATCGCCATCTCTTGCAACTGAAGGGATTTTACATGTCCTCTGAGGCAGTTGCACCAGTGATGATCTCTACCAGTTCGCCCGTAATGACGGCTTGACGAGTTCGGTTGAACAGGATGGTGAACTTGGTGATCATATCGCCAGCGTTCTTCGAGGCGTTCTGAAATATACATGTTAAGCGCTGTTTCTCGAGAACCGAGTATAGAGTAACTTACGTCCATAGCATTTCGCCGTGCGGATTGCTCAACAGCGTGACCCTCAGCTAGACCCCAGTAGAGAGCGTTGGCCAGGGCATATTCGGAGAGGTTGCCTAGCGTCTCATCCTCCACCTCGTACGCAGTGTAATTCGGCGACTCAATAATAGCTTCGGTGGAAAAAGCATCGATGACTATCGGCTCATACGACTGCGCATTGATGAACTTGTTGAACATGACTTGAACGGACGAGTACTTGGTTGGAAGCATCATAATCTGGTCGGCGATGGCGGACGCATCGGCGAAGGTAGGGACGTCCTTGCCAATACCCGCAAAGCTTAGCACAATCTGGTTGCCATTGGAACGAGACAGCTGGGACTTGCACTTCTCGCCCGCGACAACGAGATCGAAGTTCGGGTTCTCGCTGAGGATGGCACGAGCGCGACGGGACATGCCTGAGTGGACACCACCGCAGAGACCCTTGTCGGAGGAGAGGACGACAAGAAGTGTCTTTTTGCCCTCACCCTCAAGGGGCTTGGTCTCGGCTTTCTCAAAGACCTCGTTGGATGTCTGGCCGTAAACGCGAGACTCATTCATGGCTCGCTGGGCACGGGTGAGTTTGGTCGAGGCCACAATCTTCATCGTCTTAGTGATCTTCTCAATGTTGCGGATCGACTTGAGACGGCCCTCAATTTCCTTGAGCGTCGCATAGTTGGCAGATTGGACAGCGGTTGGCCTGCGATGGATGCTCGGTTAGTATTGCATTTGCTGGTGGATGAAGCTGAGTACTCGGAGAGGGAGTAGAGGGCGCATACCGAGCGGCCAGCTGGACGCTAGCTCGAAGAGCCGGACGAGCAGCTCTGGAGAGCATTTTGAATGGACGGCAATGCAATTCAGCGGGTTTTGAGCCGCCTAGTGATGCCAATGGCTGATGGTTGATAGCTTTCGTCCGCCTGGACTGTAAAGAGGTTGCTGGATCGGAAAAGCTCGGTCGCGCAAAGTCACGTGGATGAAGTTCAATCCCCTGCATTTCAGAGAGATAAGGCATCAAGGCTGCACTTTTCTGCGGTCGTCCTTTAAGCGTGCCCGTTCGCTGCCTCTATCGACTACCGTTTTTCTACGCTTTTCCCCTTCGTTCGACCAGTACACTTAGATGCGCATAGTGGGGAGTAACTATTGAGATCTGGAATCATCACATTCTTGGTAATTCAAGCCTTGCGCTTCGGCGTTCCCCTTCGTTTCCTTTTACCTCGTTCCTGCATCGCAGCCTCATTCGAACGCTCATTTGCTCTGCGACGCGCCCGACCTATTTCTACCAACGTCGACAACAAGGCGCTTAACAACCGTCAGATAACCATCATTATGTCTTCGTCTGATGAGGATATGCCTTTGGTGAGGCGAAATGGAGGTTAGTATCGTGCAAGGCGCCTTTGTTTCTTGACAACAGCCGTTCAGTCTTGCATCGCCGAGATCTTCGAACACCCCAGACCAAACTTTCACATTCTCTGCTGCCCATTCATATGGGTTGAATCCTTCCGTGACATTTTATTGCATCTCAAACAACGAGCTCCACTACTACTATCGCGTCGACTCAGTAATGCTGACAGTATGATCGCAGCGAAATCCTCACCTACTATCTCGAAGAAAGTAGATAAGGCCATGAGCAATGGAGTCTCGTCGTCTCCGCCAAGCGACCATGTAAATCCTGGCATCTCTGTTCGCATGGGCCCTATGGACATGGACGTCGATGATGCATCAGCAGCAAAATCCAATGGTGCTGCGAATGGCAAGCGCAAATCTCGCGCCAGCTTGCAGAAGACAAACTACAAGGAGGCGACAAGCTCTGAGGATGAAGATGTACCTTTGACCAAGAAGCGGAAAACCGCCATTAAGTCAGACTCAGATGAGAGCGATGCGCCTCTCGTCAAAAAGACGACTGCCAAAAAACCTCCTAAGATCACTGCTGCACAGATTGGCGAGTCTGAGGACTCCGACGTTCCTCTGACGAAGAAACTCGTGAAAGAGAAAGTGAGAATCGAGAAAAAGGCTGACGAGACGGCTAAGGCTATTCGTGCTGATGAGGCAAAGAAGCGGAAGGTCGCGAAGCAAGAGAGCAGCGATGACGATGATGCACCACTCGTTAAGAAGAAGAATGTCAACGGTACCAAGGCTACTAATGGCATTAAAAAGGAGGCGTCTACGCCAGCATCCAAATCGAAGAAAGCTAAGGAAGCGCCATCGTCTTCGAAGAAGGGCAAAGCAAAGCAGGCAACTGAGGAGGACTTGGAGGCCGAAGCAGAAGAGGAAGAATATCGCTGGTGGGAAGATCCGAACAAGAATGATGGTACGATCAAATGGACAACTCTAGAGCACAACGGCGTTGTTTTTCCTCCACCGTACCAGCCGTTGCCGAAGCACGTCAAATTTATATATGACGGCAAACCATTGACTCTTCACCCCGACGCGGAGGAGGTCGCGACGTTTTACGGTAGCATGCTGAACTCCACTGTCAATATTTCTAATCCCACGTTCAACAAAAACTTTTTTAGCGACTTCAAAGAAATATTAGACAAGACAGGCCATGGAAAAGACAAAGATGGTGTTCAGGTCAAGATAAAGGAATTCGAAAAGTGCGACTTTACAAAGATTTTCGAGTGGTTTGAGGCCGAGCGTGAGAGGAAGAGAGCGCTTCCTGCTGCCGAAAAGAAGGCACTTAAAGCAAAAAAGGAGGAAGAGGAGGCTCCATATATGTATTGCCAATGGGACGGCCGCAAGCAAAAGGTTGGGAACTTCCGCGTAGAACCTCCAGGCCTCTTCCGTGGACGTGGCGAACACCCAAAGACAGGAAAAGTCAAGCGCAGAGTTATGCCGGAGCAAATCACCATCAATATCGGCAAGGAGGCTCAAGTGCCAGCTCCACCAGAAGGTCACCGCTGGAAAGAGGTCAAGCACGATCAAACGGGCACTTGGTTAGCGATGTGGCAAGAAAATATCAATGGTGCCTACAAGTACGTTATGCTCGCTGCCAACTCGGATATCAAGGGTCAGAGTGACTATAAAAAGTTTGAGAAAGCTCGCGAGCTCAAGAAGCACATTGATCGCATCCGCAAGGATTACACTAAAGAACTTAAGTCTGAAGTCATGGCTGATCGTCAGCGTGCTACTGCAGTGTACCTCATTGACAAGTTCGCCCTCAGAGCAGGTAATGAAAAGGGTGAAGACGAGGCGGACACTGTGGGCTGCTGTTCGCTCAAATACGAGCACGTTACCCTCCGACCACCGAATACGGTTATCTTCGACTTTCTTGGTAAAGATAGTATAAGATTCTACGACGAGGTAGAGGTCGACCCACAGGTTTTCAAGAACTTGAAGATCTTCAAAAAGGCACCGAAGAGAGAAGGTGATGAGATCTTTGACCGATTGACGACCTCAGCCCTAAACAAGCACTTGTCGTCGTATATGCCTGGATTAACGGCCAAAGTTTTCCGTACTTATAACGCTTCTTGGACCATGGCCACCTTACTCAAGGAAATGAAGGCTACCGGTTCTATTGCAGAGAAGGTCAAAGCCTACAATGATGCCAACCGCAAGGTAGCTATCCTTTGTAACCATAAGCGCACGGTCGCAGCAGGGCATGCTGGCTCAATCGAAAAGATGGAAGAAAAGATAAATGGTCTTCGGTATCAACAGTGGAGAATCAAGGCGATGATTCTTGACCTAGATCCAAAGATGAAGAAAAAGCGCGGTGCGGAATATTTCGAGCGCCCGAAAGACCTTGACGATGAGTGGGTCGAGAAACACATTGCTGCGGAAGCAGAGGCCCTTCGCGAGAAAATTCGCAAGAAGTTCGCAAAAGAGAACGAGAAGTTGGTCGCCGAGGGCAAGAAGGAAATGAAGGCTAAGGAGCTGGAGGAACGTCTCAAGGAGGCCGATGCTTTTGAGAAGAAGTACAAGAAGGAGGCAAAGACTGGAAAAGTCGAAGCAGAAGGCAAAGGGCCAACCGTTGAAAAGCTCGAGGCCAACCTTGAAAAGCTTGCCCAACGAATCGAGACAGCGAAACTGCAGATGGAGGACAAGGAGAGCAACAAGGAGGTTGCTCTCGGCACATCTAAGATTGTAAGACGGTCGTCTGGCTCAAGATTTGTAATTGCGTTGCTAACCCGATTAGAATTACATTGACCCTAGGCTCACTGTCGTGTTTTCTAAGAAGTTTGGCGTCCCTATCGAGCGCTTCTTCTCCAAGACTCTGCGCGAGAAATTCGACTGGGCCATCAAATCTGTTGACGAGAATTGGGAGTTCTGAGCATCTCCAAGCATTTGGCACAGCACGCGACCATGACATCAAGTTATTGCATGAGCGGGTCCTGGAAGGTGGATTATCCGGGGTACAGGGTGGCGTTTTTTTTTTTTTTTTTTTTTTTTTGCATCACAGGTGGCAGCGATTGACAGCATTTACAGAGGCCAAACAGGCTTCCTTCACAAAATTACATAGATTTACCAGTGGTTCCACGCTCGTCTCCACTGGTGGCTCTGGAATATGACGAGCACGTCTTCAGACAATGTGGTCGGGAAAGGGACAGCAGGCTGGATGCAGTACGGGCGGTGGCCGCCTTGGACGGGCCGCAACACGGATGCCGAGGGAGACTCCCGTCAGTCATGTCCATCGTGCAACCGGATCGCTGGCTCGTTGGAAACAACCATGGGCTGAGCGGAGTGATGTAGCATAGTGCAAGCAGACAGATTGAACACGCAACAAGTTTGATTCGTCGTGGTGCCCGCACGCGGTTTGGTTACTTTTCTGTCATGCCATGACGCACCACGTCGATCGAGTCGGCGAGAAAGGCCATTATTGAAATGTAGGCGCAACGTTCAATAGGATGAGATTCGCAAAAGGCTAGAGGCTTTTGTCAAATCGCGGCCCACATGAGGACGGAATCCTGACTCGCCAAGGAGGGTTGCCGTGGGCTTCTGCACACCATCGCAATGTAATATCATTTCGCTTACCAGGGTAGGGCGGTCTCTTTGTCAAGCAGCAGCGGCTAAGCATAGATGAATCGTTCGTCGGCGACCAAGGAGGCACGCGCGGGGACGAGGCGCTCGAGCTGGCGATCGTTTGCCATGCCGCAAAGGGGGCCCGTCGTACTTGTACTTGTAGGAGCAGCAAGCGCCTGCTGGACTGCGCGGTTCGGGGCGGCAAACTATCGACGGCCAGCGCCGAGGGCGGCCAGGCAGAGGCGCCGATGCGGCCTGTTCGTGCCACGACTGCATCGCGTCGCCCAGCGAACAGCACTCTGCGCACCGGGTCTGCATGCACGGGACATGGCATCCGCGAGGATCGCAAGGTCGAGAGGACGTTTCGCAAGCAAACGCAAGCCTTTCTGGGTCGGAAACCCGGTGGGCAGGCGCGCGAAAGGTGGCGGATGTCATGCAGACCAGCGGTGCCAGCGCTAGGCCCGGAAACGGCTTGGCCGCGGCGGGAGAAGCCTTCAAACGATGCGCACTTCATGATGCGCTCGGAATCAGGATCGAGAGACAGAAGCCGTGGACGAGATGGCCGTCATGGGAGCAGCGGCACGCCTGGACTGGCCCGCCGTGCTTTGTGTGATAAGCAGCCCGTCCTGCACCGGCTGTCCGCCTGCTCAGACGCTTGACTCTGCCCGCCCTGCCCGTTGTGCGCCGACGAGGACGACGACGAGGACGACGAGGACCGCTACTTCAGTCCCAAACCTTGCTCCCGCCCAATCTCAGAATCAGGTTTGAGACGAGTCTGCTCCTTTCTTCTCGCCTCTTGTTCTCGACCCCACGGACGGACCCTTTCCAGGTGGAGATCGGGTCTTCCCACCATCGCCACGCTTCAAACGAAGAGCCCATTATTTGACTACACTTTGTCCGCTCCTTCATTCTTCCTTTGCACGCCTGCCGTTCCGCTTGCTGTCGGGCTCGGGCAATCTTAGTCCAGAAATCCCCAGCCTGGCCGTACTTGTATAAGATTTCCCACGGCCCGCTCCTTCGATACATTTCCCCGACTGCAAATTTGCTCTCTTCAAACGTGCTGTTGGACCAGACGGCCGAACCTCCTGCATATGCACGACTAGATCAACAGTCGTGCATCGCATCATCGTCTCAGCCTTTACAATAGCCCTTTGTTTTCCTTGGAGCAAATCCCAAGCCCAATTTTGGCCGCCCAACCCAACCCGACCCGACCCAGCGCTATCCTACTGGGGGACCGTTCCCACTTTCCAAACACCACACACCCCCCCCCCCCCCTCCCTCCCTTCTTTCTCCCTCCCCCTTCTTCTCCCGTGGGACTGCGCGCTTTATTCTGCTTTCCAGCTCCTGCATTTGCAAAATCCAGATCCACCGGCTACGGCAGCAGCACCCGAAGTCGACGCTTGCTCGGCTCTTTTGCAAGCCGGCTGGATTTCGGCCTGATTCGCGCGCCCTTTCGTCTGCATCTTACCTTCATAAAAGGACAAGTAAAACTTCGCAACATATCGATTCTCAAGGCAGCTCAATCTTTCTTTTGGTCAGCGCCTAGACCCTAACTCCAGAATTCCGCGAAGGACGTGTGAGCCCGACGGGTCTCGGATATTGTCCGTGGAACATAGGCGTCGTCTCCCGCCGGGCATATCTTGTGCATGCAAGCACGGCTCGTATCCTACACAACGATTATTGGCGTAGAGTTGCTTCTCCCGCGCGTGCTTAGCAAGGATGAGCGACGAAACAGGAAGCGGGAAGCCTGCGGTGTTGATAATAGGCGGTCTAGGTACGGTCCACTCACCTTCTATGGGCCTGCGTTCTTGTGACCCTAGATCTAATACACACTTTCAATAGGCTATGTCGGCCGTTTCCTCGCTTTGCACATTCACAAGAACAATCTTGCGTCTGAAGTACGGATAGTGGATAAGTTGTTGCCGCAACTAGCCTGGCTCGCGCCCGAATTTCAAGAGGCTTGCTCACAGGACAAGTTCATTCAGGCAGATGCCTCCAAGGAGGCCAACCTGTCACGCATATTCACAAGGTCGAATGGGAAAGAGTTTGACTATGTATTCAACTGTGGAGGGGAGACGAGGTACTCGCAAGAGGATGAGGTGTACAAGATGCGCTCGCATATGCTGTCAATGACCGTGGCAACGGAGGCTGCAAAGCGTAAAATAAAGTGCTTCGTCGAACTCTCGACAGGTATGGTGTATAAGCCAAAGGAGAAGCCGAGGCGAGAGACAGACGACCTAAAGCCATGGCTCAAACTCGCCAAGTGGAAGCTTGACACGGAAGAGGCCTTGAAAAAAATTCAGGGCCTCAACCTAGTGATCCTTCGTTTGGCCCACGTCTACGGGCCGTACACAAGCACATATCTAGCCACAGCGCTCTGCCTTGCTCGGGTGTATAAATATGAAGAAGAGACCATGAAGTGGCTCTGGGACAGAGATCTTCGGACCAACACAGTGCACGTCGAGGACGTCGCGCGTGCCTGCTTCTCAGCTGCAGAGTACTTTGAAAAAACGGCGCCCAAGTCGGCACTTATCTACAACATCGTTGACCAGGGCAACACCTCACAGGGCATGGTTGCCGACATTCTCAGCCAGATCTTCGGCATACCGATGAAATTCGAGGGCGGAATTGTGAGCAAGATGGCGATGTTGAAACTGGATTCAGTGGTGGATGAGCTGAACGATGACACGTTGGATCCGTGGGCAGAACTGCAACAAGAGGCTGGCATTGTAGAGCCGACGCCTCTAAATCCTTTTATGGAGAAGGAACTGCTAAAGGACAATGACTTGAGCCTGGACGGCTCGAGCTTTATTGAGGACACTGGATTCAAGTAAGTCATTTCCCCTACCATTCACTCAATCGTGGCGTGATCGTTATGCTAATCTATCTCCGTAGATACAACCACCCAAAGCTCACGAAAGAGGAAGTCGAGGATGTGATCGAGTCCTACAAGGCAATGAAGTGGTGGCCATGAGCCGATTCTGGACCTTCCGCTGAGAGGCCGCGACCAAAGAACCACTGATATAAAACATCACCATTCTTTTTTTTTGCCATGGCGGTAACACAATCGTCCGATATCCGGGCCCGAGACTAGCACTGTCCTCCTGTACTGGGAGGGAAGGGCTGGCGTGTATGATACGAGATCATGTGTGCGGACATAGGCATTGAGAGCGAGCGATTGACGGAACAAGAGCATAACGTAGTGCATTTAATATATAGACGATATCAATTCAATATCAAAATAGACCGTGTATTCGATCTTTGCTGTGAACATCTGCCCAAGGAGAAAATCTCTCGCCCGATTTCTCGTCCATCAGGGTAACAGCAGCGCACGTAAATTACTTCCCTTCTTTATGCTAGAGCTTAGATGACCCGCAATCGAAAAGATTTCCATGGCCTGGTGTGGAATGCTGAAGACACTGTCCGCAGGGCTTAATGAGACAAAAGAAAAGCAAACTACACGACTGACACTAAGCTAGTATTATTCATGAAGATTTTGAAGCAGGACAGAAAACGTTGTACACTTGCGTTCTATGACCAAGCTCCTTCCCCTCACAGCAGCTTTCCCCCCATTTCTAATGTGCGTGATCATGATCGTGGTCATGACTCTTGCCATTGCCGTTCTCGATCGACTTTCCACCGGCCTTACCGCCGGCGCAGCCCTTCTTGGACCCGACAGGACAGCACATGCCGCCGTCTCCACATTCGTCGTCGCAGTCGAGTAGACATCCATAGTCATCATCTGCACCAGAATGGCTCTGATCGCAGCTATCTTCGTCGTCATCCCTATGCTGGATCGCGCGCTCGATCATGCGATGACCATGCGTGGCTTCGCAGCAGAACTCGGGTTGAATGGTCGATGAATGGATACCATATGCGTGCAAACACTTGCGAATTTGCCTCGCTAATTGCATGTAGCGCTGGCTACCTTCTCCTTTGAATTCGAAGGCGACTTGAACGTGCAAGGAGGCGACCAATTTTGTATCGGACAGCTGCCAGACATGAAGATGGTGACATGAGACCACGTCGGGAAGGTCCGTAATATCCTGCTTAATGTCATCAATTGAGAGGCCGGCTGGGACGGCTTGTAGCAAGATACGCGAGGCAGCTTTGCAAAGAGGAATAGCCGAGCCGAGAATGATGACCGTGATGATGAGGGAGATGACAGGATCGGAATAAAATCTCCAAGAGAAATCCGTGAGCCAGATGAAAAGGGCAGAAGCAATGACGCCCACGTTTCCTAGAGCGTCTCCCAGAACGTGGAGGAAAACACCTCGCATATTCAAGTCGGCATGGCTGTGCCCGTGAGCACCGCCATCCTCCGAGCTCTTCTTTGGTTTGTTGTGATTGTGTGAGGAGTGTAGTGCGCCATTTGAAAGCGAGTTTCGATGATTCCTCCGTCGGCCTCGAGTGCTGCGCTTCGAAATCACGTTGCTCTTCTTGCCCAGGAGCGGCGATCCCTCTGTGGGGCCATGGTCATCATCGCCTTCGTCTTCTATGGCCTCTTCGTTCTCGCCATCTGTGTCCGTGCTGCTGCCTGACTGTATGTCTTCTAGTCTGGATGCGGCGATGATCTCGTTGCGGAACGAAGCTGGATGTATCGGCATTTCGTTGATGTTTGCGTATCCTCGTGAAAGGGATCGGCTACGTCTTCGAGCTCTACGTGAGGTCGCCGAGGGAGAAGATGCATTCTTGAACGATATGCCCTCCGTCCTTGGAGTCAAGCTGCCATAGCTAACATGTTTCTTGGTTTCCGCAGGAGATGCCGTCGACCAATTTCCTACTTGGGATTGTGGCAGCACATCTGCCACGTTACCACGCTCATCTGCCACAACCGTGCTTTCTGTATCGTGAAAGTGACTTTGGCTGCTGTGGTTGTGCGCATGGCCTTCTTCAGCATCCGCAATCTCGTCAGAGCCGTGCGAGTGGCCGTGGGAGTGACCGTGTCCGCCGTGCGAGTGATCGTGAAACAAGAACAGGCCTAAGATATTCGAGGCAAGGCCAAAGCATCCGACTATCAGGATCAGCTGTGGATGTGACACCTCCTGCGGCTCGAAGAATCGTTGTATGGCCTCAAGGAAGATGGACAGACACAAAGCGACGAGGAAGACGCCATTGACTAGAGCTCCTAGAGTCTCGGCTCGCTGCCAGCCATACGTGTACATCTTGCTGCGCTGCTTGGAGTTTGCCACTTTGACAGCCCACAGACCAACGCACAGCGAAAGCACGTCGTTGAGCATGTGAAAAGAGTCGGCCACCAGAGCGAGCGAGTGCACCGCGTATCCGATGATCAACTCGATCAAGAAGAAGATTCCGTCGATTGCAAGCAGGATCTGTATCCTGCGACTCTTGGACAGTGCCATGATGGCCAGCGTCGCAACTTCTGCCTCGCAGAGATCTCAAGGCGTCTCGAATCGGTGGTACGATGTGGCGATGGAGGTTGCGAGGTGACAGCGCAGAACGCAGGACGGCGGGATGAGAACAAGTATGTGCGATCAACCCATAGTTGAGTTGACTGGAATCAGTAGCGACAGAGTTGGAGGAAATGGATCACGAAAAGCGAACAGAGTGGAGCTGGTGTCGGATGATGTAAGGTTCTGACGCTGAGCGAATTGCGGCGAAATGCCGAAGCGGAACTGCGGCGTGCAGATGCCGTACTCTTTGTCTGCTGAGCCTCCCTCCCATTGTCCGAAAGGAACGGTGGCACAAGTCGAAACATCGAATTGTATAAAATCGCCCACAATATCTTCACGTCGAAACATGCATTCTGCACGCATGCTCTACATTTCGTTCCCGCTTTCACGAACATCGTCTTGCTTTGCCTTGCGGCTTTGTCTACTTACTCTTCGCTGGTAGCCTACCATTAGCGTTGTCACGGCCCATACCAAGCAGCTCAAATGCATTCCTAACGCCAAAGACAAGGCCTTATGCTCTATACAGTCCAGCCTCCAGACTACGTCTCTTTGTTTAGCTCCCCATGGTCCCTGTCAGCATTGAAGTTGCTGGCCTTAGCCGTGTTCATAAATCATACAAGTAGACCTTTCGATTGCCTTGATATTTGTGGCTTTTGCACGCTCGATGCGAACACTGAAGGCCCCACTTGTAGTCGGAGTCACAAGTGCTTCTTAAAAAGTCCCGGTCTTCTCATCGGCCGTCAGCATCATGCTTGATAGATACACCCACGGTGATCGCAAAAACCGTGACACAGAGCTAGATCCATGTTAATCAATGCATAACTTCCTTAAAATCGTCCAAATATCGGCGAAAGGAAAAAAAACCCCTACCGCGAGGCTTAGAGCCATGATCAGATATATCTCCCATCCACCTGCCCAAATCTTCCCCCTTACCATTGCAGCTTGCTGCCTCCAGAACCGTATCGCGCCCACGAGCAGGACAACAATACTGGACGCTATGAAGCATCCTGCCAGAGGTTTTCCTGTTACAAGATACCCAAATGTTGGACTTGCATTGGGACTATGCTGCAGCTGAAAGAGCTGGGCAATCACAACGCCCAACATCGCCAGTGCCGTAGATGTTCGCAGGTAGCCCAAAAACGTGCGCTCCAGGGCCAAATGGTCTCTCCGTTTTGCGATATCAATCTTGACGCTCACATGGTTACCCCACCAGCTAAATATTGGGTGGTACCATTTCCTCGGCGTCCTCACGAATTTGTACCGGCTTGGTTGGAAGCCTGCACGGCGTAGCGTTTCATCCTCTTCAATTTCCTCAGCCGTCTGCGAGCGTACGAGCTGGGGCCTTAAAATCCAATTCAGATCATTGGTTCCCCTTTGATGAATGTTGGTGCGATGCGCCGGTGGAAGGATCGATAGTTCGGTTGCTTCCCTATCGTCGTCCTCTCGCAGGAGCTCTGCAGCTGTCTTTCCCACTTGTCTGAGTCTTTCAGGGCCCGGTGGCAGCGTGTGCGCGCATGTAGGCTCTGCAGGTATATTTACAGCCATAAAGTTCGTGTCATTGGCGTCTCAAGGAGATCAATGATGAATGCATGGTTAATTTGCATGGAAGGCAATCATTACATCAGACTCGAGGGCGAATCGCGAAGTGCCGATACCGGCACTTCTTCAGAGCTGCCATCCTTAATCGCCGTCACCAAGGCAGACCTCTCCTTTCGCATTTGATATTTGTGCATGTGTTCTCTTTGTCATATGCTTGAACCGCACGACCACGGCTTCCAACAAAACTTGAGGCTCTGTTCCATTTATGACGATTTAATGAGGAGAGTGCAAGACAAACTCCAACCACCTCGGGCAGCCGGTTTTTGCAAGCATCTTCGTTTTAGATGGTGACATTGTCGAGAATGCGCGGTATGACGCCAAATACCTCTGGCCCTACGCCTACTTGACCAAAGATCGTGCCGGTGGCAGGGGAGGTAGAAAAGAATGCGAAACAAGCAAGCCACACGACAAGCCGGGGTTGGCTTAAGACTCGGACGAAGTGTGTGCTGCGTATCAGCAGCTGTCTTGGGGCATGGCGGAGCGAATAATCAGGGAGGAGTGTGCGCCGTGGCAGAGGAGCATCATGAGGTGAATAGATAAGGGCTTTTGGACAGGAAGTCATCTCGCGGGCGGGATCTGAAAGCTGTGGCTGATAGCTTGTACGGAGTGCACAGCAGTGACATACTGGGTGGTCAATCGTCCCACAGCACTCCGTGGTGCGTTGCGACAAGCCTCCACCTTTCGGACGTTTTGTCATCGCCAACCCCACGATGCGATGATCAAGTATGGCGTTGCACGCCACATTGAAGAAAGCATGGGCGAGTCAGGAACAGGAGGCGAGGTGCGGCACTTTGTCGATCACCCGGCTCTTCTTTGCGACTGCTCCCTGCATTTGTTAAGCTCCAAGAAGCAAGCCCATGAAACTTTCGCTGAAGCCATCCTTGTCTTCAAGCAAACCGATGGCAGCCTCCCGCCGACCTGTGCCGCAAGAAGCCTCCGAAATGACGGCCTCAACAGCGTATAGCGTTCGTATTTAGCAGGGGATCTGCGCGGATGGGTAACCTCGACGAGCAAATCAACGCACAGTGGGCCTTAGCCATTTGGTCGTTCGACCTGGGTGCAGCAACGGCAACAGCGGCGGCGGCGACAGCGGCGGCAGGTGCTTGATCGTGCATCTGCAAGCTTTGGAATGCATGCGCTCCTGTTTACTACTCCTACCGGTGGTGCTGGTGGTAGTGGTGGTGGTGGTGGTGGTGCTGCTGCTGCTGCTGGCCAAGCTTGCCGGCAAAGAGAAAGGAAAAGAGTCACAGCACAGCACAGCAGAGCAGAGCAGAGCAGAGCAGAGAAGAGCAGAGAAGAGAAGTGCAGCGCGGTGCAGAGCTCTGCGTACATCGTGCGCAGCCTCGCCGGGATGCAGGAACAAACCCTGCGCTCTGCAGCAAACCAAGAGAGGCACTCGCCGCGACACTGCATGTTTTGAAACTACCACACCAGCGGTTTTGCCCATCGGCGCTGCTTCCAGAAACGCTTTGGCCCGGCGCTCGATGGACCTGACTACTGTAGTACTGTCCTCCGTACAGTTTTGCGAAATGCGGCATTGCACAGGATGCGTCTGGGAGGTGGTTTCTGGCCTTCGCTCGCACACACGCGGGGACGGGGCCGCATCCAGGTCCAGGGTTCATAAACAGATACTCGTCTCGCAGCATCGCTGGTTGACGGCGTCCCCTTCATGTTCATTCGATGCCTTCTTCCCTGCTACCCATGATCCTTTCCCCCTTCTCTCTCATTCAGTCCACGATCGACTTTGCCAAATTACATCCCCTCAGGGCCATTGTTGCAGCCGACCGTCCACCAGCTGAGAAGCCTTTGTCCCACCCGAAATAAAAGCGGATAGGTCTCACGACAAGGTCTCATTCGGCACCGGTGCAGTCGCGCCATCGAGGATCGCTGTCTTTGTCTTCCTTGCGAGATATATATCTCGGTCCTTCTCCGGACACTCTCACGCACACGTCAGATTCTTCACCTCAAGACGGACACTCGTCTCATTTTTTGGCCTCAAGTTCTCGTCCCGTCTATCTTCCTCGCCGTGCGTCTGTTTCGTCTACCAGAGATGCAGCCAAACACTGTGCATACGTCTTCTGTTGATGTGGAAACGCTTGTCTCGGCCATCAAAACACTTTTCTTCCGAAGACTGTACAAAAGATGCGCCGATCAGTGTGTCAGGAATCTCACTGCCTACGGCCACGAGGTAGGCTTCCCTTGCTTATGGCACGGAGACGTCATGCTAATCCACGTGAGCAGCTACATCCCGCATACAAGATGTTCCTCCTGTATTTCGCAGGAATCTCAAATGACTGCTATGCCCGCAGCATGTATAGTCGCTCGCCGCTGATTCCGAGCGCCCTCGATGAAGCAGAAGCCTTCTTCACACAAGCGAGGGACTTGATATGCGAGGCCCGCGTCGCCCAGCATCACTCGTTCCTGCCCCAACCCCATGATTACCTCAGTGACGACTCCGATGACGGTAGCTCTTCCCGTTCGCTGCACAGGTCACGTCACTCAGAAGATATCACGTCAAGACCTTCAACAGCCGCCACTTCGGTCTCAGCCTACAGCACTAACACCGATATCCTTTTCTACGACTGGGCTGAGGAATCCGAAGCCAAGGCAGTTGTTTCTCCTCTTAATGTTCGCAAACACCACGCCCGCCCAGAGACGTCGTCCAAGCTCCCTTCGACTGAGTCTACGTCATTCGTTTGGCAATCAGCAACGTCGCTAGACGCTGCGACAACCTCAAGACCGAGTCCCCGGCTGGCTTCATTCTACCTGCTGAGATTTCCTCCAAGTGAGCCGCCATCTGAGCCGGCACCACGTATTGAACGGGTGGAACATATGCTCGCTGAAGAAGATGTGCCATTTCCAGACGAGGATGAATGTTTCCATGAGCCGGATCACGTAGAGATCTACAATAGCCAGCTCTTGACTTTCTCCGATATGCTCACGAATCACATCGCCAGTGTTCGGCGTTTCCGAGAGCAGATGAAATTTACCAACTCGCTAACCTTCGTTGCGGCGGGCCGCGATGGCACTGGCAAGCGCACCATGTCTATTCAAGAGCGTGCGGAGCGCATCATGCGCGGACGAGAACGGAATTGGGCGAGACCCCGTTTTGATTCTAGACGCTATCAGGAGCTCTGCGAGGTGGCAGAGGCAGAGCTTTGACATGACGATTGTTGAACCAAGTGCAGCAGGAATTGCACTTGAAAGGACGTGGATGCTTGTTGTGTCCATTTGGACGAGTTGGAAGATTCTGAGAATCAGCTCACGCTCTAGTTAATTATGTATTCATATCCTGTATTGTGAGCGAGCAGCTTAAGTTCAACTCAATCGTCCACGATCGCACGTATGGTGGATCCCACATTCGCGAATTTCACGAAGTGAATGAGATGGTTCCTTTCTTGGGAGCAACGCAGGCAAGATGATATATATACCCTTGCAGCCATAGGTTGAACGTAGCACTTCAGAGGCTGTCTGCTCCTAATGTAATCAGTGATGTAAAATTCTTTGGAAAATCTTTGCCCGACACCGCGAACCTTCCAGCATCAATAATATTGAGCCGTTCGGCACTTCGCTATTGTCGCGTGGTTCGAGTGCGTGCCGAATCCTTAGATCTTCTTCGCTGAACTCTCAAGCTCACGTCCATGCAGTTCGAATGTTTCTGCGGAATATCGGATCCAAGGATCGTCCGTTCGTTTAACATAAAGACATAAGAAAAAGAGACATCTTTCTGATCTCACACGGCATGCCACGGCCTGTTCATCCAGGTCACCTCCAAACCATTGTGGTTCCTAAGCGATATCCAAGGGCGGATCCGTGAGGAATTGCGAATTCCTGAGCCTGAGGGTCCAAGCTGCGAGAGCTACGAGCGGATAGAAACTTGAGAGTGATGGAAGAACATGGTGCGAACGGATCTCAACATTCGAACGATCAATGAACTTGTTCCCAGGCAGAAGATGCTGGCTACCCCTGGCGCTTGCTTTGACACCGCTGGTTGTCCGTGCGCACGGTGCTGGTGCCGAATGTCGCCCGCTGTACTCCGTACATAGCTTTGCGGCAGCGCTGAGGTCAGACAATGCTCTGCAGGCACATCGACGGCACAAGGAGCGTGAATGAATACCATAACTCTGGCCGCGCAGATCGCACGCCATCTGCCCGGGTTGGCGGTGCCCTGCGGACAAGACCCTGGGATTGGCGAGCCCCAGCAAGGCTGAGGCGGGGATTTATTGGTTGATGAACGCTGATTGACATTTGGGAAGTCACAACCGCGTAGGACTTCATCAGTCCTGCCTTCTCTGTGCAAGTCGGGGCTTGGGGAGCGAAGACATTCATTCTAACAAGCTCATCTCTGCTACATTGCATATCTTCCATTGATTCCCGAAGCTGTCACTGTCGCTTGCGTCCCTCGACGCCCAAGCTGCGTCGTGTCTGCTGTTGCACGTTTACAATGTTTCATATTTGAACAACGTAATCTTACTGACGAGAGAGTCGTGGCAGCTTTTGGACACTGACACCGCCCTTCAAAGCCTGGATTGATATCCTTTGTCTTCACTCGTCCCCTGGCAACAGCCCCCAGTGCGAACGTCACAAGCAGGGTCGTGCTGATTTCGTGGAAGCTCGCTACTCAAGGGCAGCCTTGCGCTCTGATGCCTTTATCATGTTCGGCAAAGCATTTAGAGCCCTGAGCTCTGGCTCTCGTGACCGAGGTACGTGTTAGCTGCCATTTCAATGATAGCATTGTTTTGACCGTGTAGACCGCTTCTTAGAAGATGCATATCTCGACCGCCCATCACCACGACCGCGACCGTCGGGTTCGGAATCTACACAGCGTCAATTAAAGGCACCCGTAGCCTTCGAAAACCTTCACGTCTCAGATAGCGATAGCGACGAGTATGGGCTGCCACAAGTTCGGAAGGGTAGCTTTTCCAGGAACGACTCGCACAAGAGGACACATTCTCGAGAGCAAGCCGAAGTGGAAATCAAGTGTCCTGGCTGTGGAGATCTTTCTCGACTGAAACTGTCTGATAATTGGCATGCTTGCAGGTTCTGCCATGTTAGACCTTTCGACGCGCGACGACCTCAAGCCGTCCATCCTGCGCCAGGAAAGCAGACTCAAAAGCAGTTGAGGACGCCGAGGCAGCTGGAGGAGAGTTTTAGAAATATGTACAGGAGACTGGGAGTGATCGTACACGACGAAGGCGCAGAAGTCAGACCATCTGAGACGGACCAAGTCAACAATGGTATGAAAATGCCACCAAGTCATAGAGCTCCAAGTTCGGCTCCCTCTTCTAAAAAACCCGCCGGTACAAGGCCTTCCGAACTTGACTTGAACTTGCTCGGGCCTAACAGGGCTCTCTCATCTTCAGTACCTCCCGTAGAATCACCACTTCGCACTCCTCCAGCTCAAGTTCATCCGTCCTGTCCAGCAATGCAACCAGCGTCGAGCCGACAAGGCCCATCCTCAGAGCACCCGCATGGACGAGATAAGTTCGTTATTCAAAACAACAGCCTCTCAACGCCTCGCGAACCGCCACGCCCTGTATCACGAGGATCGCCATATGCTTCTCACCAAAGCTTAAAAACCTCTCCCCGTAAGCGAATGCCGAACGTGAGCACCGTAGCTAATGGCTATCGAGGTCCTGAAATACATCATTCACCCAAGGAAAGAGCGAAACAACAGCTACTGGAGTGTTTCCAAGCAGAATTTCGCAGTTTATTTGGCAATGTGGATTTTCTTAATGGGAGCTTCTGTTCGTCTATTCGGCCTAAAGGCTCAAAACGGTCCATGAGCGAAGGCTCAAATATATCTCTTAAGACAAATGAAAACGGTGCTGTAGGCCCTGTACTTTCAAAGGATGATTCTGAGAAAGGAGCTCCCACTAAAACCCGCATGGGTAAACCTCTCCCGCCCATTCCAAGTCTGGTCCCAGACTTCCCCGACAGCAAAACGCTTCTCGCAGGCCACATTCATGATATCGTTTCCAGTCTTGTTGAGTTTGGAAATCAACGACCATTCGAACGAAGCACAACTGTTGCGCAAAAATCGACGTACCAGACATCGCCACATATTAACTATCCTGAGCTGCATGCTTATCATTCCATCCTGTCACGATATACTCTTGACGTAGACTATTGTTTGACACTCGTTGTTCAGGAGGGAGACAATCCAGACAAACGATGTTCGATTAAGACTGAGGTCGTACGTTTCATAGGCAATCTACTCTCGGCCTGTTTCGATGTCCTATTTGATGTGCTCACAGCCGCTAGAGAGGAGCCTAAAGCACCACAAGGTGCCAGATACTTATTGATCATACTCTCAACGCCATGGCTCCTACGGCCCTTGACTCCTCTTGCAACAATATATAGACGTTGGCACGACGAGCAAGCTGCTCGCTATAGGCATGAGCCTGTCGGGCGGCTAGAGGATGAAGCACGATTACTCCTTCTCGATCATCCTCAAGATCAAAAGTCGGTCACGTCGTTGCGGGACCGAATCATTGGCCTATGCTTGGGCAGGATCGCTAATCTCTCCGACACTGTGCAGCACGTGTTTGCTCGCTGGTTTGCGAACATGCCTGTTAACATCTATGTGGAAATAACGAAGACGGTCCAAGACTTCAACCTCAAGCAAATCAAAAGCATCCCTGTCGAACAGCACTCGCGGACAGAAGAAACAAGGCAGCTTCACGACAGAAGATTCCTCAGCGAAATGCTAGGCACGACGAATATTGAGAATTTTGACAACGACTTTGAGGCTTTACCGTGGTACTCAAAGAAAAAGAGTGCTTGGAAGCTGCGAACATCCTGTCAAGTTTTGCAACTGTTAGTTGTTGCGAATGACATCAAGACTGATACTGCATCTCGATACAATTCCGCACATGGTAAAACTCGCCCATCAGAGGATATGTACAAGCCATTCCCAGTTGACTACTTTTACACACCATTGCTTGATGCCGAAGCTGGTCGCCTTGACGTAGCATTAGATTTCGAATTGTGGGACTCACGAAGGGGTAATTTCACCATGTGCCAATATCCTTTCTTGATGACGCTTGGTACAAAAGTGCGAGCACTGGAATACGACAACGAGCGCAGGAAAAAGGATGCAGTGCGTCAAGAGTGGCATGCGAGCAAGGGCATGTCTGCAGATCCCTACTTTCACCTTACCGTGCGCCGTGACTACATAATTGAAGACAGTTTCAAAGTTATCCGACAAGCCGTTGGCTCGATGTCTAAAGTCACTTCAAAGAAGCTGCGTGTTCACTTTGAGGGAGAAGAAGCCGTGGATGCAGGTGGTCCTCAGAAAGAATGGTTTCTCATTCTTACCGAGAAATTGTTCGACCCAGAACTTGGTAAGATGGTGACGAAAATCACTAAGTCTCTTCCTTTTGCTGACGTATAAAAGGCCTCTTCTACCTCAGCGATTCTGGATATTTTTGGTTTAATTCAGCTTGTAAACAACCAAATGAATATTTCGAACTTGTGGGTGCGGTCTTCGGACTAGCCATATACAACCAAACGTCGCTATTTGCTCCTTTCCCTCCGTTTCTATTTAAAAAGCTCGCTGCGGCTGCACCAAGGCAAAGCAACGTCGGCATTCTTTGGCGACACCTATGGCGTCCTACTCTCCAGGACTACGCTCAATTATCACCTGACTTTGCAAGAGTTTTGAAGCAAGGTTTGGAAGACCCGTCGGTGATGGAAGGTCTTGCTTTTGAAATACCAGTATGGCAAAATGGACAGAGCGTGTATCATGCTCTGGAACCAGATGGCTCGAACCGAATTATTAATGCAGGCAACATTGATGAATTTGTGGAGAAAGCCGTATCATACGTGCTGCAAGACTCGATCAACAACCAGTTCAGGGCCTTCGCACGTGGATTCCATTCTATTTGTGGCGGCAACGCGCTGTCACTGTTCCGCGGTGAAGAGCTTGAGCTACTTGTGCGTGGTTCTGAAGACTTTGACTTAGAAACATTGCGCGCTGCGGCAGTATACGACAATTGGAAACGTCTAGGCACGGATGAAGATTTACAGACCGAGGACGAGGTGGTGCAGACCTACCCTCTGGTTAACATGTTTTGGAACTACTTTCAAGCGGCCGACATCAAAGAACGCAGGAGGATCCTACGCTTCATCACAGGAACGGATCGGTTACCTCCAGCAGGCATCGTCAATCTTGTCATCAAGATCAGCCGACAGCAGATGAAGAAGGGAGAGTATCGATATCCATCTGCGCGGACTTGCTTTAATCAGATACTTCTGCCGGACTGCTTTGAAAAGCAATCAATTTTCGACAAAGTGTTTAAGAATGCACTCGACATGGCTGGCACAGGGTTCGGTATGAAATGATTCAGGTACAGAAATGCCACTAGTAGATAAGCTCCTCCTGCAAATGAAAACACGTGGAGAGAAAATGCAACAAGATTACTGTTCGAGACTCTGTACACTGCGTATGTGGTGTGCGGCCGAGTTCTGTCCCAACCACCAGTGCCACGACGAGCTTGCAGATTCTGCCTGCGCAAGAGAGAGTGTGAGAGAGGTGGCGTCAGCGGTGAGCAGCTCAGCCGGAGCAATGCCTGTTCTCCGGTGAGCTCATTGTAATTCGAATCAATTTTAAGGGGCAAATTGCCAATCACCGTTCGTAGTCGACCCGTCTCCGTCAGCTCATTGGCCGCCGACTGCGGAGCGAAGGAGCTCGGGCTGAGAGAAAATCTGGAGTCGCCGGATCCAAAGAATTGTCTCGACTCATCAATCCAAAATAAAGTCAATTGAAATCCTTCCTGCACATTTCCAACTCAAACTGCACACTCTCCACTCTTTAAACACAAGATGGCCTCAAGAACAGCTTCGCGAGCCCTGCGCTCATCTATTCAGCAGCTGGCAAAGCCAGCGGTACAACGTCGAAGCTTCATTGCTGCTGCGAGCACGGTTCGAGCAGCTCCCAAGGTTGCTGTGACCACGGGTATGCAGCAGCAAAGGAGGGGAAAGAAGACGATTGATTTTGCTGGTGTCAAGGAGGTCGTGTATGGTATGTGTCTTGCTTCGTCGTCGATGTCCAACCTTGCGTCGTTCGTGTGCTTACCCTCTGCTTACAGAGCGTGAGGACTGGCCGAGAGAGAAACTTCTCGTGAGTCGTCTCCAAGAAATGAATCGACTGCAAAAGACACACGTATGGTATTGACAATCGGCGAACAGGAGTACTTCAAGAACGACACTCTTGCCCTCATCGGCTACGGCTCCCAGGGTCACGGTCAAGGCCTCAATCTGCGTGACAACGGCCTCAATGTTATCATTGGCGTTCGCAAGAACGGCGCTTCATGGAAGGAGGCTATTCAAGACGGTTGGGTGGAAGGCAAGAACCTTTTCGAGGTCGACGAGGCTATTTCCAGGGGCACCATCATCATGAACCTGCTCTCAGACGCTGCCCAGTCGGAGACCTGGCCACACATCAAACCCCAGCTGACCAAGGGCAAGACGCTCTACTTCTCCCACGGCTTCTCGCCGGTCTTCAAGGAGCTCACCAAGGTCGATGTGCCAAAGGACATTGATGTCATTCTTGTTGCGCCCAAGGGCTCCGGTCGCACCGTCCGTTCTCTCTTCCGCGAGGGGCGTGGTATCAACTCGTCTGTCGCTGTCTATCAGGACGTGACGGGCAAGGCTCTCGAAAAGGCAATTGCGATGGGTGTTGCCGTTGGCAGTGGCTACCTCTACCAGACTACTTTCGAGAAGGAGGTCTACTCCGATCTGTATGGCGAGCGCGGCTGCCTTATGGGCGGTATCCACGGCATGTTCCTCGCTCAGTACGAGGTCCTCCGGGAGCGCGGCCACAGCCCATCTGAGGCCTTTAACGAGACGGTCGAGGAGGCCACTCAGAGCTTGTACCCGCTCATCGGTGCACACGGAATGGACTACATGTACGCTGCCTGCTCAACCACTGCTCGTCGGGGCGCCATCGACTGGAGCGCCAAGTTCAAGGACGTCCTCAAGCCGGTCTTCAATGAGCTTTACGATAGGGTGCAGGACGGCTCGGAGACAAAGCGAAGCTTGGAATACAACAGTGCTCCCGACTACAGGCAGAAGTATGAGGCTGAGATGGAGGAAATTCGCAACTTGGAGATCTGGAGGGCTGGAAAGGCAGTCCGGTACGTTCTTTCCCGTCCCATATGTGCGATGATGTTTGAGGCTGACTTTACATGTCTTAGCTCCCTCCGCCCCGAAAATAACTAAACAAATTTCGTCGTCGGCGTGAAGGCTGGGATGACTTAAGAAGAGAAAGAATCACATCTTTCGTTCCATTGGCTGGCAGATGGAGCAATCGACGCAAAAGCATTTGTTTTGTATCATTAGCTGGCTTTGTAGGGAAAACGGGAGTCGCCCGATCATGTGGTGCTGGAAACACGGTGGGTAAATTTTTAGCTAGCGAGCAAGGCAATGTTTCCCGCATCTCGACCCAACTGTTGATGCAATGTTGTGAGAGCGCAATCCAAATAGATATCCGTCCCTGCTGGGCAGCTACCGTGCTCGGAGCCAATCGCCATCCCGAGAGCTTCGACGTTGGCAAAAGCCCGGCTCGTAGAGCAACGAAAGCACAAGCGACACACCCTTCTCTGCTTCTCGGGTGTTTGAAGCGTCCCCTGTTTGCGTGGTTGATGGGCATTCACGGAAACGGCGACGGCATCGCTCGACCAGGTAACCCACGGCCGTGGCGGACAGCATCGAGGGGCACGGAATGTGATGCACTCCGCATTTCAAGCGACTCCACAGTTCACCTCGGTCCTGCACGAAGGGACTGACACGGCGAACACGATTTTTCTCGTCCAAACTAGCTCCAAAGCTTAAGGCTCGACTGGGTTCTCATTATCTCATAACAACGGGCAAGTGTTCCTGCTTTGCCCGGGAAGGCGGCCTGCTCTTCCCATCGGCGGATGCTACGGCTGGCTGGCGGGCTTCGCGCGCCGTCGCCGGCGTGGGAGGCCTCTTGTCGCTGAACGCAGGGTCCGCGTGCGTGTTCCTGATCCCGCCCCCACTCGATTGTCTTTCCTGCTCTCTCTTCCTTTCCCCGTTGTCGATCAATCCGGAGCGAGCCATGTTCTCATCGTTCCTCGACAAGCGGCCGCAGCCCCGTCAACGGGACATGGCCATGGGCTCCATCGTGAACAAACCGCCGTCCAGATCTGATCGTCGACCGTGTGCACGGCACGCGGCTTTGCTGTCCTTTCCCCGATCTTCTGTCCGTCGCGCTCGACCACGCGGATCCGATGCCGTCGCCTGTCTGCGGCCGATTTTGCGCGCGAGTGCGGGATAAGCATATCCTTCCGTCGATAAAGGTCGTATGCACACCAAAAGCCAAGGACCCAGCCCAGCCAGACGCGGCCATCGTTCCAACAGCCGTATCCCGGAAGTTCCCATTGTCGGGACACGCGTAGGCACCTGTCCCAGCTCTTGGATTCGCTCTGCCACCGACATCGTGTACCCACTCGCTGCGCTTTTCGAAGCTTTCGGGACCATACCCTTGCACTTTCCCACAGTCGACAATCAAGCTGTGGATTCAGCCGACGTGAAGCACAGTGTTTCCAATCGGCCTAGTCATCGACGTTCGTGGACTAAAGACGCCGTCTGTTTCCTTTTGCGCGCATTTTGTTCCCCTGTTGGGCGCTGACGCGCAGCGACGATTACTCCTCAACCTTCACCCTTTGCTTATCGACATCCTTTCCAGCCTTACCGTAAATATTGCCTTGTGTGGCTGACTAGACGTGTGCTCGTAACACCCAGCCAGGCTAATGCATGGCCCAATCATAGTGCTAGGTTAGCGAATAATTCTCTTTCGCCAATGCAGGTGGAGGTATCGACATCTGTGAGATAAACCAAGGCCGTCCTACTTAGCCATGCCAAAGTCCTCGTGGACCCGTTGTTCTCTCTGCCACACGGACCTTGTTCCATCTGACATTGCGTGTATGGATAGCAGATGATAGAACGGCACAATTCACGCTCTGTTTTTGCACAATTTCGTGGACTGCCAACTAGATGCATTGACAATGTCATCCGGACTAGAGCTGAGTTTCGAATTCAGCAACGCTTTTCCAGAAAAGAAGGAAGATCACCCACTCTTCATGAGACAAGGGGGGATAAGAGGATGTCTGAAACTGAGAAACCCTGGAGGGATCGAAGTGGACAAAGTAAAGCTTATACTGCGAGGTACGACTAGCATTCAAGAATGACAGAAATTTAGGCTCAAGCACGAAGCAGGCTACATGTTCAACACAATCGGACATGGTTGTCAGGAGCTCTATCAGCCCCATAAACTACGAATGGAGTCGAAAATCCTTCACATGATCGACGTGCAGGACTCTTTTGCATACGCACGAGATCACTGTGCTGGTCGGGAGGAAGTGTTCAACTTCGACTTCCAACTGCGAAAGGCAAACTATGATCTGGACGAGTCTTTAGACGACGGGGAGCTTCTGAGACAATTCAACGGCTTCCTCCCTTGTTCACTCGGTATATTCGGACCCTGGTGCCAGCACGCTGTTGGACAGGCGTGCTGTCAGGCCGAGGCTCTTGTCAAGTACGAGCTGGAAGCAAAAGTTTTCAATGGCGATGACTGCGTCGGTTCGGGCTTTCGCCCGCTGAGAATCTTCGACTGTCCCGATACGAACCCTCCGCCGGTTCATCTCGAGCACTTTCCCGGCGAATACACGTGCAGTGATGAGCAACGCTTGAGAACGCTGTACAAGATGGGCAACCCCCTTCTTCGAGTGAGCGTTGTGGAGCCCAAACCTGTTGAAATCCGACCGAACGGCGAAATGGCCCTGGCAGCTCTTATGTTCCGCTTCACAATGCGCGGTGTAGACGCGCCGCCAAAACAACTAGAAGTCCGGATCAATTCGATGCTCAAGGCCATGACTTTCATCGCAGTGAATAAGTTGGGAAGCCAGCCGACCGTGAGCCTGTCAAAGAAATGCCCTCTCGTAGCTGCGGTTCCAAAATGGGGCCGATCGTACCATCGCAAACTACGCCTTGGTCAGTGGGTGGGTGGTGAAAAGCCTGGAGAATGGGTTGCCAGCGCTCTTATATGGATGCCTGTTTGCGAAAACTCAACACCAGCACCTACATTCTTCACGCCCAGTCTGTCTAGAAGATACAGCTCTGTGCTGCGAATCGAAGTCAAGGGCGCTGGAAAGGCAGTCTTCAATTTGCATATCCCCGTGCAAATCGTATACCCAGATCCCATCGCTGATGTGCCAAGTTACGAGACTGCAACGAGCACGCCGAGCTCAGAGGAAGAAGGTTTCAACTTTGGAATCTCTGACGAACTACCAATTTATGTACGCTGAAAAAGAGTTTACCACGTCGTGGACAGAGCGTACAAACAAACTAACGAAAGTCCTCGGTTTCGACCACTTATTCACAATGATGCTTCCCTCACGAGGCTTTTAATTCTCCTAGCAAGGGATAATTCTTTCTCTCCTTCCCTCCATCCATCCAAAGGACTCCTTAGAAGGGCTGACGATTAAAAGCATCCATACAAACACCCACGAAAAGAATCTACAACTCCATCTGTATGTTCTCAGTAGGATCGACTAGTCAATCACGGCATTTCGGCACGCTCAAGAGCGCATCATCGGAAATCGTCGCTGTTTTCAGAGCCTACAACCTTGCACATCGTGTATACAAAGGTTCCCGTACTCACAGCACAGAGGAGCAATATGGCGCTAGCGGCTTCGGTTGTTCACACTAAGATAGCACTCAAGCCTTCTGTCCCAGACAATATCGACGGCCGTGAAGTGATGGCAACGAAAACCTGCATAGTGATCCTTACCATTTCTCTCATCTTGCCAACACCTGCCGTTTTGGTGGCTGCGAGCACGGCTTGCAAGACGATCGAGCTTCTTCAAACCGTTGCCTAGATCACCGAAGGGGCCATCTTCAAGCTGTAAAAGCGGAGTTCGCTCAAGTTAACAGTGGAATGATATTCGATACCCACCCGAAACAGGTCCTCATTGAAGCCCTGCGCCTCGCGACGGCAACTTCGCTTCCGAGTCTCCGAAAACAGTTGGGATTCTCGGTATGCCAGAATTTTACGCGGAAAAAAAGTTCAAGGAAGTCGACATATCTCTGCACGATGGCCACGTTATTGTCAGTTCAGCAAAGGAAAACGTAAGCCACATGCTCGGTAAAAGAGGGGCATACGTGCGCACAAGTCGCGCTCGTTTCGTCCATTATGATCGTCTCGACCCTTTCTGCTTACGTCAAGAGCTGGTTCCACGAATGGCCTCCTCAATGGCCGTGGCGATATTTACCAACAAGTTTTTTCGGCTACTGTGGCGGTCTGCGATGCTGACGTCGCGCGTCTAAGATCTTACCGTTCGACGGTTATGGACAGAGATAGTGTAGCTAGGACAATGGCAATGAATGCGTACTTCAGAGAAATGGAAAAACGAATGAAGCAAGTCCTAAGCTCTGTATGCTTTTTGGGCATATTAAAAATGTAGTTCAATAGGACTTCAAAAGCATAGACAAGGTCGTGGTGAAATACAGGCAAAAGTTCTTGTTGAGTTGCAATATTTTATTTGATAGTGATGCCAGAACACAAATTTTTGGGCGCTTTGAACATTGCAAAATGCCCATGAACAAATAATTAAAAAGGAAAGGAACGCAAAATTTCGACAAATGTCGGCCTTCCAACGTCTTATTATGCTAATAGAAAGGGAATGGAGTAGCAGGTGTTACGTATGAAGCACGTTCAGAGATGCAATGCCTAGGCGCCAAATAGTTTCCATCCGGTTTAGGATTTTTATCTACGACGAATTCAACGCCCAGGCATTTTCAGCCGCCAGACCAGATCCGATTTCATGCAAATATGACATTAACCACCACGCCTTGAATGTAGTGGCAGGAGGGAAGAGTTCAAGCTGCTTCTTCAAAGCGAAAACATCTACTCGTCATCTTCATCACCCTCATCCGCCTCGAGTACAGTCATAGCAATGCGGTCCAAATCTCGTTGGCCAGCCTGTGTGATTCTGCGGCCACCCTTGTCTTCGTCCTGCTCGAGAACACCAACTTTCTCCAGAGCCTGCATGGCTTTACGGTCGACCGAACCAGATGCATCGACATGATGGCATGGGCGCGAGCCACGGTTCTTTGTGCTGCCGTGTACCTTCCTTAGACGGCCAACGCCAACGGTCTATGCAAAGTTAGAAGAGAAGTTCATGGGGACAGACTGTTGGGTGGGTAATGTTTGTAGTACCTTGCGGAGATACACGTGGCGAGCGACAGCGGCGCATCGGACGAACCACCAGTCAGGGTTCTGTGGAGGGAGCTCTTTCTGTGAAAACGGTCAGAAAACTTGTCTAGGACATAAAAGCACGAAATGGCGGGAGGCAAAGTCAAGAACGTACCGAGTGAGAGGTCTTGACCAAATCTTGCCATGCTGGTAGGAAGACACCAAGTTAGCTCTGCACGTCGAACTAGAACATGGTGTGTGGTTTCCCCTCTGTTAGGAGATTCCAGCACGACTGTTTAATATATGGTGTGGACTAACGAGGCACTGGAAGACGACCTTGTCGCTTCAAAAAGGATGCGTAGGCTTCGATGAACTTGTCCGCCTGTGTGGATGGCACCGTCAGTGATGGATTCACCCAAAGAAAAGAGCCAATGGACACGATTGAAGGACTCACAGGGACATCGCGAACGCTGACACCACCCATTGTAAAGGATTATTGCGGCTTGACGCTCGACTGATTTTCGCGGGCTTGCAACTTTCGAAGTCGCAAGCGGCACTGCACAAATTCGACGTGTGGGCATAGCCTTGCCTTGATGCCTTGCTTCCTTGCCGCCTTATCTTCTGGCCTTGCTGCCTCAGACGCAGTGGTCTCGTGATGTCACATGTCGTGACCCGCCCAAGTCCACCCAACTGGTTAGTTCCCGTAAAACAAGCACAAGCACTGAGTGAATGTTAACGAAGTGAACGGTTATCGCACGCGAGCCTGCCTGTCCTGGATGAGCCAAGCCTGGGTCTGACCGGGTCTGCAGATCCTATAATTTGAACCTCCGCGAGCGAGACTCTTCAACAGCAGCGAACACATGTTTGCTCTTGATTCCCAGATCCCATTCGGAGCAAAGTTTGAGCGCTTTCAGTTCACGGCATAATTCTTGACTTGCTCTTGTTGATGGCATTCACTGTTCTCGGCGTGCTTTTGGGCAATAGGGTTTTTGGGTGGGTGAGACATCTGAAACGGGGGTTCACAGCGGCGGCGTCCCATTGGTTCTCGCATCGCTTGGTGCAGCCTGGGGTCGTTCGTCTACGCCTTATATAGATAACCCAGTCGTCTCACTGCGTTCTCTTGTCTCGCCGTCTGGCAGGCAACAACTGAAAAAGCTTCCATTGACCCCGCGTGTTGCCAGCTCGCTCTCCTTTATCTTCATTTTCTACGTCCGTCATACCAGCGCACTTCTTTCAATATCGGCCCTTCCTTCGTTGAGCTCCTTGTTGACCCCGATCTATCCCCTGAATCTCGCCATGACGGGCCACCTCCTAGGCGCTCTCGCCCGACGTGGTTTCGAAGCTGCTCATGCTCATTGGCAGCCTGCAAACGGGCAGTCTGATGTCGATGGCGTGAAGAAGATATTGGGGAAGGTGCCCACATGGGGTGTCGTTCTCATGGCCATCACCTTTGTCCTTTTCGTCCTCCTTGGCTCGAGTGTCGAGTACATAATCCGCCTAGTTTATGCTCATCTCGCAATGATCGAGACGCCAGAGACCACGGTTGAAGTCCACGTATACCAGCCAGCTTCTGTGGAGGATGCGAAGATTGTACAGAACTTAGTCGAGGCCGGTCTGATTGAGGAATCTGCGCTAAATCCAGAGCCAACAATCACGGAGCACCGCAACGCGATAACTTCCTCCCTTCACCGTACAAAAGCCCATATTACAAACATTGCCGGTCCAAAAGCTAGATGGCGAGGTCTGCCAATCTTCATTCTCTACGTCCTCACAGTTTCCGTGACCGGCTGGATTCTCAAGAAGCCTTTGCGTTTGGAACTCCTTCCACTTGGCAACGTCATGGTCGATATTTTTGCAGCCGTTTTCGCGGCCCGGCTTCACTGTGCATGGACACACAAAGTCATCTCCATGCCTTCCGACAAGAAGTTGAGGCAACGCATGATTTCCCGCGCACAGTGGAAAGAACTTGCCCTTCCAACCGCTCTCTCCGCTGGAGCTCACGGGGTTGTCTTTGAGGGTGTAAAGATTATGCACCACTTCTCTGCTGAGGCATGCCGTGTCCTTGACGCGCACCAGATCAACAAGGCGTTACTTGTGCTCGTTGCTGTCGTGCCGGTCCTCATCGGCGTCGCTGTGCTTTCACTTTTTATCCTTCTCCCTGCATACGTCACTCTCGTTCGCAAGGAGGCGTCGCTCCTCAGTCCTGAGGAAGAGACTATTGTTCCGATGGATCGCACCTTCGGTGGCAGAATCCAATATATCGGCGCCAAGTTGAACATCGGCGATGCCTGGAACAGCTTCACATGGGAGGCTCGTCGCCGCCTCATCAAGCTCTACGTCAAGTTCTTTTTCGTCATGAGTGCGCTCATGCTCCTGTTTGTTCACCTTATTGCGCTCGAGTTTCTATTAGCCCTTGGTGGTGATGCAAAGAACGTATTGCAAGATATCCAAAGTCATATTAAGATGTGAGCAAATGGGAATTGATGTTTCCAAAAATTTCAAGAGGCCTATGGGAAGTGCTTTGCGCAGAGTTCAACTTCGCGTTAACCCTAAAATCTACTCATGGTGATGAGAAGCTAGTAGCAGCTGCTACGCGTTTGGACTAAATGGGCAAAATATCCTGTACCATATCTTAACAGGTCAACGCGTTTGAATACAGAGTACGTCGATAACCGACTTCATTAACTCCCTAACTTTGATTATGCCTACTATTTACTCTCGGTGAAAGCATCGAAGACTACGATAAACACTCATATCTTACCCATTTTCTCTTTCTAGATATCGTAACACTTTCCATCTAACAGTGGTATCGCACAGGATTGGGTCATGCGTTGCCCTTTGTGGACCTCTGGTCAGTTTAACCATAATTTCCTGACTTGTCCTCAATTTCGTTCAACTTCGACATTTACTACCAAAAGACATGATCCTGGAGCATATTTATGAAATTTTTTTAAAGTTCCAAGTGACTTTGAAAGGCATTTACACTATTGCGTCGTGGCACTTGGGTCATTGAAAATGGCACTAAACTTGAAATCTATCTTTGGCCTGGGTTCGAAATCGAGTTAGTCAAAGAATAAGCATAAGTGTTCCTCTTTATTGACGCATTGACAGGGAGGCTATTTTTTTCCTCGTTACTAATAGCATGATTGTCTTTGGCCTTGTGGCTTTCGACCACGCCTTGGCTATTTTGCACGCATTTGCCTCAGACACGGAGAATGTCCAAAACTTGCCCAGTCCAGCGAAATTGATCCAGGCACTGTTGAAGCCAAAATCAGACTACGATTTTGAGCGTCTTGAGGGTATACGGGATGCTATTAAGCGCCTAAAGCATAAGAGCCACAGCTTCTATCTGGCTTCTGGGCATTTGGAGGCCAACTTCGCATTGATCTTATGCTTCTTTACTCCTACTGCCGCGTCGCTGATGATCTTGTCGACAATGCAACTTCAGCTGAAGAGGCAAAAGCATGGATTGAAAAACTTCAAGAATTCCTGAAGATCTCATATGGCACCGAAAACGAAAGAAAATTGGTTGAAAGCTTCGTAAGCTGCCATTTCCCACAGACAGCTAGATCGGCATTTTTACTGCTGCCCACCCGGCTACTTAGCAAAGCACCACTTTACGCATTGCTGAAAGGCTTCGAGATGGATCTCCAGTTCTTCCAGGCAACGAGTGAGTCAAAATTCCCGATAAGAAATGAGGATGATCTTGAGCTGTATAGTGCTCAGGTTGCAGGGACAGTTGCCCATCTCTGCTTAGAGCTAGTTTTCTATCACACTGAACCAGATATGCCCGCAGTAACACGGAAGAGGCTGATTGATGCGGGAGAAAAGATGGGAATCGCGCTTCAGTTAGTCAACATATGCCAGATGTTGTCGTGGATGCAAGAATGGAACGCGTGTATCTCCCAATCAATTGGCTCGAGGAGATTGGTCTATCAGCCAGAATTGTAATCAACGAACCAAATGGGGTGAAATAGACCAGCTTAGACGAAGAATTCTTGCCAAAGCGTTCGCCGTATATTTGAACTGTAGGGAGGCTATTGAAGAGTTACCAGCTCAAGTGAGAGGACCGATGGGCGTGGCCGTGGAGAGTTATATGGAGATTGGACGGGCTTTAAGCAAAGGACACTGCCAGACAGAGCAGGACAAGGCCACCGTGCCGAAGTGGCGGCGAATACTTGTGGCATGGCGCGCGCATAGCGGATCAATGCCATGTCAAAAGTTGGAGGTCGCTTAACCTCATCCTTGAGTAGTGTGGAGTTAGATCGTGTCCATGTGTTCGCATGTTCGATTGTCACATTATCTTGTGATAAAGACGTTAAGAAAAAATTTAGGCTATCGATTACGGCTTCATACCTGCAGTCAACCCCAGCTCATAGACTGTGATTATTATCCGTTCTGCAACAGTTTTTCTCATCCCGGTGCGTTGCAAGGTTGTAATAAAGCATGACGTCTTACCACACGAGCGTGAATACTGATTTGGTTCTTACCCTTGACCGGGAGGAGGACAGTGCAACACATGAGGTCGCAATAAGCAAAGAGAGTATTGTATTCCTTGGCATTTCAAACCCTGCAGTCCCAGATCTATACTATTCAGACGAGCTGTAACTATAACCAGCAGCCATGGACCGAAGAAAGTATCGCAGGATCGCGAGCTTCAAGCAACCACCGTGGTAACGTCCAATTTCTTAACTGTGGCTGTGGGCTTAGCTAGCTTCGTAGTTCTATCGTTCCATCTCTTTGGCATGCCACGAGAACTGAAAATTAAGATGGAGAGAATAGCACTCAAAGCGATGGGTGAAAAAAAGGCTTGTTTATTGTCAGAGGTAGTTGCGTCAAAAGACTTGAACGGTGTGACAAAATCACGCCGAGTTAAGGCTGATTTTTCCAGATTAAATCGCAAGGATTCCAGCCTCGGACCAGGAAGATGTCAAGGAACTAAAGACCGAACTTGGGAGAGAATCAGGACGGTCTTTTCAGAATCCTATGGATGAGGTTGTTGGCGAAACTGCAGACGCGCTGACAAGTTTAGTTCATCGCGAAACCGGGATTGATGCGCAGGCTTAGTCAATCGAGCATGACTTTGGTCGATGTGTTGGAACACTTTACCAGCAACAAAGACATGGGAATTCTCTTTATTCACCATGCAGTTCAATTATTAAATATCATTTCGAACAACATGGCAGATGAGTTCGATAGCAAACTTTCCAGAACCCGAAAAGTCCATGATTGTGAAACTTCAGAAGCCGCTTGACGTCAGCTTCGACGTTAGCCTGCTTATGTTCGGCCGGAGCGTGAGATGTAAGGAGGCTCTTCTCTACTTAGCAACATATCCTTTGCCTTCAGGATATGGGGACTTCTTCTTATTCTTTTCTTTTATTCGAATCTTCACATTTTTGCCAACGAAGCCACTTAAGCATAGCGGTAGAGGCTTCGAACTGAATGTTTAAGATGAAGCACGGCCGCAGCCGAAGACGGAGGCGAAAGCCTTACGTTGCCTCCTCCCAAGGACGATGCCACTCCAATATTCTTCTAACACCTGAACTAGGTAGCCTTTGCATTGCGTAAGCCACTACTCACTTCCCATGCTATCCTCCGTCTCTGCCGGAATGTGATTCATCACTGCAGCGTAAAAGCGCGTCGCTTTCTTCTACGTAACGAGCCAAGGTCACGCGCCAACGAACCTCAACGTACAGCAAATGAACATGTCGCTGGACCTGGCCTTGAATTTAAAGAAGACTTATTAAATCTCTTTCTCACCTCGCTACTTCCGGGCTCTTGCAAATCGCTCGCACAATGAGAGACCTCGACAATCATTTTGGTGCTTACAACCACCTTGCACACCTGCCACGTGCAGATGAAGCTCTGTTCACCTTGCGCAAGGCTGCCTCATGTGTAAAACCTTTGATGCGAAAACGAGGATGGCGCGTTGGTATTCTCAGCGAATTTCTTCCAGATCAGCCCAATCTGTTGGGCTTGAACACTAATCGTGGCGAGCATATTCAGCTGAGACTTCGCCATCCTGGTGATTTTAATCAGTTTCTACCGTTTGAACAGCTCTTGGACACTCTTTTACACGAGTACGTGTTTTGTAAATGCGATAGTCAAGAACGGATGGTACTGACAGAGAACATGTAGACTTTGTCACAATGTTTGGGGGCCTCATGACGAGAACTTTCATAATTTGTGGAACGAACTTAGAGACGAATGGGAAACGCTACAAATGAAGGGATTTTCAGGAGAAGGCTTTTTGGGCAAGGGTCAACAACTGGGAGGATCTCGCATACCAGTCGAGGAAGTACAGCGGAGAGCACGCGCTGCAGCGCAAGAGAGGGCAAAACTGAACAAGAATAGACTGGATCTAGGCCGACGTCTAGGAGGTAGCACTGCCACAGCTCCTCCACGTTCACGCACACGGCTTCGCGATCTAATTGCAAGCGCAGCACAATCAAGAAGCAAAATCAATACCGTGAATGTTGACTCTGGGTGTGCGACTGGCACGCAAGCAGGCAACAAAGCAGCTGAAGACGCCTTAAGGAATGGCTTCCGAACTAAGGCAGAGATGGATGATGCAAATTCAATAGCTATAGCGCAGGCGCTGCAAGAGCTGTATGAGCAAGAGGAGGACGACAGGATCTTTGAGGGCCTCTCAGGACCACCGGCTACTGGGGGCTTGACATGGGACCCAGAGGTGGGCCTTCAGGCCATTGCCTCCGCTCCCGCATCGCGATCACCAACTCCAAATCAACCATTCGGTTCGGTGCAGCACCTGCCCAACGGGGATTTTCGACCTGAAAACAAAACAACAGGGCTAAAAACAGATAACACGTGGCAGAACGCGGTACATGATGTCAACCCTCATGGCCGGCCAGTATCAAGACTCGTCCGTGAAGCTGAAGCCAAGCAAAGACAGAGGGTCAATCACGGCTACGCAAAGCCTACACCGGCGTTGCAGAACTGGTTGGATAGTGAAACAGGTGCAAACTTTGGGACTGCGGTGCGGCCAAGAACATCCAGTTCAACAGACGATGCATGTTGGGAATGTTCACGGTGTACCTTTCACAATCACGGCATAATGAGTAGATGCGAAATGTGCGATAGCCCGAAATCCTCAGGCACCTCTGTATCGGCATTGCGGCGGAAGCCTGTATCGTCCTCATCCTCAGTTACAGCTTCAAATGCGACTGCATCAAAACCTTTGGGCTGGGTTTGCGCTGTCTGTGGAACATTTATGGAGAGTAACTGGTGGACTTGCTCTAATTGTGGTACTATGAAGACAAGTTCGTGATGTTAGCGGTCGTGGTCAGAATTGTATAGCATAGATTCCTCGAGCATATATACAGCATTAGCGATGCGTTCAAAACCGTGCAAGATCGGCATGAATTTGGTAAGACTTTTTGCTCTTGCATGCCTTTAAGGTTTTGTACAATACTTTTGTCCAAAGTTGAGTTGAACTGAGTTACTAAACATGGCCTCTGACACCGCAGGTTGAGTTCAAAATATTTCCCACACCCGATTCTTTGATGGTTCCGGTCGAAAATGTCATTTCTATGGTATTCATGACCACGTGTTGCTTTTAGCAATGCGTCTCTATTGGAAAATCTCCATGCCACTCTTGCCCTGTTACCTCTTCTCTCTGAAGCCTTCGTGTTTCTACTATTACTGCTGCATCTGGTTCATGGTTAAAGTGCCTTCCTATCAAAACTTTAGATCTCCAAGAAATCCTTAGAGTTCATCCTTGTCTCTTTTATTTTGCCCGACCTGTACGGAGAGAACCTAGCCTCGCGGCGGATTTTAAAAGCTAAACCAATGGACTTTGCGAGCACGCACGCGAGATATTTATGTAATAACCAAAAGGATTCAAAAAAAAACTCATTCCCTTAGGACGCATTTAGGAGAGAAAAGTATGTACGGGATTGCATGACTAGTTCTTTATCATGCTTTGCGCAAAAGGGAAGAATGTGACAGAAGATATAGAGGAAGAATGCTTGTCGACAATGTAATTACTTAAGATTCATATTTTTTGCAAGTATATGATTGAAACTTTCGAAGACGTATACCATCTGGCGCAGTCAGAAGGTGGTATGGTCTAGTGGTATGACGTTACGTTGTGGGTCTCACGGTCCAGTTCCGTACCAGCCTGGGTTCGATTCCGTAAGTTGCGCAATTCGCCCATCCAGGCAACATGTGACAGACGTCTAACAACCCGATAGCAGTACCGCCATGGTGGATAGAAAAGTTGTTTTTTTTTCTATGTCTCTCTCTCATTTTTTTTTAAAAACGTTGCCCTCACCTAGTCCATTCCCTAAGCCTACTGATTACGTAGATGTTCCAAAAGATAATTACCCTGGTCCTACAGACCAACTGGTTCAAGCTGTTGTCAATGAACGGAGATTATAACAAAATTTTGTATGGGCGAAGGGCTGGAATGTTGAGAGGCAAATGAAAACGCTGATTATTATATCACGGATTAATGCATCGAGAAATACTTCCCGCCTTGTCATCTCTAGCAAAAGATTACAGCTCACTCAGAACTTGCGAGCATCAACAGCTTTTGGAAATTGCAACTTAAGTTTTGCTTTCGAAGCAAAATATTATTTGATCGTATACTGCGAGACTGCATTACCAGATGAAGTCATGGTACCGACTCAAGAACAGACTTGAACTTACATTTTATGTAATCTATCTATTTTGTGCACATCGCCTCACGTTCCGTTCATCCTCCTTTCAATTCTGCTACTGTAGCCTGCTTGCCTTCGCGGTGTGGCTTTCAGTCTATCAGCGTTGCGGATCTTCCCGTGACAGGGATCGCACACGATGACATTGGCGGGCTGACACGGTGCATAAGGCATGACACGACCGCAAACGTTACTCATATACACGCTGCGCTTTCTTGTTGCATATCCGCCGAAAAGATGCCACCTCCTTCCGAGAAGGATGCCAAGTCAGTTCTGAAAGCTGAACATCGACGCAGCGCATCTGGCAGCTCCTCACCGCTGCCCGAAGAGAGCAAAGCCGCAAAGAGTACGAGGCAAGCTCTACCAAGTCCCGCGCCACCTAACGTACACTATACACTGCTGGTAAAATTGCCGTTTGTGAGAGGTGATTTTGAAGATCCACCACAGGTATGTGGGAGTGACAAATAGGCGTTTGCAAGGCGGGCTATATGAGTGCTGGAACACTAATCTGGCATGCAGGTTGAATGGGATGCGATCAAAGACCGGAAACTATGGAAGATAATCTCCAAGAACTCAAGATCCGCTGACATAGACTGGGCGCTGCAGTATGTGCTTTATGAAATCTATAGTATTGTTCATTCGCGATCTTGATAACTAATGGTTCTCGAGCGCAGTGCAAAAGAGTTTGGCGTAACGCAAACATTTCTCCTTCAGCAGGCCGCATGGCTGTATGAACGACACCTCCAACATGTAAAAGCTCAGATGACCAAGCTAAGAACGTCAAATGCACCGACGCCTATACTCGGGCCGGCCAGCCAACAGACTGCACCAACTGGAGGAGTTCCCATGAAGAGACTGGGTAGCGGTGGGGCTTCAAGAGCGCCGTCCGCAATGTCTGTACAGTCACGAGATAGTCCTGTAGCTGGAGTAGATACTGGCTCTTCGGGTGTGCCGCAGATGCGACCTGGACTGTCAAGGACGCCTTCATCTGCAACGGTGACCCAGAGTCGGCCTTTCCTGCCTCCAGCCTCGCCTCGCCAGCCAGTCCAGCGATCCTTCCGCACCTCTGCTGCAGCGAAGAGGATAAAGGCTATCGTTCCACAATCAACTGATGAACAACTTAGTCCTCATGACCCGGTGTCACCACCGCCGGCCTCTGACTCCAGCTCTAAGTCATCTTCGGACTCCGACTCTCCTCCAACCCGACAAAGCCAGCTTTTCCGACGCCCACCAGCGTTTCAGCGTCAAAAGAAGACCCAACTCAGCAACGTGGACGACGTGGGCGAAGAAAGTGGTGATGACTCACCTACCTTCCTACCTTTCGCCGCAAAAGCCGACAGTGTTCAGCCGAAGGAGGATCCAAGCGCAACGCTGAGAGATATGACTCCTCCGCACCTGAAATCTCAGCCCAGCGCATCGAAGGGGCAGGCTGCGCGGGCTCCGATACTTAAATCAAGGGAAAAAGGCAAACAAGCCATGGGCAAGATTGAGTCGTCCGCCAGCTCGGCTTCCTCGGCAGCAGCGCCGCCGTCCTCCGCTGACGTGAACGACCCGCGCAGGCCAGATGCGATCACACCTCGACACAGAGCCGAACTTGCCCGCCTGAGCCCACGGCGACAGGCTTCGATGAGGGATGGAAGTGATGGTACACCAAGCATGGGGAGTAGCTTCAGCGATCTCGACGGTATGTAGCCCGACATTACGCTGAATATTTGCACACAGCAAGAAACTAATACATGACGACTCATAGACACGAGCATTACACAATCTGCACTCGAGGAAGCGTTGGCAAGTAACCTCCGTCATGGAGGTGCAAGCCGTCTGAGCTCTATAAGCCACGCGTTTGGATCTCGACTATACGGCAGGGGTCAGCAACAAGGCTAGGGAAGTCATAGAGACTATACGAACAGAAGCAAGTAGCGAAAGCTATCTGCTGCTGCTATTTCTAGTTTATGTCGAACATCTTCACAACAGTTGACTCGGATCAGAGCAAAAAATATGTACTGGAGGCATCACTGTGGTTCTAAACCATGTATGTATACGTGTACATTCCTTTCCAAACTTGCGAAACAGCCAAAAACATTTATATTCAAAATGCCCAGGAATAGTTCCAGGGTGCGAGAAGACTTCCGTTTTCTTGTTTCCTTCCCGAACGCCCCGTGTGTGATGTTCAAGTCACGCACTCATAATCGTTGCTGCCAATCGTTTACCCGCGGGCCCATGTCAACTGTCGCGACATGCCAACGAGCCGCGAAACGTATAGAAAACCGCAAACCAAACGAAGTTTACATGTTTCATAAAGAATGCGATGCTCAGGACGAGAAAAATAAGATATGATTATGTACAAAGATAGAGATTGCTCTGGAAAAACACATGGCGATGCTCAAACTGAAGAAGCAGTGCGAAGGCTATGCAATTGTAAAGGCATGAGAAACTGAAGATTGAATGAGTGAAGGCCAGCGAGCGCACTCCAAGAGATTTCAACAAGACTCATGGAAACTAGGGCATTGGATACCTGCTTGGCTGGCCTAAGCCGCCACCCATACTCATACCCATCGCAGGGCTTCGACGTCCGGGTCCCATGCCTCCGCCGCCTCTTCCGCGGAAGCCGCCTCGTCCTCGGCCTGTTGGGCCCATCCCGGGTAATGAGAAATCGGGGTTTGAATTCAGGAGCATGTCTGACGGACGCGGTGGCGGAGGCCCTCTGCCTGATGGTGGCATGCCCGGTCTCCAGGCGGGGTTAATGCCGCGCTGTGAGACAGAAGTGAAGTGACTCGTGTCGCTCGTAGCTGGACTACGCTGTCCTTCTTGCAAAGATTCCTGCGATTCCTGTCGCAGTGTGTCTAAAGGTAAAGGAGGCACGGCCTCGCTGGGTTGATAGTTCGTGTTACTTAAGGGTGGGCCCCTTTGCAGCTCAGTTGCCCCTCCTGTCATGAGGACTGGAGGTATTGCTGCAGAGCTAGCAGTCAACATCGGCGGAGGAACAGTCGACGCAGCTGGAGGGACTTCGGCGAACTGAGGGTCAACATCTTCGTAATACGATCCGGATGCTGTGCGTGCGTGACCTAGCGCCTGACTCTGAGAATACTTGCTCACGGAGTTAGGAGATGCTTGGATAGGTGACAATGCTCGATTGCCGGTTACATTGGTATTAATGTTTGGAGCCGGTTGTCTTTGAATCCACTGTGAGCGCACTGGAATATACTCACTGCTTGCGAGTCAGCAGAAGTTAACTACAACCATAAATCTTTACGTCTTACTCTGGTGGCGTTGTTTCAACCGGCGAACGAGCAGGCGAAGGGACGCCAATGTTCGCGTCCATCTCCACAGCTTGACCGATTGCGATTTCCTGCGGGCGAGCCACAGCAGGAGATATTCCTCTAGAGCTCGGTCCCATTTCATATGGCGAGGGGTTGTATCGATCTTGTGGACCATAGCCTGGAGGTGGAGGAACCCTTCCTATCATAGGTCCACTTCTTCCACGGTAGCTTCCTCGCATGCCTGGCGGCCCGCCACGCATCATTGGACCGCCTCTTGGAGGGTACCCACCTCTGCTGGTAGGATAGCCTCCTCGCCCACCCCTGCCGTTAAATGAGGAATTCGATCTATTAGATTCTAGGGACGGTCGACCCATAGCCATCACAGTGTTTCCGTACTCTTCTGACTGTTGATTGACTGAGCCATTGCGAGGTCGCATCGGGCCTCCGTATGCTTGACCGCCTGCCATTGCTGGAGGGGCCACGGCTGTGTTCAAAGGTATCCTGTCATCTGAAGGGACAGCCTTGGCATCATACGCGCCAAAAGGAACACTTTGAGCCGAGTTCAGTGGCACGGTCGAGCCGCCTGTCAGAGGAGGTGGAGATTCAGCCCTTGGTAAGGATTCAACCACTGAGGTCGCAACTGCAGGCTCGGACGCCTGCTTTGCTCCAAAATTATTGTAGTAGTTTTGGCCGTTCATCTCGGCATTCTCCTGTATTCTCTTTCGTCGCGCTTTTCTGCTCACTAGGGAGCGTCGCATGCCACAAGTCACCAAGCCTGAAACGCCAATGATGGCGGTGGCGGCAACGACAACCCATCCTCCCCACGATACATGTGGGAGAAAAAGCAAAATATCGACAAGGAATGCCAGAAGCGAAACAAGAAGCGTGGGTATGCTGAGGATGAATAGACCGAGCAGAAAGCGAGGGGAATGGGCCGGAGAGTGGAAGTGGGCGGCAATGGCTAGTATAGTGCATATCAGGCTGAGAAAAGCGGCGACAGGATGGATGACTAGAATAGGCGATAGCGAATTGCGCGTGCTTTCTGGCAAGGAAAAGTCGCTGTTCGTTATACCAGCTAGGCTTTCTACGCGATGTGGTTAGCAGGAGTGGGGTGATGGGGTCACGCAAGGCTGAAAGCCAGCAGGTCGCAGCATAAAAGACGGCCGAGAAGCCAAGCTTGGCGATGGCAAGGAGGTAGTTTACGTACGCATGTCATAACCGATCTTGATGGCACTGCAATCCGAGCCTTTGCAGTAACCCCAAACGCCAAAGGTATATCCATTGAACGAAGCAAGCGGTATGGCCTTTATGACGGGTGTCGACAGCGCAGAGATGAGCAGGAGCGCGAAGGCGGCGAAGAAAAGCACCGAGAGCGGAGTCGCAGGTCGCAGTACCATGGTTGCAGCGGGTGCGGAGCGGAGGCGCGCCAAGTGAGGCAGTCAACTTGTGCCTGCACGTCGTACGTACGACTCGATGTGGCCACGCCAGTGACTTGGAAGGCACGCTCCGTTCACAGCGCGGCAACAGGCGAGCGAGTGCGTGGAGAGAAATATCAGGTAGTGGAAGTCAAAAGCGAGAGCGACAGCATGTCCAACGAGCGCATTGTCCGTGGAGGAGAGACGCGGAGAGGTCAGAGGCAGAATCGGCTGCTTTGATCTAGGAGTGGTGTTGGTTGTGGTGGCGGGGCCAGTAGTGATTTGTGAGAGACGCGCAGAAGATGGAAAGAATGGGGACGTGTGCAAGCGAGGGCGTTAAGAGAGTGGGTGTGGGTGTGCGCGTGTACGTATGTGAGTATGCGGAAGTGGGCGTGAAGGAGAGCGAGGTCGACGGAGAGCAGGAAGAGCAAGGCGGAAGGCGGACATTGTCTCAAGCCAGGGAGTAACACGCACAAGCGAACCAACGGGCGGAGAGGGGAGTGCCGCGTGTGGTGCCAGCCCGAGCAGGGCATGTCCCGCCCGCCCAAAAAGAAAAGCCTAAACGGCGGATCAGCCAAGGCAGTCGGCATGGTTTAACTTAATTTCATGAAAGTCGCAAATGAAAAAGAGCCGCAACAAAGTTTGACTTTGTTCATGATGACGCGCACCACCGCATTGAGCGCTCGCCGGTCGCAGAGCTTTCTCCCTGCTGCAGCGGCAATCCACGCCCGCACAACGACTTTGCGGGCTCATCAGCGAAACGAGGCAGTTTCTGCTGGGTGCAACATGTCTATTCCAGTCTTCGCTTCAGCTTCATGTCGCGCGTCGCAGCGTAGAAAGGCTGGCTAGCACCGGGTCCGGTGTACAGTCCAGTGCTGTGTCTCCTGCCGGCGCCGCCGCTGGGACTGGCGCCATTGCTCCTTCCGCTGCTGCCGCTGCCGCTGCCGCTCGCAGCGTTGGCTGCTCCTGCTGTGGCCGCGCACTGCTAAAATGGGTGAGTGTGGTTGACTGGCGTGCAGACAGCCGATCCAGCAGGCACGCTCCTGCCAACTTTAGGAGCGTCCATAATCCTTGGCTTCGGCGTAAATCATGTTCTGCACCCCCGTGCCTTCTCGTTTGACCTTCCACCAATCGCACGACTTCCTCGCCGTCGCAGCCATCGCTCACGTCCGCACGCGCCCGCCCATCCACCAAACGTCCTCTTCCCTTCGGCTCTTTCGCAACCGCTCCTACTCCTGTTGTCGCCGATTGATTCTCTCCGTTACTGTACCCACACTCCCTGTCTCGTCCTGGCCCCACCGCAGTTCGAGTCGCTTTTGACCGATTCCTTTCCATCTCTCCCCACAAATGTCTATTCTGCTTGTTGCCAATCTTGATGTGCCCCCCGCTAATCTTGCAGCGCTTATCATCAAATGCAACCTGCTAATCTATCCAAAAGCACCCCATGACCGTGTTAGTCTTCCGAAGTTAGTCCAGCTTCGCGTTAGCTGAATCTTCCCCCGTAATCTCCGCTGAAGAGCCCCAATAGCTCCTCGTCTCTACTGCTGTGAACGAGCGGCCACGACGACGATGCCTCCTTTTCTGCCATTCTTCCAAAATCAAACAGATCATCATCGACTTGATTCCGGGCCCATGCAAACAGGTCGGACACCTCAGCAATCACATTCGTCGTGCTCGTTTCTTCTTCCCCTTGGCCTTCCATGTCCGACGAACCTTGCAGCGGCATCAGATCCTGAGTGCACGCGAGAAAACGTGGAACTTCCGAGCCCAATGGCAACAACAATGTCTGTGCGCTTCCGTGGCTTTTTCCTGCTTCGCCCAATGAGCACAATCTTGCAAGGGCTTCCTCAGTCGTATGTTTTGCCTGTAATGCTATGGCGAGACTTTCTCCTAGACGCTCGAAGACTTGAATTGCCACATGAATGGCCTCTACCGCAGACATGGCCTCAGTTGTTGCTGGATACGCAATCATGTACCCAACAAGTGTCATCGTCGCATTCCATTGCCAGCGGAACGCCTCGTAGTGGTTGTCCAAGATGTTGCCACACCGTAAGGTTTGATATACCATTGAGGTCATGCTTCGGGCATATGAAAGACATGAGCCTGCGCATCTGTCGGCTATTGGCGTTGTCAAATCTCTCGGCCTCGAGAAGCAGATGAAAGGCCGGTATAAGCTCATGATCATGTTCTGATAGTGGAGCTCGAGAAATATACTTTGCTGCCGCTGCCAATGCGGTGTGCTTGCGTCTTCCGCAAGTCGCTCATCGTCTGTCGAACAGCTGCCCCACGCCGCCTCCCTGCCTACCTTTAATGTCACGGGCACGTCGTGCATCCACTTTTGGATGTATTGCATTTGGGTCTCGAGAAAGTTTGCGCACTCTTCAAGCGCTTCGGGCTTTTCGTAAATTGACCTCTGCTTATTCTGGCCCAGAAAACGTGCACATTTGTCGTAGAACATTATGTAGATCGCCCTGGTCGCGAGCACAAGTCTAACGAAATGCACTGCAAATGACAGGAACGACCCTTGCTTGCTCAATCCGATTTGTTGCTGCGCATTCGAGTATGCGAATACTTCATCTGATGGCAAGCTACACGTCACTTCTGAAATATTGACTGCCAACGGTCTTCCCAACTCCATGGCAAACTTCATTTCGAGGGCGTAGAGCAGCCACCACAAGCGTTTTCGAGCCTCTCTCTGCTGTTCGGGCAAATGTTCCTGTGGCTCTAGGTGCAAGCCTAGAATGATGCCTATGCGTATCGCGATCGCTAACAGGCTGTAGGCTGCGTTTTGTGAGTGGAAGTGGGACAGGTAAATCACCGTCAACATGTAACTCTGCAGGATTGAAATGGATGGCGTCTCTAGCTGATTCGTAAGCAACGTTTGACATCTGCGATAGAACCAACGACTTGCGATAATCTCATCGTTCTTGTCCGCTAATGTCCTACATCTTCCGCTAATGGGACACCAAGTCGCGCCATGCTGTAGGCATATAGCTAAAATAGCATCGACCAGAGCAGATGCTCTGCGGAATCTCTGCGACTTGTCCCAAAGCGAGCGGTGATAGTTCCAGAATTCTATCTCATCAATAATCGGATACAAAGGGTGATATTCCTTCCAGAAAATATTGAGATAAAACTCCTCGTAGGATCGCTCCATATAAATCCCATTGATAGGGCCAGCTATGTACTTTAAATTTGACTCGAAATCGGTATTGCTGACCATTCTGAGTTGTTTCGTGAGGGCTTCGACCTGATTTTCTTCGTTCGAGTCTGGCATCAAGCCAGTCAAATGAATATTCATACGAGTAATGAAATAGCAGATAGATGCGGGTCCAAAGCATTGCGTCGTGCCTGGCTCGGTGTCAAGTTGGATGCTCTCCCACGATTTTTTGTTGCCACCATGCTCTAAAAGTGGATCAAGATTTCGTGGCAAGAGATTTGACCTGTTTGATTTCACTCCCGCAATTGGTTCCGCACTATTTCTGTCAGTAGAGTCGGGTATCCGTAGGAGTTGCTCGAGTTCTTGTATCCGTTTATTCAGGCGTTCAATCTCTCTGCAAATCCGACAACGTTCAGCAGTGAGGTTGATCCTTCTTTGACTAACGTACCTGACTGCGCCTGCATATGTTCTGATCTCAATTGAGCCCTCATTGCCGCATGCCTTTCCTTTTCTTCTGCAGTTGAAACATGGCCGGCTATCATCGCACTTGATACGGTACGCTCGACAGTTAGTACAAGCTCTAGCAACCTGCTGCCTCCTTGACCGTGGGGGTTGAAAGGAACGTGTGCTCTCGCCGTTCAACATGCAATGCCCGCTCTCGAACGACAATATATTAAACATATTTCATTCTACGGCTATAGTGTGCATACAAGGCGCAGTGATTGTATCAGATGGATTATTGTCAAGTAATATTTACAGCGGAACTGGAGCTCCTGGCTCTTCTTCAGCTGTACCCTGGTTGTTTCCATTCTCTCGATTTGTCCGGCTGACTAATGGTGACCATGAAGATTTTGCATGTTCGTGATTACGTCGCACATGGTCGATAAAGATCTACGGTCAGGGGCTGATACACACAGCACTTGGCAGCTTTGCACATGGCAAAATCAAAGAATGTGGTCTTCGGATTGTGACGTAGCTTCTTCTACCTAAAAAGAGCAATCGGGTTCTCTAGGTAGCTAACTAGTGTTCGATGGTACGTCATTTAGCAACAGCTCCACAGCTTGTGCAGCCGATTCACGGACATGATGGTAAAACCAAGCAAGGTCAACATCTATCCAAGCTTTGTACGGAGTACTCGTTTGTGATTGTTTAACTTGCTCCATTCATTTCATCACCCAGTAAATATGTCAGAGGTTGAATCACTTCCTTCCGCCCAGCCTAAGGACGTCGTCTACTGCGGAGGTAAGGATCCATGTCACTCTCTATTTGTGTGCTACAGCTAACTTTAGTGTTCAGTATGCTCGTTGCCTCCAGAGGTATGTATTTATGTTCCTGAAATGCATAGAGAGAAGAGCAGCAATAGCTGTTACTTTCACAAGAACGCTGACCGTGTGAGCAGTACTGTGAATTCGGTGGCACGACACAAAAATGCGAGGACTGGCTCAAGGCGAAACATCCTGGCATGCATGCGAAGCTGTATTCGGAAGGTAAGTCGGGGAGAGCACTTGTGGTAGTTCCAGAGGCGTAATCTAACGTTGACTTCTAGAAGTCCTGGCTCAGAACTTATCGTCGTTATCTGTCAAGGCCCAAGAGCGTGCTGCTAAGGACGCTTCGAAGAAAGCTGCAAAGGCGGCGAACGCAGAGGAGCGCGAAGCCGAGAAGCGTGCATCATCCAAAGTTCAAATTAAACGTATTGAACGAAACAAGAGGAAGTATATCACTTGTGTGCAAGGCCTGGAGAACTTCGGCTTTGATCTAAAGAAAGTAGCAAAGGACTTCGGGAAGAAGTTTGCCACAGGCAGCAGCGTTACTAAGGTCCCTAGCGGCGGCGAGGAGATCACGGTGCAGGGAGACGTGGCTTACGATATTGAAGAGTTCATCCTAGATGCGTTCAAGGACATCCCAGAGGACAATGTCGAAGTAATAGAAGAAAAGAAGAAAAAGAGCGCTGCGGGATGAGAGCTGTGACAGGCTTTCATGGCGCATGACGCAGCAAAAGATATGCGTACTTTGAGCGATTATGATGCTAAGTGAAATATTCGGATGAGAAAAGACTGCACGACACGAGCCTTCGTTGTGTGTGGTTGGTGGCTTCGGAGTATTGATGAAATCTCTGTCGCTCCTGACAACAGCGCATCGAAGGTCACGTCACTGTGTGCAGCATTGGCAAGCGGAAAGAGCTTTACGTCTTTGCACATGCCTCTGTTCTCCGTTCGCAACACATCTGCGCTCTTTCTAAGCCCTCAGCCATACAGAACGTCGCAAAATATGTTGTCCTGATGCCGACCCTTGGACTTCTGTCTTGCGCGGTTGAGATTGGAGAGGCAAGAACGCGCCTACGCGAATATAGGACAACTTACTGTGATCGCACAGTTGAGACATTCGTCGCCATTCCGAGCAAGCCCACACCCTTCAGCATTCGGCTCTTCACAACCGGTTATATTGCGCCTGGGCTGGCAATTGCTGTCTACATTGACGGGGTGTACCAGTTACATCGAATCAAGCTCGGAGCTGTACCGTCAAATGGAAAGCTCGAGTTTCATGTCGGACATAACGAGGACCTATTGAAAAACGGCCGTGTCATTGCAAGAGGCTGGTCCTTTCAGAAACATAATATTGGTATGCAATATGAACATGTCTGAATCGGTCGTCAGGATGATCTAATGCCACTAGTCCATGGTCACATAGAGCCTACGATCGACCGAGACACTTTCAAATATCCAGGAACAATCAAGGTTATTGTCCTTCGTTGTGAGAAAAACCCTGAGAGCGAAACCACTGATCCCTGGTCATTCCCACATTTGCCTGCAATCTTTGACGGGTCTGGCGATGAATCACCACGCGCAAGGAGTACGAAATATTCTCAACCTTACAAGAGCCGTCTTCACCAAAGTAAGGGACGTAGATCTCAACCTAGATATTGCAGTTATATTTGTGAAAATGCAAACACAACGTCATTTGATGAAAATGGTTACTGTTTCGCCAATGTGCCTGCGACTATTACACTCGGAGAACGGCATATCACCGTCGATGAGCAAACGGATATGCCTTGTTCAAGCCCTCGCAAGTATCGGCACAACCTGAACCATGGACATCCATTTCAAGATAACAAATATGACGGCCTGCGAAACCAGAGTGGTTGTTATGTTTTACGAAACCATGCGAATGTCGAAGTGGAGTTTCCCACAATAGAGTCAGCAGAATTGTTTCGCAGCCAAGAAGGACCACCAGCAAATAAAAACGCCCGATCATATCCTGCAACGGAAAATCCACCGCCTTATTACCGAATCTCAAAGATGGGTCACATATACGACGAAAGAGGTGCTCAGGGCACTAGTCGTCAGTATATGCCAAATGGGACGACGCTACAACAGCCTCCACAAAGAACTGAGACTCAATGGGGGAATTTTGGTCAGAATTCCGCAAACATCAAATGCTATTGCTATCCACAGGCGTGGCCGGTGGGATGTTTGCAACAGAACGAAGCCGTCACGCAATTTAAGATCGAGCAACTGAAAGATGAAATACGCATGTTAGAAGCAGGTTTACAACCAGATTCTTCCGGCACAACAGCATCCTGCCTTCATCCATCAGCATGTCACGTCATAATTGGCAAGCCAAAGGATTGTCCGCACATGCTCTTCAATCCCTTGGCTCATAACGGCCCGGTTGCATACGGCTTTCCAAATCAATCTTCTACGCATAATTTTGCAAGCCATATAGTCGAACCACAGTGGCCATGGTTTACTTCCAACATGTCGCCAGCTTTCGAGGCAGAAGATCAACTCTCTCCAGCTGGCTGGGACTCAGTCGCTTCTGCAAGTAGCGAAGAAGAAAAGCGAGTCAAAAATAATACGGAAACAGCCGGTTGTAGCCATAAAGCTCGGGGAACTGCGCCCGTCGGTTTCGGCAATGCCGAAGGCGAAGGTAATGCAGTACAGCTAAAAGAAGACAGCGATTGCAATCAAGCTGACAAAATTTCAAATGATGAAGTCAGGTCGAACCAGAATGGCTACTACCAAAATTCTCTTATGAACAGCAAACCACGTAATAGCAAGAGCTCCAATAACGTCGCCATGAATACAATCAATGGAGAGCCAGTCTACAATGATAATGTATGGAACAACAACGAAGATAAAAATAGAGATATCAGCGAGAAGAAACAAAAATCTCACAAAGGTTTCGCGCCATGTTCAAAAGACATTGACAAAGAAGAGATGCCAAATACGAAGTCCTACTGGCGGGTTGGCAATTTGCATCAAATGAATGAAGAGGACGCCAAAAACAATAGACCCGGCAAGTATACTAAACCAGAAGAGCCGATCTCCACAATAGCTGAAGAAAAGGCAAAGTCAAACCACCTAGAACATCAAGTGCAGTGCGGCAAACCTGCTGAAAGGCAGTATCGTACTTCTGCTCCACTCTATTGGGACAAGGTCGACGAGCCTTTCGCAGTGTTTCGATTTAAGTATTGCAGCAAAGGTAAGCCATCCTTGATCCTTTGGTTCTAGGTTTACGAGTTACACCAATGATGATGTGGCTTTGCAAGCCACTCAGATACTTGTGAAGCTCCTTGATCGAAAGAGACCCTGTGTTTGGTGGCTTCCGCTACCTAACCGAGTCTGCCGCTCTTGGTGGCTACTGATCAAGGAAAGGCAAGTCTGAGGCATGAATATCTTTATTGATTTTGATTAAGTTTAGCACATTGATACTATATGCTGATCTTTTGTACAGACATGCTGAAGGAGATTCTGGGTAAAGATATTGTCGAGAGCAAGGAAGAGTTTCAACAATGGCTCAACTCACTTTCCAAAAAGCAACTTATTGCAGAGATCATGAAGGAGAAAGTGGAAGAAAATTCGGACATTGATGGTGGGAAAAATACAAGCAGTAATCGAGATCAGGCTTCGACTTGAGATACGGATAATTTGAACCAGGGTAAAAGCAATCGCCCAGGGTGTCATTCAACTAGGTGGGGACAAAGTTTACACAAAGCGCTAGTTGGTGACTTAACAATAATTTACTCTGTGAATACAATATGTTTGCTTATTGCTAAGTATTTGTTTCTTTAGTCTATTCTCGTCCCTTGTATTGGAATCAACTCAAATAGAAGTGTCTCGGAATTATAAAACAAAAAGGTAGAGGCCCGCTACGAGTATTACTAGGCATGATGAGAAATTGAAGATGGATATGTTTATGAATTGATGAAAATAAAGGGACATGGTAGGATCAAGTCCAGGAGTTGAAACCTGTCGTGTGAAAGTAGACAGCAACTGTGTTTGGGCAGGGTTTGAGTCCACTCATGATGCTGGAGCCTCTTGTGCACTTCGGGAATTATTTCAGTTACCTGACTAGGCAAGTTAAAGCCAAGTAAGTCGTTGACAGTTCTTTCTCGCCGAACAGTTACAGCGTAAGCCCACGGCCCCCGAAAAGTTGAGTAATCACAACCTTACAGAGGTTATTTCTCGAAAAAGCAAAGACATATAAGATGAAGACGTATGTCAAATGACATCGACACTGGAATGTAACTTCAAGCAGGTAGCGGGGCCTTCAAGCTTTGTCAGGAAGGCTTGGAAAATCATCGAATTGTTCTCTTCATATTCGCTATTGAGACTAATCATCATGCCTTCCGGCGGTTGTTTCTGTGGAAATGTTCGCATCTCCTATCAAGGAGAGCCTAAAAGGAAGGTTCGTGCTCGCCCTTTCTATACGACAAGTTTTGTTTCCAGCAAAAAAGCCAACATTCGTGCCACACAGGCTTTGTGCCACTGCGTCGACTGCCGAAAGATCTCCGGGAGCACATACTCGACAAATATCCTAGTGGCGGAGAATGATTTTACAGTTTCCGGCAGTCCAAAGCAAATTTCCACGACTGGCGAAAATGGAAACATGATTACCAGCTATTTTTGTGGCGACTGCGGTTCAACGCTCTGGCGTGAGGGCGTGGGGTTCCCCGGGCTGAAGATTATCAAAGCCGGAGTGATGGACGACTTATATGGATTGGACAACGCGAAACCAGAGATTGAGTATTATTCAGAGCGTCGCGTTGCATGGTAGGAGTTCGCACATGTTTCCGAGAGCTACTGACTGAGCGCAGAGGTAGGGTACCTCAGATTCCAGGTTCTGATGGCATGCTCAAGATGGGAGCATAGAGCAAGGTAGAGGGATGAGATACATGAAACCTCATAGGGCCAACGTCTGTAGCGGAAATAGATCTAAGTATGAATCAAGGGTAAATCATTCTTCCTCATCGTCATCATCGACGTCGGGTAGGTGCTGCTTGATCCGCTGCTTTAGGTTAGTAATCATAATCGGAAGATCATGCCATGATGTAAGGCAACGAACAGCTTTGACAAGGCGCTCTAGCTCATCTATCTTATCCGGTTGGATCAGACAAGTCTGCATGTCTAGTTCTTGAAGTATGAAGCCTTTTCGCTCATTGTCGATTTGCTTGATGATGGCCATGACTGATTCGTCCGCCTGGACGAGCACACCTATGCGCTTACGCATTAGAATGGTTTTCTGCCATCTAGGGAGTAGTAGAGAACGAATATTCAACTTTCTTCTATGAATTAACGCGCGGCGAATTACTTCATGACTGCAATACCTTGAAATGACCCAACGAGGCAGACAGTGCGCATGTGAATCAGGGTCACAGTGGATCAAACTTACCACGTATAGCCTTGACCATAGTAAACGAAAGGGTCACGGCGAATATGCCAACTGACGATCGGAAGATGCTAGATTTACAGAAGAAAAGTTCTGCTGTGTTGTATCAATATCCATGCGACGACTGACTTTTCGAGGATAGATGGTGGTGTCGTCGTCGTCGTCGGGGGCAGGCCAAAACATAGGGTCCCGCGTGTAAATTAGGGTCCTGCTACCCAGGACACGCTAAACCAGTCGAGGGCGGATCCTTGCTCGCCGCTGCTGTATCGTTCCAAGATGACTTTAATACTAGCATGTTGAGCGGCGTGCACGCCAGCAATCAACGTGCTTCCTCCAAAACCGAGTCTCTACCCTGCTCCAAACGTGGTCCGAAGAATGTGACCGCTCCACGCCATCGTTTAACTCTCTGTTCAGACCAAGCCATGTGTGTGTGAGGCATTCCGCGCCTCCCGCAGCTTTTCGAGACTGCTACTATTGCATGCCACCTCTTCACGATTTGCGCCTTGAATACGACCCATTTCCCCACAGAGTCGTTATTTACTCCATGAGCCACTCGAAGACATCACCCTATTCTCGGAAGCTTCAGGCCAAGCCCCTTTCTCTACCGATCCTTGCGTCGATATTTGCCATGCCGGTATCACTCGCTACAGCACAAATAGCTGACAATGCGACTGCTCCAACAACAACCTTTCAAAGCTCGCTACCTTCCATGTCTGCGAGCAACGAAGACCCTGTTTCATCAACTGTTCCCCTTTTTTCGCAACCATCTAGCAACAAAAACGACCCGGGCATATCCGATCAGAATGACGACGGCGACGTAGACGACCGCCATAGCGGGCTTATAAACTACTACTTCGTTTTCCTAGCGCTATTTGTCTTCCTTGCCTTCCTCGGCGTCTATTTCCTTAACCGTCGGAGGCGCGCTCGCAAATTGGCCTATCGCAATTCAGCACAGAATGCTCTGGCTAGGGATATGGACGGGTGGGTGAGCAACGCGAGGAGGTGGCATTGGAGGAATGGATCAAGGAGCGAAAGAGACGAGGGATTGAACGAGCTCGGTCAGGCTCCACCGGCCTACTCGGCGAAGGCACACAGCAGGGAGCCCTCGGCAGAGGAAGGAAGCATGACCAATGAGCTTCAGATCCCATTGCCGACCGTAGCGAGAGAAGAGATATATAGGGATATGGTCAAGCCCCCAGCTTACAGCGAAGCCATACGCTTGGACAGCAATGCCGGCTCATCTTCATTAGGTAGAGTCCAGCCATCGTCTGCTTCTCTGGAAGCAGACGAGAGAAGCCATGATGGACCCACTACGCGTTCATGAGGAATGGCGAATAAGCATTAGATCAAGACTCAGCTGGGTTGGCGAGAGGACTGGAACTGCGAGACATGACTTTCATTCGCAACATACATAACGTGCATCAGCGACGGCGCTTTGGTTTCCCCGGCGAAGTATCAGAAGAATAATGTTTTGGCGAGCCTCATTAGAGGCCGTCTCCTCAAAGTTGAACTGTACATAGGATTGTAATATCGTTCTTAAGCTGATGGAGCCTCGTCCCGGCTGGACAGATTTGACAGTTGCTGATTGGCTGCAAAGGTGCAACCAGCGCTTTTGCGAGGCTGGAGGTATGGCTGCCATGTCCACGTGTCTGGACAGACGAACTTGTGTGGGCGCAAGAGCGCATGTGAGTACGGGCAGAGGGCCTTCTCTCTGTACGTTCCAGCGCCAGCCGTGGCCGGGCCAGAGAAGTGCAGAGGAGCTCCTCTGCTGCGGTTTCAGCTGGCAGCCTCCGCAGCCTCCTCCGTCGGGCTAGCCCAAAATGTCTGCGGGCCCTGGACAGGCCTTGACTTACGCAAGCTGTCCTCCCCAAACACGCGGCGTAACTGAAGCGGAACTGGCCATTTGTCCTAGCAAAGTATTCGCTACCTTTTCGTTCTCCTTCTTTCCTTTTCCTTCCCTTGCTCTTCATTTCTGTCCTTCGCCATAAAGGAAAGCCGCAATGGCTTCTTCCCAGTCAGCCTTCGACCCTTTCTTTAGGGGCGAGGGCGCGGTTGCTACTCGGACGCTTCTTCGTGTTGTCATTCTGGTTCTCATAGCATCCGCCGCCGTGTCTGCCCGCCTCTTCTCTGTGATCCGCTTCGAGAGCATCATCCACGAATTCGATCCTTGGTTCAACTTCAGGGCAACGTACGATCAGGTCCAGGTGCTGCCACATTGTGTTTGTGAAACGCTGACGCGTGAACAGCAAGTATCTGGTCCAGCATGGCTTCTACAAGTTCTGGGATTGGTTCGACGACCGTGAGTTTGCTTGCCGGTCCAGTTACAAGATCAAGCCTTCGGTCAGGAACTGATATGTGAGCTTAGGTACATGGCATCCACTCGGCCGTGTCACCGGCGGCACCTTGTATCCAGGTCTCATGGTCACTAGCGGCGTGATTTACCACCTTCTCCGCACCCTCGCCCTCCCTGTCGACATCAGGAATATTTGCGTCCTCCTTGCCCCAGCTTTCTCCGGGCTTACTGCCTTTGCCACATACCTTCTCACCTCTGAGATGTCGACCTCGCCTTCGGCCGGCCTCCTCGCAGCCGCATTCATGGGGATCGCTCCAGGCTACATCTCCCGTTCAGTGGCTGGCAGCTACGACAATGAGGCAATAGCCATCTTCCTCCTTGTGTTCACCTTCTTTCTTTGGATCAAGGCGGTAAAGGAAGGCAGCGCCATGTGGGGTGCTTTTGCTGCCTTGTTTTATGGCTACATGGTCTCTGCCTGGGGAGGCTATGTCTTCATTACCAATTTGTTGCCTTTGCACGCTTTTGTGCTGATCTGCATGGGCCGCTACAGTCCAAGACTGTACGTCAGCTACACGACGTGGTATGCACTAGGCACTTTGGCCAGTATGCAGATCCCGTTCGTTGGCTTTCTACCTATTAGAAGTAGCGAGCACATGTCCGCATTGGGTGTGTTTGGGCTGCTTCAGATTGTCGCCTTTGTTGAATACGTACGGACGCAGCTCCCAAACCGACAATTCCAAACCATGCTTCGATCATTGGTCTTGTTCGTCTTCGTTATCGGTTTCGGTGGACTGGTCCTACTCACAGTGACTGGCGTAATCGCTCCATGGACAGGCCGCTTCTATTCTCTCTGGGACACTGGGTATGCAAAGATTCACATTCCCATTATTGCATCTGTGTCGGAACACCAGCCGACTGCTTGGCCTGCCTTCTTCTTCGACTTGAATATGTTAATCTGGCTATTCCCGGCAGGGGTTTACCTATGCTTCCGTAGTTTGAAGGATGAGCATGTCTTTATCGTGATATATGCTGTCTTGTCAAGCTATTTTGCCGGTGTCATGGTGCGCTTGATGCTCACATTGACTCCTGTCGTCTGTGTGGCTGCCGCTATGGCTTTGTCCCAAATTCTGGACACCTATCTTGTAGTCGAGTCACCAAAGGAGCCAGAAAATCATCAGAACGGTGAGACTAAATCAGCAGCAGCCACTGGTGCCTCCCTCGTCACAGAAGGTCTCCGATCAACAAAAGCACCATTAGTTGGAGTATATTCAAATATGTCAAAGATGGCCGTAACCGCCTGCAGCATTATCTATCTACTTATATTCGTGGCGCACTGTACCTGGGTCACCTCCAACGCCTATTCATCTCCATCCGTCGTTCTCGCGAGTCGGCTTCCAGATGGCAGCCAGCACATCATTGATGATTACAGAGAAGCATATTATTGGCTGCGCCAGAATACACCCTACAACGCGAAGATCATGTCATGGTGGGATTATGGCTACCAGATTGGCGGCATGGCTGATCGGCCAACCCTGGTTGACAACAACACCTGGAACAACACACATATCGCGACCGTAGGCAAGGCAATGTCCTCGAGGGAAGAGGTTAGCTACCCAATCATGCGTCAGCACGAGGTGGACTATGTTCTCGTCGTGTTCGGTGGCCTCCTTGGCTATTCTGGCGACGATATTAACAAATTTCTCTGGATGGTTAGAATTGCAGAGGGCATCTGGCCTGAGGAGGTAAAGGAGCGAGATTTCTTCACTCCACGAGGCGAGTACCGTGTTGACGACCAGGCCACTCCCACGATGCGTAATAGTTTGATGCAAGTTCCACAATAGTCTTCTAGTCATGATATGCTGGGCTAATAACTCTCTAAACAGGTATAAGATGTCCTATTATAATTACGACAAGCTCTTTCCTGCAGGTCAGGCTACTGACCGAGTCCGTGGCGCCCGACTACCAGCAGAAGGTCCACAATTGACAACGCTTGAGGAAGCCTTCACCAGTGAAAATTGGATTATCAGGATATATAAAGTCAAGGACCTTGACAACTTTGGAAGAGACCACGCCGCCGCCGCTGCTTTCGACAAAGGTCACAAGAAGAAGAAGGCACTGAAAAAAAGAGGAGCAAGAGTGCTACGTGTTGACTAAGACGTGGAATTGAAGAAACATCATAATTTGTATAATACATGAAACCTCACGCTTGAAGAAGTCTTTTATGGACATGGCGTCTACAGAGTTACATTGGGTAAAGAATGGTTTGCAATAGCACCAGCAAAAGTCAAACTGGTAACGTGGGAATGTCAATATCATTTGTCCAGAAATGATTATGCCAAGATATACTTGATTATTTGGTGGTGTAACCAGATCCTCAAGCTCGCAATTTGATAGAAAGATACATCAAGTGGGTATACACATTTTCAGAGTATTGCAACTGTGTATGAGGAGAAAACGGGAAGAGAAGCTAGTTTAAATAGGCCGTCCACAAGTATTTTGGCTTGCATAATCATTCGTCAGCTTTCCATGAGTCCAAATTTCGACTGGGAATCCCAAGGAGTCCTAAGATCAATTCTACAGGACAATTCAGGCTCCGCCTTCATGGAATGCTTTGATGATCCATGGTACTTTCCATCTTCACATGACCGACATCTTGAATGGTCACAGTTTATGTCAGAGCATCTCGCGTACAGTTTGTATAGTTGCGTGGTACCGCATTGACACTATTTCTAAGGTGTTAAAACAGTACTCTTAAGAATACAAGGCAGTGGAGCAAAACCTACGCATGACCAGTTCGCCTCATTGATTTTTTTTCGTGCTCATCATCACTGCTCCCACATCCGTCAACTCCTCGTTTACGCTTCTTTGGATTCTTGGGGCGGAAGTCGGATATCCTTGGATCGTGGCCTGGAGCTCGTTGCTCTTCCCGAAACCACCGTTGCAATCTGTCTTTCGTAGCATCTTCCTTCTTCAAGTGGTACTCCAGGCTGACATACTCCTCCATGCTCCTGCCTTCCTTGGTGACATGGTAGTCGATATGGTTAGCGCGATCCATGTACCTGCCGTGCCCTTCTTGAATAACTTTCTTATCTCCAATGGCGTTGACATCCGTCCACTGAACGGTTTTAACGCAAAACCCACACCATCCAAAACCAGGCCCATGATCCGGTGGATGGTAGCGAAGCATCAAATCCTGTAGTGTTGACTTGTCTTTGATATCATGAACGAACTTGAGATGATTTTCAAACGTAGCTTGTGATGTGTGCACAAATCCGCATTTACCAGTAGTACTTGAAGGGTCTAGTTCGAGACAAACACGAATGGTATCACTTTGATCGTGACAAATTTCTCGTCCTCTCTTTCCACAAGTACGCTCATGACGTTGCCAGTCAGATTTACTACCAGATCGATGATGACAACCTATAGCGGTACATACGTAGGGTAAGGTATGACGCTTCAAATGCTTTTTCAGCTCAGATTTCCTTTTAAATATCTTTTTGCATCCATCATAAGAGCAGAGGATACCGGTGGCGTGATGTGTGAGGCTTTCCTCATCGCTGGAGTTATTGCTACTTCTGTTAGAATGTTGGCTGTTTCCATCTCCTGATGAATGGACTTGTTTCAGAATACGCAGATTAGCGTCATCCTCTAATGTGGCAGTAGCAGAGAGGGAGTGGCTAGCAGCCGATTCAATGCACGCCAGGGTACGAGAATGATCGTTCGGTTGGTATGACTTCAGGCTCTGGCGAACTTCCGCAGCATCGGACCGTTTACACTGCGAATATGCACTTTGATCCAAAGCGGACCCGAAGCGTTTCGTAATCTGCTTCAAGCAGTGAGGCTTTGGATCCTTTAAAAAGAGTGCTGTCTGATGCTGATGTAAGCTAGAATCATCAGAATCAATGGCTGTCTCGGCCTGAGTATTAGAGCCGGCACCAGTGCCAACACCGTCCAAATCATTGTCCATGGCCCTTATACTCATAATATTTGAGGATGACGCAGCTTTAGCTTCCGACCTAGAACAGGTCAGATTTTTTTTTGTGGTAGACTTCCTTTGTACTTACTGTGCAATCATATCAGTCACATTGAAATCTTTATGCATGCGCTCCAGGTGTTGTTTGAAATTATCAAGCCTTGGCCATATCTTTCCAGGTGTTTTGCAACCAGGTACAGCACATTGAAACTTTCTGGCTTTACTAAGAATTTTGTGTACACTGGCTTTGTGTCTGTTCAGATCATTGACAGTACCAAATCCTTCGGTTCTGGAACACCCTGAAACATCACACTTATGCGGCTTTTCATGAATGAGCATGTGCTTCCTACATCGATATTAGCAACGGCAATTTGATAGGCTGAGCCACTTGCAACTAACTTGAGTTCTGAGGGACACTTGAGGGTTTTCTGGCATACTTTGCACGATATTTTGCCGCCTTTGCTTGGTTTTGATGTCTTCGACATGGATGTCACAGTTCGATCGGGGGGGCCAGGCCCATCATCAGAGCCATCATCAAGTTGGGAATCGTGCATGGACGCCATGTCAAAATTTTGAATCTGCGCACGAAGGTTTGATAAGTCCCCTGTATGACCGTGATACGATTGGCTAGTGACGGATGATTGAGGTTGAGTTTGATATCCAGAGTCAGAAAAATGGTAGCTTTCAGAGTCCAGTCCTTCCTGGAACGCTGAATCATGTGTATCAGCGAAAATGGCGTCAAACAGGATAGCGTCTGACGGAATCCAAGGGGACTCTGGATCGTTTACAAACTGATCTATTCGATCAGAGGTCCCGAGATTTGACGACGCAGCCTCTAGTGGTTGCAATAATATGTCTCCGATAAAATAGGGTGGCGAAGAATTTTGTAAAGAGACCGGTGTTGCGTCACTCCAGATTTCTATTTTTTCGTTCTCAGAGACGTCTACCGAATCAAGGCCGAGATGGTGGTGGCCGCTTGGAACATCAGAGCAACTCCAGGCTCCTTGAGCTGATATATCATGGCTCCTGGATGTAATGGGATATAAATCTGCAGAATATCGTGGATTCCAGCTTCCGCCTTGAAGTTGCAATACTACATCGAAACAAGCCTGGCGAGAGGTTAGTTTCCGTGATGAAGAGGAATTACACACCTACTTCTTCTACAATCTGCGACTGCTGGTGCCTGTCAGAGAAGTCCATTACCATGGGGAGAACTCTGCGCTGAGTTAGCACACTTCTGGACTACTTCGTTGGAGCATATAGCAGTCTTGGTTCTCGAAGCCACCAAGAGGGCTAGTATGCAATTAACAACGCACACTATACGCCGCCTAAAGCGCACGAGGCAGAAGAAAAAGTCTGCAACATACCTGGTTTCACGTTCAGTACAGTTAGAGGTAATCAAAGGAGTATCATCCAAAGCACTACAAGGAAAGTGATCCGAAGCTTGTAAATTAACGTGTGAGGACGAAGAGAAGAAGCAGCCGGGAGCCCTAATCCCTCGCGGGAAAGGGCAAAAAGATCTCCCGAAGGACAGCAACGTCAGCTTGACCACGAAACTCTTAATTTGGAGGCCGCCCAGAACGCAATTCGAGGAGGGGGTTGAACAGCTTGGCCAGAGAAGGCTAGGGGCTCAACAAGAAACAAGGCGGTCTGATCGACTGGGACCGCCACCCAATCATCAATCAGAGTTGTCATACACAGCTGCGCGTCGAGCTCCTCGCATGCATAACTAAGTTGCACAGCCCTCTTGCTCTACAGTGAAAGCAACAGGGATCAAAAATCCAAGTCTGCGCTAGCGCTCTTACATCACGATCAGGTGGCCTTCTGGCCTCGTTTTTGTGCCCGCGGTGCCCGGAATGCTAGCCTAAGCTTAGAGTAACTCTCATCTCACCGAGAGTGTGATCTGCTGCTGCAAAGCCGCGGGTTGGTTGTGCAAAAGAGAGTGTCTGTGCGGAAGACTTTGCTGGGTCGGGTTATACCAGTGACCCAAGTCCCGGATGCTACTCTGCTTGCAGATGTGGCACGTAGAAAAATACGTTCGGGATTTTCCTAACCCTACAGGACATCACATAGCTTCAAGAGTCCCAACCCTGCTTGGTGGAGAAAAACTTTAATATTCGATGGAACAAAAATCATACAGGGACTAATAAATGAACCCAAAGATAGACTCTAGTTACAACCGTCATTCATATCGTAAGTCATCCAGTCAACCCGTACGTCTGATGAAGGCTGTGGGTGCTGCCTTCCGGTGAGTAACCGAGGCTAGCAGGGGTATTGCTCGTTGGCGTAAGATAGACGTTGGTCGCTGCGAGAGGCTCTTGCATAAAAATCCCAGAGGCTTGTGGAAAATACATCTGCCGATTTCCGTTACTGTCATACTGCGTTGGACCTGCGGAAACTAAGTTTCGATCCTGAGCACTTCCTGGTGAGCAAGTCGCTCCCGGCCGCATGAAGTCCGGCTCGTTATACGACGAGGCTCTGGATCGCGACTGAATTGAAGGCGGAGGATAGGAATTGCCTACCATGCTTAGGCTGCCTGTGGCTAGTTCTGCTTGTGTAGTTGCCATCTGGGCTTGAATGTTCATGGTTATTGGCGGGTAGCTATGCATGGCGGGAGAAATAAGACAATTGTCAACACTCAATACACTCTGCGGCTCCGTTTCCAAGGACATGGGCTCGTCGCAGAGGAAAGTGGGAAGTTCATCTAGGGGTTTGGTGGATACAGACACCGGTTGCCGTATGTTCTGAGCCTGTTTCCTTGCGTGCTCAACGGTCGTTTTCTTGTACCCCACAAGGGGAAGAATTGGCATAGATATTTGTTCCATGTGCTTTGCCAAGTGTACTGTCAGCTTCTTCCAGCTGGTGCAGATATTGCCGCAAAATTTGCACGGCTCGTCTTTGGGTTGCTTCGAAGAATCCCTGTGGCATTTGTCTACCAAGGCCCAGACGTCTTCTACACCATCTCCAGACAATGCTGACTGGCTCTGCCAGTTCTGTGCGTTTTCCAGGTGCCCTTTTTGTCCGCCGGCGCGTCCAGTGCGTACTTTTGGTTCAGGTACTTTGTGCTCGCGTACAAGATGCTGCACGAAGTTGTCTTTTCTGTAGCATGTATGGTTGCATTCCTGAACACTGCAAACCCAATATTCAAGTTGCCGGTGCCTCTCGTTTTCATGTCGCACCCAGTCAGCCTTTCGCTTGAAAGATTTTGGCTCATTGCATTGTCGAAATGTGCAGGTGAACGGCTGTACATCCTCATGTACATGCTTTGTCCAATCGCTTGGTTTATAGAACTTCTTAACCTGGAAGCATAATGGGCACTCAAATTCAGCAGGCAATCGGTTTACGGGGGGAAGCAGCACGCCTGTTGGGAATTGTGCAGCAACAACGTTCTGGCCGACATTTCCAGCACCTAGATCATCGTCTGTCATTCCAGGGCGAACGATCTGAAAGCTGACCAAATTATTTTCTGATTCTTTGTTTCCTGGTCGCGGCGGTAGATCTTGGGATTGTCCTCCAGATAGCAGGCAGAATGCCTTGGACGAACATACACCTAATGCAACACTTTGGGCATGATTCGTCTTCAAGCTGACTAACCGCTCATATCTTTTCACTTGCTCCTGTGCGATTCTGTCAAGGAGGAAATCTGCAAGTCTTGGATTCAGTTGTCGTGCATTGTATTTGAAGCCGTCATATGTCGGAATGATATGCATGTCGGTTCGTACCGACAAGTTCATGGTCAGTCCATCCGCGGAAGCTCCCGTATCCTCGTTTTCACTATCATAATCAGCTGGCGGAGCAACTTGAGGCGCTGGTTCAGCTCGATGCTGAAGTGGCGAGGCAAGAGTGGGCATTGGGGGTCCGCCATGTTGCGTCATGAGTTCTGCAAGTCCCATCTTAGGCGACCTTCCTAGATCGCTGCGACTTCTGCTCCGCCAAATTTGCTTAATCGCGCCAGATGCTGCTGAGGCGACTGCTTTGGGTGACCTTGCATCATTGGCTGGCGACGACACGCTCGTGTCAACTTTTGGCGTTTTGGGTCGGCCAAAACTGCCGATACGTTTCGGTGCAGCGAATGGACCCTGTCCATCCTTAGGGGAGCACGCTGATCCCGAACTTGCATTCTCAGCCTGCTCGACCGGATGGCTGCTTTTTCTTTTAAGTTTGTTGCTGTTGTTACGACTTGGAAGGAAGTTCTCGAGGAAGCTGTTCTTGCGTCGCACTGGTATTCTCTCCGATTGTTGCGGACTGAGCAAAAGTTTCGATATACCTGTTGCACCACGAATGCTTCCAACATCAGATTCACTCATCCTTCGAGAGCCAAGAGTGGCCGTAACGGATGCGCTATCAATATCTTTCGCGCGCTGTCGAAATCTCATGATAGCAATATTTGCTGTGATTCCTGCAACGGCTTTCTCCAGAGGGTCACTTGACATGTTTGTCTCATCTCTACTGGAGCTAAAATACTGGATCGCGTCAAACTGACCCGGTAACGAAAAGTATGCTTCCGACTCAAAAGGGTTGACGCTCGCTGGGGGAGAATCCGGTTCGCTATCATCCTCGTAATCTTCGTCATCATCCATTTCGCTTGGGACGTTAATAGTTAAACCCGGACCTGGAACAGCAGGAAGACTGTGCAAGCCGTGATAAAGATATCCACCATAACTGCTGTGGGGGCTGTCATTCGTGCTTTTGGCTCGAGGCCTCGGCTTGACCTTGCTGCGGCTAGGAAGAGCTTGTGGACTGAGTTCCTCACTGCTTCCAAGTTCGTTATTGCTCAGCCAGTCCTCCACCTCAGCATTTCTCTCGTCCAATCGCTGTTGCTTCTCGAGCTCATCCAAGGAAGGTATCTCGTTCGAGTTTAAGATAGCGCGATCACTTGGGGCCAAACCTGCGCGATGACCATTATGGGCTATGCTATGGGCGCCCACGGGCTGGTTTTGGGTTGGTTCCAGAGCTTCAGGTGTCGGCTGATGGCCATTCTCTTCTTCATCGAATAATTCGTCATCAGGATAAGGGGATAGGTGGGCCTTACTGCTGTTGCGACGGCGAATATGTTGTCTTGGCTCGCTGTCATGGACAAGACCATCTTCATACTCGTCAATCGTTACAACAAGCTGGGGCTGCAAAGGAAGAGGGGCCACTTTAGCGCGAAGATTTTGGGCGGTAGAGTGCATTGTTTGTTGTTGTTGCTGAGCGTGCTCAGAAGCAATGGCAGAGGTATCGGTAATAAGACCGGGAGCTTCAGCGCCTAGATCAAGCGAAACAGCTTGTGAGTGCGTAGCTGCTGGTCCTTGAGAACTTAATAGACTCGAGGTTGTAATAGTGTTTATCATCTGCGAGCTGTTAAAATCTGAGAAGCTGTGGTCGAAGCTCGGCGTGCCGTAATCGCTTATTGCATCGGCAAGCGCTGGAGCATCAGATGCATACTCCGAGGAACTGAATGTTTCGTGCGCTGTTGATGGTGATAGGCTTGATGCGGGGTGTAAAGCGGAGGAGCCGAACGTGGCGCCTTGGTGGCGATACATCTGTACATCTGAATGCGCATACAGCGAGGGAGAATAATACGTTGAATTGGGCATGGTATCGAGCATTTGGCCATGCCACGGATCTTGATCATAGTTACTTGAGCTCGCTGTCATGCCAGGAGTACTGCTTTGATCGTGGTGTGACCAGCTTTTCGTATCATAAGCTGTGCTGGTGGTTGAAGACATCGTAGTGGCTCTCAACTCTGGCGTGGAGCTGTAAACGCTTGGCTTTTGCGACTCTCGTACGCGAAGGGTTTTTTGCGGCAAGTCAAGCAAAACTCTTGAAGACACGCAGCTAGGCACCGGTAATCATTTTATGACTGTTTAGCTGCAGTGGATGGATTGCAGTCTCCCACAGGCTCGAAGATGTTGGAGAGAAAAGGATAGTATTCGTGGAAAGTAACAAGAGGTTTGGAAGGAGAGTCAAGTCTGCCCGGCCACCAAGGAATCCAAGGACAGGCCGTTTGAAAAGGCGCGCGCCATTCACAGCCACCAACCACGGGAAGCGCTTGTTGCAGTACGCAACGCAAAGAACACCAAAATAGCTTTCCGAGCTCGGTCAAGAGAGACTGAAGATAGGACAAAGCGTCACGATCAGCAGCTATGACGGCATGCGAACAAGAGGGAAGCCCGCGGGAGGTGGCGATGTATGGGAGCTTTGGGGTAGATTGCTCTTGTCCGTGGCGGACTCGAGGCGTTAACGCGGATGCGGCGCAGAAAGCGCCGAGACGTCGCAACAGACAAGACAGTGGCAGTCCGTGCTTCGTCTCTGCGGCCTTGAGAATCGTCTCTGGAATCGAGGCAGATTTGGGAACGGGGATGGGACGAGCATCACAGCAGCGGACGTGAGGGCAGCAAAGACGGGCACAGCCTCCCTTGGTGGAAACGGGAGCCCATCGACACACTCGCGCTGCACTCTCGTGCTGCACAGCCTCCAAGCCTGGTGGCACGAGACTGTGCAAGGCGAGCCTGCTCGCCGTTCGCTGCGTCGGAGCGCAACGCCAGGCTGTGGACTGCGCCCTAAGCGAGTCTCTGAGAAGAGGCGCCAGCCTGGTGCTCCAAACTCACATCTGCGAGCCTCTCTGGCCCTGCGGCCGGCCATCCTAGCGCTGGAGTCACGCTGCGATGAGAGATTCGTGATGGATGAGCGCTGCGAGATATCCGTCCCGGTGTGTCGCTTCGGCGAGTCATGTCACTTGACATCGGCAATGACACCCAAGTTATCTGCAAGTTGGCAGAGCCCATCCGTGTGCGCGCAACGTCTGCCTGCCGGTAGCCCTCCGGCCATCGGCTGCTACTGTTTTCCTCCTGCTGGCCTCAACAACGCTGGCTGCCCAGGCCGACAGTCACGCCCGTGCAGCGATCGCTAGCAAAGAGAATGAGATGGCGTCGTCCCAGATTAACTTAAGTTAAGTTAGTGGTCAAGCACATCACGTGAGTTGGCGTCCACCGCCGCCACCCAAAAGCATGACATACGCCATTTGGAACATGCGTCGGTGTAGGATGTCGTGAACACGCGGCGCCCACTTCCTTTCAGCAAGACAGACTTGGGTGACGTTGGAACACATCAGGTCACGGTACACCTGATGGGTACCAGTGGCATGTCCGTCCGTAGTGATTGGCTACCCATGACGAGCATTCGCGTTGTTGGGGCATCTGGAATCGAGGAGCCTCAACATTCCTGCGCATCTATAACACACAAGGATTGGCCTCGCAAATTTCAGGCCAGCGTGCGCAACTCGTTCTACAATGCTCTGCTCAAGGTTGTTGATGCCTTTGTGCATCTCCGAACACAACGTGCGGCAGCATGTGTCGGCTGACGATCGGCCCAAATCTAGTTCCTTTTGGCCGGCCACGGAAAAGGAAACGAGATCTAACCTTCGATAACCGCGTCCTCTGTCATTGTGCTAACCCTTCGCCGCGCCTGCCTGCAACGCTCTTGATTATTTCTCTTTCCATGCCCGAACCTTGCCGTTAATTCAAGCAAGTATTTCTTGATTGTCTCGTCGTCTTTTCAGAACACAGTCTATCCGTGCTTAGGAGGCCAGGCGATCAGCTTGACGAAACAATCTACTGAGCAGTGCTTTTGCGTTCCTGAAGTTGGACCCATCCGAGTATTGGATACCGGCTTTCCTTTTGCCTGTTTCACGCTGAGCCTGCTATAAACACCTCGAAAATAACGTTTACTTGACATCTTATGATATAGTCGCCATTGGAAAGACAGCCCTCTGCTGCACCATCATGGGCGATTTTGTCCCACCTCCCCGTCCCCGCGAACTTATACCTCCTCTCCTCGCATGTTTACCTACGGCTTTCGTATCTCCGCGGCCTCCTCCAGCTCTTTTACCCCTTCTTTCTCCTATATTGCGCCAAAGAGTGCATCTGCTATCTGCTACGTCGTCGACGTCGGACAATTGGCTTGCTTTGCTCAGCTGGGATTCTGAGCGTGCGTCGAAATTGCCCAACGTGGTCGAGCGCATCCACATCGAACCACACCCCGTCTCTGGAGAGATCGAGATCGAAGATCCAAAGAGGATTTTGTACAGACGCCTTGATTCGGAAACCCTTCATAGTCAGCTCCAGCTTGAAGGGCTCGAGCTGATAGCGGTTTACTTGTGGTGCTTGGGCAATGGGGGGCCCAACGAAAAAGGCTGGAAGCTTGCGGAATTACGAAGCCTAGAAGATGTCGACGATGGCACGACGTGGTACGGCAGCATTTCGGAGGCGAACGAGCATGCTGATATTGTACTTCGATCCTCCCAGTCGAACAACAATAGCTTGCGTGTTACCGATGGCACAAATGCGAGAAAGGATTCTCCTCGAGACGAAGACGATGATGACTCATACTGGGCTGCATATGATCGCACGCCAGGCCGAACTCCTAGTGTCAAGCGCTCACCGGCGCCGGATGTATCCTCTTTGCAGCTGCCGACGGCGACGGAACTCGAATATTTCGCGAGATATGTTTCAGAGATACAACCTGCAATGGATCCTGAAGATCCAGACGAGGCAGCTCTTGAACCGCACGAGTCAACCCTCAATGGGCACATTGTCATACCACAATTGCAAGCTATCCCGTCCCAGCCATTCGAAGCAAGAAATTTCCATCCCAAAGAATACGATTCTTCGTTACAAGTTGAAGCAGCTCTCCCCAATGGCGTACGTCAAGAGGACGAAATGAAGTCGCCGAAGCCTAGGTCTAGATCCTCCAGTCCGGTCGAAAAGCTCGAACAGCGTGCACGAAGCGTCTCTTCAGCCGAATTCGGCATCAAGCAGCATATCAGCACTGACATCAAGAGTTTGTATAGACTGGCCAAGTCAGCAGGCATCGATCGTGAGGAATTTGACAGAATTGTAAGGACTGAATTAGATGTTCTGAGCTTCATGGACGACGAATGAAATATGCACGAAAAGAAACTAGCAATTGTGTAATGAATCGATTGAGAGCGCCTCTGTTTTAGCGGGCTTTTAAGTGGGCATCAGCAGCATTATAATTTGAATATAGATGCTTTTCAACCGAGAGTTCAATAATTCCCAAACGCAGATAACGTGATTTTTTTGCGATGGACGACCCAAGTCTTGAACACCCAAGAATATGCACATGCAGCAGAAAGTGACACCCACTCGGCTATCCTCTTCTGCGGCCTTTCTTGCTGCTCGGAGTCGGCTGGACTCCAGTCGCGCCGTCAGACTCGATATATTGTAACACGTCTTGTATGCTTCCCAGATTGACGGTCTGAGGCTGAGCCCTGGCTATTTTTGCTTTCTCAATCGCGCTACCTCGACCAATCTCTTCGACCACATTATTCGGATCTGCCTTTCCAACTACATCAATTGAGCTGGCGAGCCATTGTTGGAATGGCTTGGCAACAAAGAACCCATCTGATGTAAACCACCGCGTAAAGGATGCAGTTATTTTTGCTTCTTTAATTTGGGCTGATGGAGATGACTGCGTGCAAACCGTGAGTTCGTATTTAGGTTCGTACTTCTTTGGAGTGGCAGATGTGATAGTAATCTGAAAAAGTTTAGCAAACTATTTGAAGCTCCTCACGGCGTTGTTATTGAGTTGCACATACTTTGACTCCATCCCTCGACCCTACAAATATAGCGCCCTTCTCAACAAACCATATCCAGTAGGTAAAGGCGCTATTTAGGGCAAAATATACCACAACAGCCGGTAACGTGTACGCTTTGGTTACATCCCAGCCAAGCTTCCAATCAGCATAGAAGAGGACACCAGCGATGGCGACAGCAACATAGCCAAGACTTAACCGAACGTCGGTGAATGTGTGATCCTGAATGAACTTGAGCGAAATCAAGTAGTTAGACAGTGCATCGTCTGTAGTGCTCTTTAGGTCAGGTAATGAGTATGGAGACACAGGGGTGGAAGGCATCGTCACGGATCAATTCTGATATTTCAGAGTGTGCTATTGCAATGTGAGAAGATAAGTCTGTGCAGTCTCATGAGACTAAGTCTAAACTTTCGATATATGGGTAGTGCATCAATGTCGTTTGGGCAAGGTGGTCATTGCTGATTTAAGTATGGCGTTGATTGAGAAAGGCTAGGCCCGTGCTTTTCTCTGAAAGCCTGCCTTAATGTTCATGTTTTGCTTTGGTGGAAATTCGTTCGTAATAGTTGGACGGTACACCTGATCGGTTCCTGTAAGCTGAGAATAATCTAAGGCATCACGTCTCAGTATTGTATTTTGAACAGGAGCAGCAGCGCATCATGATTCTGGATCAGGCCTCGGCCTCTAGTTCTGTGTTTGGCATCATGTGTCGATCCATGCTTTCCCGTGCACAGCACCTGTTCTCGAGCTTCTAACAATCCCATTCCCGTTCCATCGCATACGTCAGTCGAAAGATCAGGCTGGGGTCTCTTACTACAGGTTGGAGTCACAAACCACTCATGTAACTCAAATCGAAGATCTACGCACATACTGCCTCACCACCAGAAAGTGTATGTTTCCAAACTACACGTTTACGGCCTTTTTGTAGTCTCATTGAATCAAAACAACAAAACTTCAGATCGACTTATTTTACAGCCTCATTGTACTTAAGACGGTAGAGATGATAACAGAGCATTGATTCAGCATATCATAACGGGTAGTGTAGCTGCCGAAAAGAAAAGAGCACACTGATTTAAACACAAGTTCTTCAAATATCACTTTTCATTGTAAATACAGAAGATATATAGCAACTCAGGGGAAAAAGCATAATTGGGAAATTGAGCTTAGGTATTAAATGACTCGAATACGGAGTAGTTATTCTGCAATTATAATGCCGTGGAGAAGTTTGTCTTATCACGTGATTATCGTTGCGGCCAAATCGACTTAGTGTATTCCTCTTCAGTCCTCGTCAAAAGCCACCTAAGCATCTGCACCCAAGCGACATTCAAGTCAAACGCAGAACGTCCATATCGATAAATGAGTTCCTGAAGTGCTGTACTGCGTAGAAAGAGCATGGCGCATGCTACGACGCAGACCATTGCTAGGGATAGCAGTCTCTTGTGAGCCCACCTTTGCTTTTCCCCGAACATAGCTAATTTAAGCGCAGTTATTGGATTCTGCTCCCGATCACAATTGTCATGATTCTGACGGGCCTTCTTCGCCATTATGCGACAATTCTACTCCAAACGAGGCCCAAGAAGCAGCCTATAGCAAAGATTCGAGAACAACGAAGTCTCCTACGCGGCGTCAACCTTCGCACTAGTTGTCACGTAATATCACCCTCTGCATTCCAAGCGCGCAAAAGCTGTTTAGTTGCGGCATATAAGGAAGGCACGTTTCTGGCTGATCCAGAGGGTAGAGGCAAGCCTCCTCCAAATCCCATGAGCGACCCTGCGGCACTTGAGGGCATGATGGGAATGATGAAAGGAAACATGGCCATGATGGTGCCACAGACGCTGATCATGGGCTGGATCAACGCTTTTTTTTCTGGATTCGTCATCAGTATGTTGCACCTCATGCTCTTTTTATCCGCCATCACGATGTCCCACAAAGCGCACTTGGAAATGTAAAGTTGATAAGGCGTTCCTGACTGCTAGCCCCTCAATTGATAAATATTCTCTACGCCAAGTACCTATGCTAATGCCTATGTTTCAGTGAAGCTTCCATTTCCTCTAACTCCGCAGTTCAAATCAATGCTTCAGTCAGGTGTAGGCACTCGCGACTTAGATGTACGGTGGGTATCAAGTTTGTCTTGGTACTTTTTAACTCTCTTTGGCCTCCAGCCTGTTTACAACTTCATACTTGGCAACGACAACTGTGAGTCGTCTCTAGAATCAGTACCAATTCTGCCAATTATCGCAACTAATTCACCCGGCAGCGGCAAATCAAATAAGTCAACAAATGGCACAAATGAACCCAGGAGCGGGGATTATGGGCCCAAGTAATGATCCTGACAAACTATTTCAAGCCGAAGCCGAAAATTTGGAGGTTATTGAACATGAATACATCCTCGATGGAATCGAGGATCGCCTGCTCGCAAGCTTGCTTTAGTTCGAGATTGCCCTAGATGACTTATAGATCACAATTATGTTAGGGAATTTGCGATCATCTGGTGCAAAATATACTCAGCAGGAACCAGTTTCTAGCTTATGTAGCCATGGACATCGTTTGGGTGAATTCACAAATGTACACCATGCGACAAAATTCGTCATTGTGGACAGGTTGCGGAAACGACATAGTCTAATTTTGGCTGTTCTTTTTCAGGAATTGACAGAGTATATAGGTGGAGGATGGCTTCCGAGCTCACCGTTTCGTGCTGCGCCTGACAGTGTCCAAAATACAGGGATGTCGGGGGATATGCAGGCAGCTCGGTGGCTCAACCAAGAATCTCAGGATGTTCCATCAGCCACCTCGTTAAAGTTCTCCGTTTTTGTCCCCTCGATCACTGCATTGATGACTTCTTTCTGTCGGATCCTTTTTCGAGGGTTCGACTGGGATTGTTCATGGTCTGAGTCTTCCAATTCTGCTTGCTGGATAAGAGAGGGTTGTGCTCCACCGCAGAGGAACGATGCTGTTTCGTGCCGCAGCCAATCGCCGACCAGCTAATTGAGCCGCACTAGAACGGTTCGAGAGGAGCAAGTGGGCGAAAAGTGGCCTGATGGCCGGCTCCTGCACGTAACAAAGCGAATCACACTGCCAAAGTTGCCGGATGTGCAGGGCCTCAATCCTAAATGGAGCACGACTTGGCCTTGGCACAACGCCCTCTCGCCGATGCGACAACTGAACGTGCTTGTTTGTCGCCCCACGTTCTGCAGCTAGCTGCAAAAGCTCGAGTCGTAGTTCAAAAACGGCGAAGTGACGCTCAGCCCAGGACGAATCTCCCGTTCCCTGGAACTAAATCTCTTGGTACGGCTGATGACTACTGTGCTACTTGTAGATCGCATGTCGCGCGAGGCCCACATGATTGGAATCCACCATCCACTTCAAAAACGCGGCCTCTTCCAGCCATCGAACCAGGGTATGGCCGCTAACATTATCGAGACATCTCGCTATCAGTACAGCCGTCGAGTCGGTACGGCATTGCTGCCTGAAAGACAGGTTGCATGGCGCTTTTGTGCTACCAGTCAACCCTTGTTGACTGTTTGCCCGGCTTGTGCGAACAAACCTGCACGAGGTCCGAGGTCTAAACTTCACTTCTCTCGTCTCTCGCAATCGAGTAAAACAAGCTGAAATACCGTATCAACACCATTTTAATAGTCTTAATGTAGTATATCTGAAAGAACGCGGTTATTTTGGCAAGCTTTTCTCTCACACGAGTGCTTCCTGGCTTTCCGTCCCCTCATCACGGAATCGGCAACAGCAGTTGGGGGCGTATTTGTTGGCGTCGAAATGGAAAACTTCTACTGGACAGATGCAGCTACAATTTACTTATTCTGCACGCACTTACCCCTCTTTTCGCTTCCCAAGCATTGGCTACTATAACGGAGGCCGCGACTCCGCCTCATATCTGCATGCACCTTTGTTCCGGTCAGTCTAGTGCATGTCTGGGGCTGGCCTGCTGGGATGTCCGCGAAATGGCTAGCTCCTGAATTGTCTGCTGTCAAGAAGTGCGCTTCATCATGGGAAGAGCCGCATCAAAGATGGTAGGCAGTGGAGGGAATAAGTATCTGAAGAAATTGTGGACTCCAAACCCCTAACAATGATCGACACGGCCACTCTTGACGGCTGTGCTATGCATGTCTGTTCTCAGGCTTGAGTTCATCTTCCATGTATCCAGTCTGCCCTGTGGCGCCTCTTGGATCACATACGACGAAGCATATTTGTTTATATATTTCACCGACTCAAGCTGCCCATTCTGTTACCTCCTCACACCTATTCTGGACAGCCAATTAACCGCTCTACAAGTGCCTTGGGGTCGCTTCAGTTTCTCTCATACACGCAGCAGAAGGAGAAGGCGTGTACATCGCACGTGAATGCGTATTTCATTTTTAACACCACCCAGGACGCTAAGAGCATCTGAGGGCCATGGCAAACTTAGATCTGGCATTCTTGAGCTTTGAAACTGAGACGGACTCAGGCTTGCACAGTTGGTGCGCGGCGATGGCTGAGCCTATTTCGCGGCCCCCGTCTGTGAGGGCTCAATTTCTCTACGGTATTGGTGCTGGGACAAACCTTCATCCAGATTCTCATTGCATGCACCAACTCTACCTCGATTCATCAGAGTTTGAGAGCTATCGACCATACGACAATGCGTTTCTTCCCAATCAGAAGGCTCAAGACTTTTCCTTTTCATCCTTCCAGATGAAGTTTTCCCATGAAAGCTTCGAATACTCCTCCCCTTTGTCGGACTACTCCTCACAAAGCGGTGACACGTTCAGTGCCTCTTGTTACACTCTTGAACTTAATCAATCAATGCAGCAGCACCCTCCCAACACAACGGGACTGATAACGCAAGGTTCATATTATCCAACCTCGAAATCCATGGCTCAGTCGCCACAGCTGGTACCGAACCTTGGCGGCGGCATCTCTTTGGGTGAGGTGCAAAACTTCCGAGATCAACTATTGGATCGTAGTCACGATGATCAGAATCCCCCTTGCAGTGAACCAGATGCCGAGGGCGAGTCCGATGACGATTATGTCGCTATGCTTTCTTCGGAACCGACAACCAAGTGGACCTCATGCGTGGACAAGTCCCTTGGCGAAAGCATCGCCGACTCTTCGACACAAGACTCAATTAGCGAGGACTACGACCCTGAGGAGGAGAAGGATGGCGAGTACAATCCGAGGCCTTCTACGGCTCGGCGAAGTCGGCGAGCTCGTGCAACTATCCGAAAGCAATCTCACTGTCGAAGAACGTCGAACGCGACACGCGGTCGCATTGCCAAGTCTAAGACGAGAAAACCTAGTAACGCCTCTCAATCACGACCCTTCCCATGCCCAATCTCACAATATGGCTGCACGTCTACTTTTACGTCAAAGAATGAATGGAAACGTCATGTCAGCACCCAACATATCAAACTCGGCTTTTGGCGGTGTGACATGTGCCCACCAGCAAATCCTGAAAACCCTGTCTACAATGATTTTAACCGCAAAGACCTCTTCACGCAACATTTGCGTCGAATGCACAAACATCACCCGTTAACAATCGGTACTAGTGTTGATGGGGAAGGGAATCCGGAGATCTCAGACGAAGCCATGAAAGAACACCAAGACAGGTGTTACCGTAGACTGAGACAAAATCCTGCCAAATCTACATGTTTGTTCTGTGGCAAGCTTTTTGAAGGTGAGGGGAGCTGGGAGGAACGCATGGAGCATGTTGGGGGGCACATGGAAAAGGAGCGTAAGGCAAATAAACCTCCCGTGCCAGTTGATGAGTGGCACGAAGATCTTGACTTGCGCGACTATCTTGAATGCGAGGGCTTAATTGAATTCGACGATGGCAAGTGGAGCATCAGTGACGGAGTGCCCCGAAGAGACCAACATCTGGCTTATCATGCATGCTGATCGCTGCTTTTCTGTTGCAGATTTAGTTGGGTTGGAATGCAGGTGTTCACGCGATCTGACTTTTGGGCTTTTCTTATAACCGATGATGAACACGATACAAATGATACCCGCTTGTTAACTATGGTTCCATGATTTACGACGTTCAGGCGGAGAATCTACCTTGAGTGGGAATACTTCTTCAGTCTTGCGTACTGAATTCCTAGCGGCCTCCGGTATGAATCGAATTGGAGTGATGAACGTGCTAATCTAGTGTTCTCATCATGCTGGTGATCATGCTGGCGCTCTTTTCCGTTTTCTGTTCTCTTTTCCCTTTCTGAGTTGGCAATTCGCTATTCGCTCCCAGTGACGCTCAAAGAGAGCCCCCGAATTTAGCGCCGTTTTCTAAAGCCGTCTCGTGCTGACCGGAGATACATTCCACCACCGTTGAAATGACCAGGCAACACTGTTGCCCTATCTTTTCTCGAGAGGCCGCCGCCTTTTTTAGCGAATCTGCTTCGCCCCCTGCTTTGCTTACGGTAGCTTGGCACTGCAACTGCAAGGATCAAGCGCGATAGGCGAACTTTGCAAATGTTTGACAGATGCACAGTGCGAACGTTCGCCTTGAGCTTTCGACAGACATTTGGTGTAAAGATGTAAATGATCAAAAGTACGTGACTGTCCTCTTAAGCTTGCAGGATGAACCAAAAATTCTGTTCGAACAAGTGGAGAAATTAAATGAAAGGATGACCGTATTCAGCCCGATCCAGCGTCACGTCAGCATCATAGCTATGTCTTTAAGAATTGGTGACGATGTTCTGCACTTTGGCGATTAAGAGCCACTATTCATCCTTTATCTAGCATACTTCCTGTCATAATCATAGCTGCTTCGATAACACTACAACTACAGAAAGTTTACATGCACTCTTCGACAACGCGAAACAGTTCAGTAGCCAAAACACAAGCCTAACTTCATATACCATCAATTGTGGGTGTGATCCTTCCTAATCTTCCTCCGATATCTCTCCTGAAGAACTTTCCGATGTTTTTGAGATTTTCATTCAGTCCAACTGCAGTCATACCATCATTTGTGGGGTTCATGGTGTCGCTGCTTTGCCTGACGTGGCTCACTGAACCAGTTCCAACGCCAAGAGATGGACTACCAAACCTATCTACCCCTTCTCTTGCCGCATTCATTATTGCGGAGCCAAACGTGGCTGCATCAAATGTTTGTGACTTCTCCTTCAAGCTTGACATGGGCCCTGAGCCTTGTGACACTAAATTGATGCTCAAAGGTGTGAGGATGGGTGATGAAACGGGTAAACTAGCATAGTTTGGGCTTCCACAATGCGCGTTGAAAAGATCCACTAGTGAATGTTGATCTTGCTTTCGTATTCCTTTGAGCTCGAGTATCTTTTTAAAGTTCGTTTCCGAGCGATCACCAATGTGTATAAGATATGCTTGTACCAGCGCTTCAGGTGGTAACGGACGCACTTGAAGCGTTTTGAGCACTTGATCGATCTTCGACATTGATGTGTTTACTTGCTTGACGAAGCTGCAGCGCATATTAGAAAATTAAATGTACGATGAAGAAAGTAAATACTCACGATGTTGGTGCTTGTGCCCCTTCCTTTTCGTTGATGACCGGTAGATCTACAAGACCTTTCTTGAGAGTATACGTATCAAGAAGCATTTGCTCTGCTCCGACTTCCGATATGGGCTTGCACTGAGCCACATTAGTGATATACAGCATACTTATCGCATCAACTAGGTTGTCACAAAATGCTCGCGCATACTGATGCTTGTATAAAAGCTTCAAAATCTCTGAAGATTGCTCACGAACGACGCGAAGCAGTTCCGATATATAATTGCTGGAATCACCAACATTCTCCATTCGAGACCATGGCATGTTTCTCATTTCACGCCAGATTGGTTCGATCTCTAACTCGATCTTCTTCACAAGACTCCGAATGGCAGCGCTTGCAATTCCCATGAATGCGTCGGCTTGGTTCTGCAAATCAACCTGTGAACGAAGATCTTCGTCTATACGTCCTTTGATTCTTTCTTCCAGCTGGTTGCACGTTAGGTAACAATAGTCTGCCGTGTTCAGAACCATAATGATAGCTTCAACATTGGGACCAGCTGGCCCAGAACGCTCAGTCAGAAAGTAGAATAGCACTTGCTGACTGTATTGATCGAGATACTTTGCAAATGTATTCGAGAGCTCCAAGAAGCGCTGTCCCGTAGAGATCTTTGCACATTGTGCCAAAGCAAGACGATAAAAATGAAATAACTCTGTAGATGAAGGCATTACGGACTGAGCGGTGAACTCATCTTCAAGCGGCCGCATTGGTTGCATGCGGTATGTGGCGATCTGAGCTGCAAGCTGTTTATCCTGAGATTCGATCCAAAGCGTCATGTAAGGCTCGAATGCCTCCGAAATGATGTTGCCTACGCTTTGGGAAGACATGGTTCTTGAGTCAACAGTGTCCATCGATGATCTTCCTTCTCCAGTAAAATGTTTTTCTAAATTATGTTCAAAGTTCAGCGTTTCTTGGAGGCATGATAGAAGGAGATTGACGTCTAATGTCTTGCCGTCCCCGCGCATCGACCGCTGCAGAATCATCTTGAAGTCGTCTCTGGTGCCTTCGCAGAAAGCAATCGCCAAGCGCTCACCTACACGCCAATGCGATGGAAATATAGACGCATGCTCTTGATCATAGGTCTTCAGCATGCGATTGAACCATGAATACCGTCGAGCGATGTTGTCAAGGCTCCCAGCCTCATCGTTGCCTCTAAATACCTGCCTGTACTCGCGCAACTGCGTGTTGCAATACCATGTAATCAATCGTCCTCTTGCATGCTCCCCAAGAGCATCCATGACCACGCAAGCTTCAGCCAGCATTACTCGTCTAGTACCTGCCTCGCCTTTTGCAAAAATTAATTCGAAATCCTCACAAACCTGTTCGAGGAGTTCACGTTGGACATCCGTCACGTTCCTTGACAACGTGGCTATCTGATCCACACTGCGGTAGCTTTTGAAATGAGTCATGAGCTGAATGACAGCTTGAAGTAGCTGAGCACAGTCTCTATATTGGCGTGTTTTGGCCAGCGCACGCAATTGATCGTACGCGGCAGTCAACATCTGCAGTCGCTTGAGTGCCGTCATGGACAGCGTTAAGTTCTTTTTTGTGTTATCCAGTCGCTTGATGTCCGCCGTCATGTCGGTAATGGTCTGCTCCGTCTGCAAGGCTCGCTCACGAACACTCTCAATTTTGACAAAAAGTTCTGATAACTCAAGTTTGGCCTCTTGTATCCGTCGCACACTGTCTGCATCGGATGCCAACTGCATCGCGACTGCAGACCTCACGTCCTTGTCAAGCTCATTCTGGTATTGTCTCAGGGCGCGACAGCTCTCTGCTACAACGCTAAGCGTCGAGTGATGCGCGAAAATAGCGTTCAGGTGGTCAATAGGATCATAATCGGCTGGGCAAGTTCGTCAGATACGCTCTGGTGCATCACATTTACGTTGTAGGGTGTTGTCCTTACCGGAATCGAGCGAGCTTTGCCCGTTCGACACAAGAGCCGACATATGTTTCTGAAATCTTTTGATTAAATTTTGAGAAAAAAGAAGCCATGCGTAGAGATTTGAATGTTCATTGTAAAGTTCTGTGTGTTAGGAATTCAAATCATCTGGTAAATGTCTCCGAAACCCTACAAACTCTCTGGGGTCTTGGCACAGCCACAGAACCGATTACGAAAGTTGATAACAAGCACTCTTACTTTTTGTTTGCATTGTAGCTATATATGAATTCAAATTTGCCTATACATGTTGTGATGACATTGCAGCATGAAAATCCTTCTCTGCGTTCGAAAATAGCCCATCTTCAGGTATAGCGTAAGTGCAAAAGCTCAATATTCAACGGTAGAAGTACATTTGCATTTGAGCGATCGAACAATGGCTACCTGCAACAAACACCCGAACACCGATAGCACTCAAAATTGGTCTCTTTTTCCTCTTCTGACCCTTCTCTGGCCACGTGTCCAGCCTCGACCCCGTCCTCTGCCTCGTTCCCCGCGCTCGCTGCTCATTCCCTTCTCGTCCATCTCGCGCTCACGCTCTACTTGCTCATGAGCGATCCTATCCGCTTCCTCCCTGTCTCGATCAATCTCCTCTTGCGTCTTTGGCCTGATCACTTCCGGTGGCTTGAGATCTTCTGGAAATTTAGGGTGAGCCCCTTCACTGCATTCTTTACCATTCGGACAGAAACCGCATAGCCAAAAGGGACAGATTTTAGATTTTCGTATATGTCTGTTTGCACAAATGGGACCAAGGGGACAGAACCCTCGTTCGTAGTGGGGACATGGTGGGCGCTTAAATGCCGGGTCAGTGTGTTGGTAAGGGCATTCATCACCTGCTGGGCATGTAGGCTGGCGGTTACACTCGGGCATTTTACGTAGGTTGTACTCGTGTAAAAATTCACACGTTTCGCCCTTCTTACATAGTCCTCGCATCCAGTGCTTGCATATTAGGCTAAACTCGCGGATCAGACGCTAGAATAAAGGAAAAGTCTGTATAACGAACTTACTTGTTATACTGCGTGCTTTTCGCAGGATGCTTGTCTGGGCAACTATTCCCCAGTGGACAACGTCCGTTCATGAATGCTTCACATACTAGCCCATTACATGTCAAATTGTACTCCAGAAAAGTGTGAGTGATTGAATCACCTGGTCGATCTGATGGTATACCGAAGCGATATTCTTTCTTAAGAAAGTCGTCGAATGCAAAGGAAATCGGGAAAGGTTTTGCGTCTGAATTCACCAACTGGTCAACAAGAGGGCTCACTACTTCTGAAACCATCATTAATTGCCTGTTGACACGTGTCGTCAATCGTTCAAATGACAGCCTTGTAGTTGCGTGGGCTTTAGAAGGAATTAGTGATCGTCAGGGTGGATTTCTTTGCCCACAACATGTGCAAGTGCTCGCTTCAGTTGATACTGATGTTTGTAGTGTTGGCCTTGGTCCGTGCACTAAACAGTAGTTCTAGCGTTCTCTAAAAATTATCGCATTCTAAACATGGCTTATTGGAATTCATGGTTCCTTTGTGAGTGGATTCAGCATCCAAAGGTCATGGACCACGCTTGGCTCCCAATGATTCCGTTGATAAGTAGAACTTGATGTGGAGCTCGCATTCTGGAGCTTTTTTAGCAATTGTTGTTTTGAGAAATATGATCCTTCGAGCAATGCCATGAGGAGCATGCATCTCAAGAGATACCTCCTGCCCCATCACTCTCCTCGGTTTTCCAAAATCGGTTGATTCGGCCCAGACTAATAGACGTCTTATTTCCCATACTAGTCAAACCCCGCACCCATATGCAGCGGGCACAAAGGCAACAACACTATACCAATAGCGTTTTCCCCGCAAAAATGCATGCTGTAAAGTGAGTCGAAATCTTTTTACATAGAAGATGGAGCACGTAAAACACCGCCCATTTTCAATGGTATCTTTAGCCCTTAATAGCCCCTAGAATGGCGCACCAGGTTGTGCATATTCCGAGGTCAGTACAACCTTTCCCTACCAGCCTTAGGACTTGACTGCTTTCGACACGCTTGGACCGCGCGACAAATACAATTAGGTCTGTGGGAGTCCCTACACTGTATCTAGATGCATCTGTTATGCTAAAGGATTGAGTCGTACGCAAATGCGTTTGATTTCAACTCCGTGCCCTTCTGTCTCACACCACTTGTAACACGATCTCGTGTGCATTAGTTTAACTGTCAATTACTATCCAATTCAAACATGTGTACCAGGCTTTCCATAGATCTTCGATGAGTCGTATTATGTCCTTTCCCGTGGTTTTCAACCAATTATCCACACTATGCCTAGGTTTATGAGGCGTAAAGAGGGTTTATAGTCACTACCAGTACAATTAGAGCGCAATAACCCAAATCATTTGCTTGAAATGAACACGATTACTCCTAATTCAGAGTGTGGGAAGTCGGAAGCTACTGCACATGAGCTTCACGGCGAACCTAGCTCATACCCAACTTACGTCGCTGTGACATTGTTTCTCCCAGAATGATGAATTCTTCACTAAATTTCTTTTTATTAGAGCGATATTTTGAATTAGAGTTACAGGCCCCATCCTAAATCATCAATGCAGGGTATTTTCGGTGAGAATTATATCTGACTCATTGATCCTCGACTACACAAGTTATCAGAAGTACCAAACTCTTGTCCTTCTGAAAGCTCTTGGTCTCTATTTTTTCAAAAAAAAAAAAAAAAAAAAAAAAAAAAAAAAAAAAAAAAAAAAAAAAAAA